CCAGCTTTCATTCAACCAGGAGGCCAGCAACAAGCAACGTCTTCTCTAACGAAGCTCCTGCACATCTACCTCCTTCAACACGCTACTCACCGAACGTCTCTACTGAGCAGCTCCTCACCACACGGCACCTCCAGCACCAGACTGTCTATCATATAACTTATATTATACAAGAAAACCACCTTCGAGTTTCCATCCATCCTGAGTGCTAGACAACATTATACCACGAAACCCTACAACTCCCTCCCTCTGCTCCGTTAAGCCTGTGACCCCTATAAAATGGTAGTATTAAATTTCACCTTCATTCCCAAATTACAGTATTTAAGGTTAGTTTTGGTGCTGACTGCTGAGTAAATAAAACGTTATCATAAAATAATACATTTTCAAAAATCTCACACTCAACACCATATGGGTTATTGTGTCATCTTAAATTTCCAGTGCTTTGTTTATGTTGTGGGAACAGCTGACCATTATCCCCCAGCACTCTGCCAAAAAGATAGGTAATAGGTCAGGTGTCATTTTCACAATAAAACGCCTTTATTAATGAGAAAATGTACATACAGTAATAATAAAGTAAATAATACAGTACTGTACTGTATTAAATAAATGAAACAATGCGAGGTGAGCTGGCGAGGGGTGGTGACAAGGCAGGAGGTGCGGTGCCATGAAAAGGAACTTACACAGCACTACTAAACCATTGTCTTATAACATTTTACTTTCTAACTTGAACTTTAAAATCAAGTGATACCCGATGGCTCGATTCGGCTACTTTTGCAATTAGACAACTGATCAGTGAATACCCGGTAAACCAGGGCATATGGAGATGCATTATATACAACAATTATATTTATTAACGTCTAATAAATATGCTACAATATTATTTACTAAGTGCTCAAGACAGTTTCTCTGGTTAGCACCAACCCTCTGGAGCAGTGACAACAACAGTGCTTGAGAGATGGTGTGTGTAGGCAACATTGTTAGGGAGAACAGGAACAATCAGATGTTACTGCTCTGTAAACAAGAGACTGGGAATATACTATGCTGCAATAGCTAATCTGGGATTGAGTGTAGGATTTTGGGGGAAAATTAATTATTTTTCTATATTTTATCATGTGGGCACCAAATGAACCTAAATAATATGGGAATTATGGCAAAGGGGAGCGCGAGAGGTGAGTTGTCCTGTCCTGCCCTGCCCTCCTCCGCCACCTCCTCACCCCGGATCTGCACACCCAAACATAGTTTTGTACAATATCTTAATTTAATTAAATTTTGTACAATATCTGAATTTAATTACATTATCTTAATCTATTTCATAATATACTGGTATTCCTAAAATAATAATCAACTTTCGGAAGCACGCAGTTATTTAAGATTCATTCCGTATTCAAATCATTTCATTCATATTTGAAAAACAATATGAATTAATCCAAAATTTTAATTATAATGATCCGAATTAACGAGGGTATGGTGTAACTGAAAAGGCACTGCACTGTAAATTAAATAAAGTCTATGACATTGGACTTGCTCTAAAAGTGGAGAAGTTCTGTATACATTGGCCTGACATGAAATGGGGGAGATTGTTGGGTGTTACTGGGCCAGAACAGAGTATTGCAGAAGCAAAATTTTACCAAGGGGTGCTGAATATTTCTGTTGCCGTAGATACTTTGTGGTGCTGAATATTTCTGTTGTCATAGATACCTTGTGGTGCTATGTCATAGCACCTTATACCCAAAATATTGGGGTGCTACAGCACATTCCCTTCCCACATCCATGTACTGGTTGGAGTGAGAGGAGGAAGATGGTGCGGCACACACGAGAGAACTGACTACCCACAGTGTGGGAGATGCACATTTGCCAACTTTCAGTCAAAAATTTCTAACAGCCCTGTGGATAGCTGAATTTTGATCGCGAATCTTGAATAAAGGGTCACTAATATATTTTTTTTAATATATGAATTTGCAAATACTTGGGGATAACTGTACTGTAAATACAGGGAGGACCTGAACATACGCAAATTCACACTTACGCGTGAATCCCACGAACATAACCCTCGCGTACTCTGAAACTCTACTGTACCTATAATGCCATGATACTGTATATTGTGTTGTCAATCTGAGGAAGTCATGTATTGTCACTTAACAACCACCATAAACTGCATTTGGTGCAGTCAACCCTCACTTTACGCGGTTAATTCAACCCACGGAGGCCCGCGCAAAGTGAGAAACGCGTAAAGTGAACAACATAACATATGGGATTAATTGAAATAGAGACCGGGCCGACCCCCAAACTCCACGTTTTCCCTGACACAATACGTACGTTTTACTAAAAATAACATCTTAACTTTATGATGGTATTCACCCACACATAATATAGAAAGGAACAGTCAATAAACTGAAGGTTAGGTTAGAAAAAAACAAGGTTGGGGTTAACACTTACGTTAGTAGAAGAGATGGGTCGGCGTACGGGAATGGAGGCTGGTTCCGAGGCAGAGGGCAGGCTACTGGCCCTCAGGTGAGTCACCATCACTGTCATCCACACTTGTCAGGGCCTCCCTGACAAATCCCTCAAAGCCATCATCACTGTCTCTACCTCTGTCACTATCACTGGCTTGGGCTGGCTGTGGTGGGTTGCGGGCGAAGAACTCTGTTATGCTTTGCTGACGGCTGGTGTTTATGTTGTCATGATAAACCTTGATGTAGGGCTCCATAGTCTGCAACAGCTGGGTAGTGAAGATTTCATACCTGTTTGCGTCAGGGTCGTCGGAAAGGAGGAGCTTGACTTTCTCGATACACTCGATGGCACCCCTAACATTACTATGGGATAAGCGGCGTTCTTCTTGGGATGACGCACCACCTGCCTCATCACTGACGTCATCATCATCTACCATCTCGTCGGGAGTCACATCAGGATCCCTTATCACCTCCAGGATGTCGTCGTTGGTGGTCTCGGAGAAGCCTGCAGCTGTAACACTCTGCGCAGCTTCTCTGGCAAGGTCCACTGCTACTGCAACAGTCTGAACCTCACCAGTCACAGATTGACTCTGCCTAATGGCCGGAATGCCTTGCAACACATGTCTCCATGCGTGACGAACAGTTGCTACAGACAGCTGATCCCATGCCTCCACCAAGAAATCCACAGCTTTCGTGATGTTGAATATTCTCCAGAATTGTTTTAAAAGTACTTGTTGCTCTGCCAACTGTTGATCCTCGTCGTCTTCGCTCTTGCTATCGGTGGTGGTGTCACTCAGGTTACGCAACTCTTCCCTGGTGTTGGTGTAGTCGTTCAGGAGCTTGAATTTTTTAGTAGAGAATGCAGCTTTTACACAACTCTTGGTCCATGGGCTGTAATATAGATGTAGTGTTGGGAGGAAGGATGACCACTTTTACGTTGGGGTGACGATCTAACAATAGGGGCGAGTGTCCTGGTGCGTTGTCCAGCAGCAACAAATCTTGAATGGCACATTCTGTTGCTCACAGAATTTCTTCACATCGGGAACGAAACAGTCATCAAACCAGGAGAGGGACAGTGTAGAGAACATCCACGCCTTACGTGCGGTCAGCCAGTGAACATTTAGCTTGGTCATGTCCATGCTCTTGTAGGCGTGTGGCTTGCGTGCTGTGTGGATCACCGATAACTTGAGCTTACAGGTACCGGAGGCATTGGTGGTAAACAGGACGGTGATGCGCTCCTTCTGCAACTCCCGGCCCCGAATCTTGCTGGCATTCTTCACAAAGAAGGTCTTGGAAGGTAGCTTTTTCCAAAAAAGACCAGATTCGTCCATGTTAAACACCTGGTCGTCGGTGTACTGTCCTTCCTCCATAATCTCACGTAAAAACGGAGGAAATTCCCAAGCCGCAACACGGTCAGCACTAGCTTCTTCACCACCAATGTTGATATTGGTGATCTTGTTCCTCTTCTTAAACCTCTGTAACCACCCAGAGGAAGCATTAAAGGGTTTGGGCTCTGTAATTCCCATCTTTCGTGACACTGCAGCATACAGTTCACGTGCGTACTCCTTAACTGAGCGCGTGTCCACCGCCATGTTCCGTCGCGCCTGACGCATCAAGTAGCTCACAAGTAATTTTTCCGTCTTGAGAAGCACCTGGTTGTGGAAATACTTGATCATAGAAGCACCTGTAGACTTTGTGATGTTCATGTGCTCCTTTATCTTGGCTGCATCCTTCTTAATTGTCCTGATCGTAGACTCGTTAACACCATGCTGGCGCGCGAGATCAACCTGTCTTGTTCCTTTCTCCAACTCTTGTATGATCTTATACTTAATTTCGTAGCTTAAGGAACGTCGTGTCTTCTTTGGCTTAGGGAGGCTGGGTCCAGGTAAGGAGAGGTTTCTCTCTGGGGGCGGTGGTCCGGCGGAAGCCATTTTACAGAACAATGGATGCACGATTACACGGTGTGGCCTGGAGGGATGAAACTGCCGCGGCTAGGTCAAGCGTCGTCTTTCCTCCCTCCCTCCCTCCCCCGGGTGGACACGTCATATTACTTTAAACCAAATACAGCTAGCAGCGGAGGGAGGTAGGGATGCATGGCCAATCACAGTCCGATACGTCATATGACGTCACTGATAACGCAATAGAGACATGCACTGCGCAACCTTACCGCGCGGCTTGCGGAGGCAGGAGCAGGCGGGACGGGCGAATCTAAAAATAGCGTCGAGCCAGACACTCTCCGCGTAAAGGGGTACACGCACTGAGGAATGTGAGCATTCCGGTTTTGGCAGGGTACCGCGTAAACGTGGAAACGCGGAATGTGGGACCGCGTAAAGCGAGGGTTGACTGTATTTCTGTATTACTTTACTGGTTAGTGGTATTTTAAGAAAATGTGAATTTTTTCTGAGCCAAAATTTTGAATTTCTTCTGTGACTTTTTTGTTCACCCAAAATCCAACCCTCATAAAGTCATGGATCTGACCCGGACTACTGTACTGCAATAAAAACCAATCCATTTTGCTTTCTTGAGACTCCATCCGAAACAACAAAATCTTACCTCGACAAGAGCCCAGGGAGCATGTTTGGGAAGTTTACCAGAGATGATAGTCCACAATACAGACAATATCCCATAACTCAGGTAATAGAGTGCCATCCCCAGTGCTGCACACAGCTTCTTCCAAATGGGCCCTGAAGTCGCAAAGTACATTGCTCGCACAGCTGCACAGAAAACAATTACTGTATTACTAAATATTCATAAAAGAAATGAGGGTATATTTGTCAATAATATTTCTTCAAAAGAATTATGAGGAAAACATTATTTTCATATGAATCAAGTGTTTTACCTGTATAAAGTCGCCTAGGAGCTGGAGTACTATCAAAGATGCATCCTTTGACCAAGATATTAGGAGAATCTGTTTCAGCCAAGGCTTGGGTCAAGGAATAATAAAGCATTGATCCATTGTTACTAAAAATGTGGAAGAAAACTGGATGATCATCTAAACTCATATCTCTTAGCAATGCCAGCAGTTTCTGGGCAATGGAAAGTTTTGAATTTTGTCTCGCAAAAATAAGTGATGTTGGGGAGGTGTAGCGGATTGTAATACATCTGTGGAAGAAATAAATACAGTAAGTAAAAATTTTACGTAAGTGAGTACACTACAGTACATGTGGAAAGTAATAAACAAAGATGAACCATATTGATAGCTAATATCACAAAAACTATAGTATCATCTTATCTTTGTAACATCCCAGGGCAGGGATGAATCAGTCAGGAGCTAAAGTTCAATGTACAGTGTTTTCTTTATACTGTACAAAAAACTGTCAATAAGTCAGACATCAATACTCAAGAAAAGTCAGTTTCTGTCTCATCTATTCTCTTTTTTTTTCAAATAATATATACTGTACTGTATACAGTATATAAATCTGATAAGTAATGTATTCTGTCTTTTCCAACATTTTACTCCATCACAATGGTCACCTCACTGCAACCATTTGGTTTGTTTGGACCAGTTCAAAAGAATTTGGAAGAGCTTAAATACAGTGCTTGGGGGACCAGTGACGAATCCACCAAACTTATTTGAGATGATCGCAGTGGACTTATTTATATATCCTTAAAATAGAGAAAATTTGCTATCTTTTGAAATCATTTTCATCTTAATGGGGATACAAAGAAAATATATTACACCAACTTTAACAGCAACAATCTAAAAAAAATTGGCATAATTGCCACTGTTCCCAATGAGTAACTCAAATAATCCCAAGTAATCCAACTGACTTATCTAATGTACTGATGACCCAATATAGGCTCATGTGTTCATTGGCTGTAACTGAAAGCACTGAGGTCAAACTACAAAGACCAGATCAACAGTGGGCCAGGAAAGTACTCAACTGGATCTAGGCTAAAATGAAAGTCCAAATACCACATGATGGGCATGAAGAGAAGGAACTCTCTCTCTCTCTCTATCCAAATTGAAACCTTCAAGAATGACAGAGAAACTCACCCTTTTTGATTATATATGCTGCAGTACTTTGCCAGATGGTGGTCCTGAGCACCTAGCCAACCCAGGAGGAACACCACTGGTTCTTTTTCCCCATTTGCTCCATTGACAAACACAAAGTCATCATCTTCATCGTTGTCCCTGCAGAAAATTGTTATAGATATAATTGGCATATTCCTGCACAGCTGCAAATAATTTATTCAAATTATTATCTAAGTAAGAAATCATTATATATATATATATATATATATATATATATATATATATATATATATATATATATATATATATATATATATATATATATATATATATATATATATATATATATATATATATATATATATATATATATATATATATATATATATATATATATATATATATATATATATATATATATATATATATACAGTGACTCGTTTCATGAACTTGGTTAACGAATTGCCTTCCATAAGGATCTTCAATTCGGTTAACGAACAAAAATTCGTTAACGAATTTCTTACGAACCGACCTCAACATGTTTTCGCTTGCACTGACTGGGCAACCAGCTTTAGTATCAGTCCGCCAATACATTAATCGGTTCTAGGGCTTAAATTCCTTACTATTTTAGTAAATATCAAGAAGTTTATACTATTCAATAATTTTAAAAGTTTAATATTCAATTTTTTAGTCATTTTAACAATTATTGAACATAATTGAAGGTAAAGTGACTAGTTTAATGTGCGGCATCCAGCCTCTTAACACAGCAAACTGGCGTTAGTCTCTCTCTGTTTTCACTGGCGGTAACATCTTGCTTGAGACTCTCTTCAACTAAACGCTTTTTATCTGTGTTTCCAAGCAAATTATTGGTCATTTTGAAATTTATTTTACATATTGACAATATATAATACAGTGCAGTGTTGATTTAAAGAAAATAATCTTGAAATACACCAAGAGAACTAAAATTTTATGGGTGAAATGGTGCCATGGGGTGACTTCTCTTCCACCCCAATGCCTTCTCTTCTTCCTTCTCCTCCACCCCCATTCTAATTCCCATCATCATCATCATCATCATCATCATCCAGGAGCCTTCTACATACACACCTCAAAGTAAGTGAACTTTTCTACCAGTTTTGTTGAATTTAGGAAATTTTCGGTGAGCTGGAACCAATTACCCAAAAACCCATTGAAACAATGGTTTCGATTAACGAACTTTTCGGTTAACGAACGCCCTTCTGGAACGGATTGAGTTCGTTACGAGGGGTCACTGTATATATATATATATATATATATATATATATATATATATATATATATATATATATATATATATATATATATATATATATATATATATATATATATATATATATATATATATATATCCACAATGGAGATGTGGATAAGGTAAATCTTGATAATATCACACAGGAAAAAGAGAAACAATGGAGCACCTTAGCTCTTGTCTTTATTCAAGACATAGTCAGAGGCAACTGAATTACAAGGACTGAGAGAGGCTTATGTACACAGGGTGACTTTACAAAACATGAGGTCAGGCCATAAACATGACATCCAATAATCCACACACCACCACCACCACCACCGCAAACATAAGACGTAACTAGTCATATTAAGTCAGGTCAAAAATATATTACCCACTAATCATCTATCCTACATCTACCTAAAATGCTTTCAAAGCATTTTTAACCTTGCGCCATTGCCAAATAAATTTGTGTAACATATTATCAGTTTTGTACTGACCATCACTAAGGTTTATAGAATTAATTTCTCTAATCAAACTTGATTCAACGAGAAGTCTTTCTGTGACACAGGATGATTTATACACTTTTAAACTGTTTTCCCAATCTATGGGATGATTATTGTTCCTCATATGAACGATAAGTGCACTGCTTTCAGATGCTGTTCTAATATTGTACTTGTGCTGTTTAATTCTGAGTTGTAATGCTTTCCCAGTCTGACCTACATAATATCCATTACAATTGCTACATGGAATGCAGTGAACACTTCCATTTACATTCAAGGTTGGGCTATTCTTAATTAACATATTAGTAATAGTTGAGTCATACAGTTTTTAAAAACAACATTAATGTTTAATAATTTAAGGGACTGAACTAACAGGACAAATTCACTGCGATAAGGTAGAGTCAAAATACAGCTACTCCTCGACTTATGACCACCCGGACATACGACCGCCTCAGTCTTACCAAAATTTTGTCAAATTACGTATTTTCGAGTCCCAACGTCAGTGATTGCGCTGTGTACTGACAAAATTTTCGTTTGTAATTCACTTTAAAATGGCTGGAAAGCTTAAAAGTGAGTTTTGTGGTGCTGAGAAGAAAAAGAGACACCCATTTTAGATTTTCTATGTACGTGTATTATTTAACTATTTTTTACTTACGACCTGGATTTGGGTCCCTAACGCCGTCATAAGTCGGGGAGCAGCTGCATTCTTAAATGTAGGAACTTGTCTAGTTTGAGTAGAATAAAAGGATTTTTTAGCCCTTTTAAACAACGATCAACAAACAATGAAGGGTACCCAAGTTTTTGTGCAATGGACTGAATGTGTTGCAGTTCTTCTTTAATAAATTCAGGGTCACAAATATACAAACATCTCAAAAACATAGCAGAAAAAAATGACATTTTGGTAGACTCATGGTGACTCGATAAGAAAAGGTATGTAACTGTCTACCTGTGTAGACTTTCTGTACACCTTAAATTTATGGTTATGACCATTTCTCATGATAAGCATATAAAGAAATGGTTCTCAGATATTAACGTTATTTATACTGCTAACCGTCAAGCAAACCTTTACAGAGTCCTCTCCACAGACAAAAGACAAAAAAAACATAAAATTTAAGCAAATCTATAACTTGAGAGCCATATTGGTTGAAAATGAAAATTTACCCCAATTTATATCATTGCAAAAGGCTTGCAGTTTTCATCAATTTCGTGAGATAAGAAAGTAATGGGCATGTAATGGCTCCAGAATGTACATGCGTCTACAGCGCATGTGCAGGGAGGGGTGGTGTTTGAGTTTCTTATTGGCTATAGCGATAGGAGACTTATAATTGAGCAAGAGTTTTTTGTCTTAGCCAATGAACAATATGTGGGTGCGTTGGGAGCGGAGATTTGATTTTTCAGTACCAGAATAACCAGATATGGCTGAACAGGTGGAAAGAGCTGTGCTGACATTGTGATAAGAGATTATTTTACGTCAATTGCAGAGTTTCATCAGAAAAATAGTATTAGGTTAGGTTTGGTTGGTTGGTATTTTATTTGTGATTTACTCGAAAAAACAATTCGTTAAGATTGATGGGTGGGGTTATCTAAAACACTATTGATTTCTAGCTGAAATTATCAAATTCGTTCGAAACTCATCAAATAACATTTCTAATATCCAAACAAAGACCGGTGCATAAGTGAAATTTGACCGTAACTTGTCTAGACTATTACCTTATTTTCTTACCTTCTGTTGGAGAGTCGAAACCAACTTTCCTATTATAAGGCAAGATGAAAATCAAAAAATAGTTGTGTTAGCTTAGAGGTATTACCAAAATTCACTTGCACAGTAACTTCAATCTAACAGACGGTCAATTTATAATATCACACTGGTCTTTATTTCGAGATTGAAAATAGGGTTTTTCCTATGTATTTTGATGCGTTTTGAATGAATCTGATATTCATTTCCACCGGAAATCATGTGCTTTTTAGATAACCCCCCTCCACCTAACAATCATAACGGAAAAAGTTGGATTTCTTTTTTAGAATAAATAAATTATATTACCAACCAACCAAGAAAACCTAACCTAACCATTTGTTCATGCTCCAGACGCTTAAAGAGTGAAGACGGAGGCTTGGAGCGATGCGTGAGCAGGGGGTCAGACCACCTCCGCCATAAGTAAATAAATCAAGGCGACACTTGTGACAGAGCGAAAGTAATAATCTTGAAAAATTAATATATCAGTTATCCTTAATTTCCGGTGGAAATATCATAGAAGAAAAATTACTTAGAAATGTGTAAACATTACGAGATACAGGTGCTTATCTTTAATAAGAAAATAAAAACCGTGTGATACTATAAATTCACCTAACAGACTAACAGTGACCTATGATGGTAAAACATTGAGTAACTTAACCACGAATTTAATACTGACCCTGAGTCGGTCCGTTTGTGAGTCTCCTTCGGGGTGGGCGTTGGGAAGGTTATGAAATACTCCAAGTCGTCCTCCATCTTCCCTCTTAATGTACCCAGCACTAATGTGAATGACACAAACAGCAAATAAACACACTTGGACCAAAAACTCTCGTGCAACAGATTAACTATTTTACAACGTTATCAGTGTAACACAAGGATAATCAGAAAACACAGCCACAGAAGTCGTCTGTTTGTTTGTGTTGGCGGAATGTGTAAGTGAGGAGCGAGATGCGCACCACCTCCTGTGTCTTTTCGAGTTAGTGTTACTTTATTTTTTCCTCTTCGCCAGTGATAAGCTGTTTTTTTTTTTTTTTTAGCAGCTTAGGCGATCGGTTACCACTTATCAGCTTTCTAGCCGTTCTGGCAGTTGGTCTGTTTTTTGTCGCTTTGTATTTACTTTATTATCCAGACAGTGTTAGTACAGGAGGAAACCAGAGTACCCCGAGGAAACCTGTGATGTTTGGTAGGGTCACACTGTTTAACTACACACTTTCCTAGTCTCAGAAGGACTCATTCCAGGACACACGTGACAGATAACCACGGTATTGTTATTGTTGTTATAATGTTATTACTGCGCTTCAACAAGTAAGTGCGTAACAAGGTTAATAATACATTAGTCCAACAACGAAAACAAAAAAAATAAGAGATAGATCCTTCTACAGGCCCGGGCAGTTTCTTTTAGCTCGGACGCTTAATACGAAAGTCTATACTTTTCGGCGCTATTACAAAGTTCAGTCAAAGGCCCAACAGCACGCGAGCTGCTTTGGAGCTTAAGTTTTTCATGGACAACTTAAACAAAATCATTTTTTACTTAATGCTCTTAAGTACAGAATTTTTTTTTTACAACTAGGTCATTTATCAGCTGTTTTTTTTTCTTAATTCGTGACAATGTTAAATAGGCCCGGCCAGTTCCTTTTATAGGCCCGGACAGCGCCTTCTAAAAGCCAAAAGGTGACCAAATTGGTGCCTGCATTCTGTATGTTTTGCATACCAACCCGGAGGCCCCACACACGAGGGCGTGGCTGCCACAGATACACGTGTAAACAAGTGTGCATAGGGGTCACAGGACGGAAGAGATATTCCATCACGGAAGGCCTGGGGGTCGAGGCGAATACCAAACGTGGCCAATATAAAGTCCTTGACATGAGGAGAACTCACTGCTTGCAGGCGAACCCTCTCCATGTCATTATTTTGATGTCCTCTCGAGCATATGTGAGGCAATCTTCTCCACTGTGGGTTTGTTTTAGTTCTGTTCTTGGGGGTCTAGCTGTTTGGGATGTGATTGTTTTATCCTCTTCACCACTGATCAGCTCGTTAGCCGCTTGAGCGATCGGTCACGTCTCTGTTACTTTTCTTTTTCTTTTTCCCTCTTCACCAAATGATCGACTCGTTAGCAGCTTGGGCGATCGGTCACGTCTCTGTTACGCACTGTTGGCAAGTATACTGGGCATGCACCGGCTCCTGAATGTACCTGAACCTGCTCCAGTGTTGGTTAAGTCTTGTCTTGAAAGAGCTCACACTCGGTGCCGTCACAACACTTTCTGGTAGATTGTTCCAAGAGTTCACAACTCTCACTCCGAAAAAGTTTGCCCTCACAGTTTTCTGGACTTGCGGCTTCTTCAATCTTGAGCTGTGACCCCTTGTGGGGCGAGTGTCCGCCAGCTCCAAGTAAGGACACTCGACTGAGTAGTGCCCCTTGAGATGCTTATACACCTGCTGAATGGATGCCTCCCTGAAACTTTGTTAGATTATCCATGCCCGACCATTTTAAAGTATTCTGGAATGATCCTTCCAACCAGTTCATCTGTTGTCACGCAGGGCGACAGGAATGGTGACAATAATAATCCGAGAGGCTTTGTAGATACCAGTTCCTCCCAGGCAAACTGGGAGGGGAGTCACTTGTTCCCAGTGAATCCTCCAAGGAGAGGTTCCTGACTTTTAAAAACATGGTTCTAAAAGGCTCTGCAGGGCGTATGTACTTTCCTGATATTTGGTTGTCGAAAGATGGTGCATACCTGAGGAAGAACGTCAGTCTAGGTATAGGGAGGCACTCTGAGATGAGACACAAGACATCGTGGGCATCCAAGGAGAATAGTTCTCTTTTTCATCTTTTTCAAATTATTCAGCTTACTTTAAGGGACGAAGGGGACCGCTTTGGCGCTCGTCCAGGGATGACGCCAGCAGGACGTGTTGGCCGGGTGGATGGCTCGGGCGTTTGGTAACAGGGCTCATCAGTTATGATTATTTCACACTTGGGAGTGTTAAACTGCTGAAGATAAGAAAAAGAAAGGGGGAAGGAAAGTGAAGAAAACATGGAAAGTGAAGAGAAAGGACAAATAAAATGTAAAATGTGAGGGGAAAATAAGGTGGAAAAAATATGGCGTAAAGTGGAAAAGGGAGACAAGACAGCAGAGGGGGAAAAAGCCGCTGTGAAAGTAAAAGAAAGAAAAATAGGCTGATTTGAGATGAAAGGAGAGATAATTCTTTAGGAGGATATAGCTTCAGGAACAATGAGTACCAAAAGGGAAAAGGAGGATTTGTAGGGAAAAGAAAGACATTCACAGAGGGGCGAAGTAAACGGCGAGAGGAGATACCCCGAAGAGAAATAAACAGCAAATACAGTATGAAGAAAACAAAAACGAAGACATGGGTGAGAGGAATGGCTGGAGGAGAGGAGATGGAGATAGGAGTGGAAGGAAAGAAAGAGAAGGGATGGTTGTGCGTCCTAACTCCCACAAGTGATACATAACTGAGAAATACTGTATATATAAATTTACTGCCTACTGCCGCACCTCCATAAAAGTCAGTAAAGTTGCATGTATGTTTAAGTAAAGTGTATAATCCAACGAGCCTTTTGGGTTATGGTAGCAGCTAGAGTTCTTAGGGTCGGGGGGATGGGAGGAGGGTTGGTGGGGAGCCATGGGGGAGATTGATTGGCATGCTGGGTGGTGTTGGTGCCATTCATCGGTATTCTGATAGGTGATGATACTGATTGGCATGTTGATGATACTGATTGGCATGTTGGTGGGTGTTGGTGTCACTGACTGGCATGTTTGTGGGTGTTGGTGTCACTGATTGGCATGTTTGTGGGTGCTGGTGTCACTGATTGGCATGTTTATGGGTGCTGTGGTAATGATTAGTATGTAGGTGTGTGTGTGGATGGTAGTGGCGGTGTACTGATGGCAGTGGTTGACGGGTTGGGTGAGCGTGACGTTGTTCTGGAGTGGGTGACAGTGAGGGTGGTAGAGCAGTGTACGGGGTAGTGGTGAGTGACGGTGGTAGGACGGACGAGGCGCGCCAGTACTAGGCTGAACGGCACTCAGTGAACACCTACTCGTGGTTCCGTGCATTTTTGTCATACAGGTACCTCATACACGGGTGCTCTATAAGTGCCACACATACAGGTGTCTCACTCACTAGTGACACAGGTACTTCAAACACAGATGTTATACTGTTTCCACACACACAGTTGTCATACTTGTGCCACACACAGGTTCCCTGGCACACGTACACAGGTGCTATACACACACACACACACACACACACACACGGGTGTCATATACACATACAGGTCCCCCCCCCCAACAGACAGGTGCACACACAATACACAAAAAAGAGGTACTACATACACATATCCGTACAAAGAGGTACAACAAACACACTTACACACATATCATAACACACGGATCCCCCCACACATACAGATGCACAAACACACACACACATAGCATAGATCCTCCCTCACAGACAAGTGCTACACACACACACACACTACTTTTACTTTACTTTTATCCTCCCTCTTCACCAATTGATCGGCTCGTTAGCCGCTTGGGCGATCGGTCACGTCTCTGTTACGCACTGTTGGCAATTACTGGGCATGCACCGGCCCCTGAATGTACCCGAACCTGCTCCAGTGTTGGTCAAGTCTGGCCTTGAAAGAGCTCACACTCGGTGCCGTCACAACACTTTCTGGTAGATTGTTCTAAGAGTTCACAACTCTCACTCCGAAAAAGTTTGCCCTCACAGTTTTCTGGACTTGCGGCTTCTTCAATCTTGAGCTGTGACCCCTTGTGGGGCGAGCGTCTGCCAGTTCCAAGTAAGGACACTCGACTGAGTAGTGCCCCTCGAGATGCTTATACACCTCTATTAGGTCACCCCTTGCCCGTCTGTGGTATAAGCTAGGCAAGTTCAGGCGCTCCAATCTCTCAAGGTAGCTGAGGTGCCGAAGGGCAGGCACCAGTCTGGTGGCCCTCCTTTGAACATTTTCAACAAACTGACAGTCCCTCTTGAAGATCGTTACGAGGGACGGACCGTCTAGATATCTGAATGACCTTCTTATAAGACCCAATAATTTATTTACCTGATTAACCTTCTTCTCGCAATGGCCCGAGAATTTCAGGTCATTGTCAACATACACACCTAGATCCTTCTCACATGCAGTCTCAAATAGTGCAGTTTCTTCATCCTATTGGGACATATGATACGCCTTCTCACCGTTGGTACGCCCCAGGTGCATCCTCTTACACTTCGTCACATTGAATCTCATCAGCCATTTCTTCGACCATTCTTGGAGCCCACAGAGGTTCTTTCTGCAATACTTGCCAACAGTGTGTACCAGAGACGTGACCGATCGCCCAAGCGGCTAACGAGCCGATCAGTGGTGAAGAGGATAAAAGTAATCCCCCTACACACAGAAACACAAGTACCATACACACGGATCTTCCCACAAATACATGTACACACACATAGATTCTCCCCCACACACACATACCAATTTTTCGTAGATACAGTATTTCCACGCAGTGAAAATATATCATGCATGGCACGTCCTGCCTGTGTATGGCCTGAACCAACAATATACTGTGTGTACACTCTTCGGAAAACAATATTTGTGACTCCTGTCTTGCTCAGTGTCATTTCCAAGTTTGTTACCGACTTACAGAAGCATAATTCTTAAACTACGTAAATAAATGAGCTCTTGGTAATATATTCAGTGTAATTATGTTTTTAGTAGTGGTTGGAAACTGGGCAGGAATCTTAGTGTACATAACAGGGGTGATAACTGTGTCAACACCTGCCTGCGATGCTGTGCAGTACTGTATATGCATTTTTTTTAATGCCAGGTGCTTCCTCTCCACTGTCAACTACCACTAAAACCTCTTTATTCTCTAGATCATCATTATTTCTCTCTGTCCATACCTTTATAATCCCACTGACAACTGAATACCGTCAACGTCAAGTATTATGTGTTTGGAGGAAGCATCTGATAATTTCCTAAATACTGTAACTTCATATTCATCTCAGCCTCACTGAATTTTCTAGTATGAGATGATAAAAATAAATAATTTTTTCGTCAATACATTTCATATACAGTAGAGTTACCCTCACCAACTCTAAGGAGATGACGTTATTCTAACAATATTATAATTGCTTGTAAAACATAACACAGTGTTTATACGGATCTATTCCAATAAAAAGTTTATCACAATCATTTAACTACGATATCAGGATTTGTGTAACAAACAGGAATATATACTGTCGATGGATAGATGGATATATAAATAAAGATATAGATAAATATAAAACAATTTGATATATATATATATATATATATATATATATATATATATATATATATATATATATATATATATATATATATATATATATATATATTTTTTTTTTTTTTGACATTCAGCTCAATAGGTAATGCTCCTTGTACATTACACAAATAGTGGCTTTAAAAAGACGACTTATCAGCAGTGAGAGAAGTGCAACAGTAATATAAAGTGATGAGATCATTAAACAGAGAGTACCATAATTTGTAACCGTGTGGACCGTTAACTTCATTATACAACTAGGAGACAAGAGTGTTGACACCAACAACCCAGAGTGCAACTGTCATCACACCACCACCACCGGCCCGAACACTACCATGTTGGTCACTTCGTGTCGCCTGGCTTTCTCTCTCTTACGCCGCCTCCCCTCTTTACGAGGCGTGGGCGTGTATGGCGTGGGTGTGTGTAATTTGGGAACAGTAGCAGGAGGTAAATATCAGCAGGCCCACGTCAGCGTCACTGCTTCTGCCGACCCGTCCACCACACACCCTGGCCAGGACGAAGGTGAGTCAGCCCACGACAGCACTAAGTAGTAAGTAGTGTAGGTACGAGAAGAGCAGGGCAGGGTAAAGTAAGGCAGGTGATGATAAGGCAGGGTAATGCAGGCCAGGTTAGGACCGGGCGGGGTATTTCAAAGCAGAGTAGGCCAGAGTATTGTGAAGTAGAAAAGAACAGGACAGAATAGTGAACAGTACAGTAAGTGAAAAGAGCTAGACTATATGTTGAGAGTTTTGTTGAGAATATTGTCAGAGGAAGTGCATGTAGGAGACTTAATGGGCGAGTGTTTTGAAATTGAGTGTATACTAAGGCTGTACATCGTCGCCTTGAATATTTAATGTATCTATGGATGAGTTATTGTGGATGACTCCGAGTGAGGCTCAACCATGGTATCACGGAATGGAACTTATGGAAGTTGCCAGTTGCTGTATACGGATGATGCTATTTTTAACTAATTCAGACAAATTAGACAATTAATGCGTAAATTGTTAAGTTAAAGTATGTGGGAGGAGGGTGGTGAGAGTTAAGACACATTAGATGCAAAATTTTAGTGTTTAAAATACAGGGTGATAATCTCAGTAAATAGTAGTACGCATTTCAGTGGAAAGAACCTCGAAACACATAATATTATATACATGGGGTTTATGTTGAACACTATTGGGAAGAAGACAGCACTAACTAGACAGAAAAAAAGCCTTTATAGACGAAAACATTGAAACAGTAAAGAATGACGTACAGTATGTACAGAAGTGCGGTAGGAAGAAGGGAGCAGAATATTAGACCAATGAAATAGCGTGAGTCAGTGATTGAGATACTGTGGTGAATATCAAAGGCAGACTCAACAGACCCGACACAGTGCAGTAGAATTTTTTACACGTTAAAGGACTGATACAAGAATAAGTCAACTTAGTGAGCAGAGAATATCGTCCGAGTTGAAGGTCACTTATTGTAGATTCTTAAGAACATAAGAACATAAGAAAATAAGGAATCTACAATAGGAGTCTTAAAGTCCCCCCTTACCCGTCTGTAGTATAAGCTAGGTAAATTCAGGTGCTCTAATCTCTCAGGGTAGCTGAGGTGCCGTAGTCCAGGCACCAGTCTGGTGGCCCTCCTTTGGACATTTTCAATCAACTGACAGTCCCTCACAAGTACAACAACCTCAGTATCATGTATCATCTACCAACATGATACATCGCTAATACAACAACCTCAGTATGTCATCTACCACCATGATACATCACGTGTACAACCTTAGTATTATGTATCGTCTACCACCATGATACTGGTACAAGAAACAGTAACTGGTAGTGAGCTAAGCTATTGTAATCGTGAGCTGAGGTAATGTAGTGGTGAGATGAGATAGTGTAATGGTATTCTGGGGTAATGTAGTGGTGAGGTGAGCAAGTGGTGAGAGTTAGTCTGGTGATGTACTGAGCTAATGTAGTGTTGAGATGAGCTGGAATAGTGTTGAGCATAGTTAGTGTAGTGGTGAGCTGAGTTAGTGTAATGGTGAGCTGAGTTATTGTAGCGGCGGGCTAAGCTAGAGTAGCGTTGAGCTGGGCTATTGAGTGGTGAGCAGAGTTAGTGTAGTGTGAGCAGATTTAATGTAGTGGTGAGCTGAGCCAAAGTCTCACCAAGAATAAAAATGTGTACATTAGGGAGACAAGGACGAAGCTTTGTATTTCTCGAGATTAAATTGTCTCTCAAGGGGACGGAGAGGTCGTTTGTTGTTTGTGAGACGCCGCATCACTTGAGGGTTGACTAGTGACATGGGCACATGGGTCCCAGTTTTAATCATCCCCAGTTTCAATAAGTCCCTAGTTTGATAAACCACACTCCGAAAAGGCTCCCAGCTTTAACCTAACTTTATCATTGAGACATACTCCTAATTGTTTATTTATGTAAGGTTAGGTCGGGACCTTCTAGGGGTGGTTGGCTGGGTGCCTTTGGCCTTCACCCGAGACAACACACTGATTATGAAGCACAATTCATCTTTTGTGGGAGGATATCATAGGGCAATATTTCACGACTTTTAGAGGATGGAGGGGAATGTTTTTTTTTTTTTTTAAACTGTTACCCTCTTGACCGCGGAGTATTGTTTTACTTTTAGCCTAAGTGTTACGGAGTAAATAATTTATACTACTACTGCTACTCTTTTTACTTCTCTCGTACTACTACTACTGCAACTCGTACTACTACTAGTGGTTGAACTAATAGTATTAATAACTTAACACAAAATTCACTGGGAAAAATTACGGTAAAGGTGTAGAAGAGGGTGACCACCAGAAATAATTGTCCGAATTGGTTGATTTTTTCTGCACACTAATATAATATTAAACACAAATATGGAAACGACAATGCATGAACCTAATAGAACCTGACAATCTTTTTATTTACTCCATCCCACTTCACAATTCTCCTCCCGGCGCCATTTTTGTTGTTTACCTTGCTGAATCCCTTTTCAAGAGACGTTTCCTAAATGATGGTGAACGCTTCCACATATTCTTCCTCGCCATTGCTAGTGTATATCAACCTCAATATTAAGGTAAGAAGTTTAACACAAATTAACACGATAATGCATAGAACATAATAGAACCTGACCTAACAAACCCATAGGTTGGGTATGTTAGGTCAGGTTCTATTTGGTTCTATGCATTGTCGTTTCCATTTTTGTGTTTAATATTGTAGTGGATTCCATCCCCTACAAACGCTGTTTGTCGCTGCCTAGCCAACCCCCACGATTTCACCAGCCTGCCCTCGTGGTCTAGATCAGCAAACAGCGCCGCCTTACACGACTGAGGTCAACTATTAAGCCACGCCTACCCCTGCTATATAAGGCCTCACTGTTGACGGAAGACAGAAACCCGTCTCCGCAAGGTGGATAGCCCACCTGCTGTTAACCTCCTCCTCTATTTCCCACTTCTGAACTTTACCTTGTACTGTACCCTTCTTGCACCCTCAGAGCTAATGCTCTCTTCTCTCCGTATCACCGACCGACCGACCTACCTCTTCGTACTACCCACAGCCACCAGCAAGCAACACCTCTTCCTCCGCCTGCCTGGCGGTCCTCGCTCCAGCCGGCGACCATGGCGACCCACAAGCTGGTCCTCCTCTGAGCACCCTCACCAACCAGCTCTCTCTACTCATCGCTTGTAACCATGCAGCCTTCCCAGCACCAACCTGCATTGTACATCCAATACAATATGTATACAGAGAGCACATTGTGAGTTTCCTTTCTCCATCCCATCCTGAGTGTGAACCAATATCTCGTACTCCACAATTTCATATTAGTGTGTAGAAAATTTTCAACCACTTCGGACAATTCCTTCTGGTGGTCACCCTCTTCTACACCTTCACCAAAATTACATGAAGCATTATAGAGGCTCAAGATACAACTAAAGGCTAACAAGCCGATCAGCGGCGAAGAGGATAAAAGTATGTAAATTGAGGATATGAACAAGTGTAGCCTATGTGGGCTTAGACAAGGACTAAGCAATTCATGCACCGGCTCCTGAATGTATCTGAACCTGCTGCTACAGTGTTAGTCAAACCTGGTCTTTTTATCTTGAAAGAGCTCACAATCGGTGCCGTCGCAACACTCTCTGGCAGGTTGTTGGATTTACTAACCTTTCGCGTTGCTTTCTACAGGTTCTTGACACTTTGTACTCAGAGACTACTTCATACCCAAGTAATTTTATACACAAACTATTTCATACGAAAGTCATTTCGTACCCATAGCGCACTGTAATAAAACAATTTAGTTGGGTAGTATGCAGTGTACTGGGTGTAGTGTGGCGTGTACTGGGTAGTATTCAATGTGTACTGGAGTGTGTACACTGTGTAGTGTAGTGTACTGCTGGTAAACGGTGACGTCTGCCGCCTGGACGTTTCATATTTTGCTAATCCATGAGTTGCATGAATCATTCTTATGGTCCATAGTGTTGTTTATTTAATACAGGGGTTCTTGATAATAATAATAATAAAAATGATAATAATAATAATAGTTTTAGTTATCCAATGACATATACTCGATTTGTATGGGACGGAAGGCGGCGTCCATTTCAAGTCAAACATGCTGCTTCACACACTAATTTGGCCTCATTTGCCCTGGTTATTATTTACTTTAACCTCTTCACCACTGATCGGCTCGTTCGCCGCTTGGGCGATCGGTCACGTCTCTGTTACTTTTCTTTTACTTGGTAGATTTGTGGTAATATTTAGTCCATTTTCCAGAGTGATGGTACAGATAACTTACTCTGAATAACCCGATTGTTTACAGTTAAAAAATCAGCAGCATTGCAGCTGAACTTCGGGAACCACAAGACAGCCTTCAAGCACAAGACGACACGGGAGTTGTTACGCGGGCTGGTGGTGCTTCACTCCTGCGCAGTTGACACCCTCGTCAACCACAGCCACAAGGTCACTCTCTATTGTTCCTCATTAAGCGATTTGGGTAAATGCATTTGTATGCAGTCAAGTAGCGTACAAGGTCCCAAGAACATTAATTACACTAGCCATGTTTGTGTTTATGTTCACCGGACAGTCAGGTTTTATGTAATAATGTAAGACAGTTTAGGTCCCTTGGGAAGTTTTGAAAATATTTGTTAACGTGATAAAGTTCAACTCTTTGGTCGTACACAGTCGCTTATATTATCTTGGTACGACTCATATGGCTGGCAATTCTGACGTTAACAGTTCTCATACTAATTTAGGCTGAACCACTTCAAACAGTATAATAATTTCTATAATACTGTATTGTTTATGAATGCTGAATTGAGAAAATAAAGAAATCGTGCGTATATAACAAGTGTGGAATAAGTAATACACGTTGTTACGTTACATAGTACTATTAGTTCATCAACAGACTACAGTATTAGCCTACTTGATGTCACCAAATGCTTTAAAGGCATGCTAATTATCAAATAAAAACAATTTATATTCATAAGTCTGATCTCTTTATACCGTCTGTGGCGGACAGTTTGGCACCCAGTGTCATGGGTCACTTCTCCATACCATATGCACTGTAAACATTCAGCGTTGAGAAGCTGCCACACTGTAACCATCATCTGATCGATATAAGTTATGATTTCAGTTATCGAATCGGCAAACACTCACCATCATGGAATTTTCCTCCAACTATGACCAGCTTGGGAAAACTACATTTGATAGAAGGGTACTGTACATAAACAAATAATAAAAATGTACATAAAAATTTATGTAAAAGCACATGAGCAGCGCCCCGGAGTGTACTGTACTGTAGTTACTTAACACGGCTTCCAATTCCCACACTGAAGTTGTTAATCAGATGGAAAGGTTATGTTTTGGTATTATTGTATTTTCACAACCCACATTCCTACCACTAATCTATTATCATATTCGAATAAGACGTCTAATTATAAGATCATTTTCATCTATTACATTACCGTCGCAAATGTATAATAACGGAGATACCGTATCCAAAATTTTCTCTATTTTCTTCCATAAATCTTTCTCCATTATCGCCTATCTCACCTCCCACACTGCGTCTCTCATAAATCATCACGCGCATGCGTTCCCGTACACGTCACACGGCCAATCAAAAGCGTTTTTTTTTTTTTTTTTTGCAACCAATTACAATTATTTTTGGTTTAATTAGCGGTATTTTTGGCCCAATCAAAATCGAATTTTACTTTGGGTCTCATATTTCCAAATTCAAATTCATTTCCGACCATGGAAGTCTGTGATGGAGCTGATTGCGAGTTTTTGAAAAAAAAAACGAAGAAACTATAGCATTTTTCGATCGCATGGTGTTCTCCCGATCTCAGTAGTGTTATAAGTGCAAGACTGAATGTAAATATCGTTAAGACCAACATATGTGGCATTGTGGAAACTCGTCCCTTATCTCAAAGACAAAGACGGCCAATAAGGTAAGAAATAAGTGATTCCATCATATAGTGAGAGTCAGTTAGGTTAGGCTGGGTTTATGTTTTTCTAGTGTTTTTTGGTGTATTTTGTATTCGCTTAGCCATTATTTTTTTCGGAAAACGTCCCTCGATAAATAAAAATCGAAAAAAACGGCCAATTTCCGACAGAAATGAAGGTCATATTCGGTCTACACATAAATATACTAGAAAATTCTATTTTTGACTTTCTAACAGAGTGGAATGTACTTATGCAAATTAACCTATGTTTTTGTCAGTAATAAATGTATTTGCTTCTTTAATTATGTATGTTATGATTATTAATTATTTAATCACCATTTAGGCGCTGCGTAGTAGGCCTATAGCGCTACATCTACAAGTGTTCAGTGTGTGGACCAGGCGCACTAGTGTGACCACACCTGGTGTTGACTTTGGTAACACGTGTTTGTGCACCTGCCTCCTCCCACTCATTGTAGCTACATCTTCCTCCCCCAGTGATGACAATGAAGCTACACCTTCATTTCCATTATGACTGTGTAACTACTACACCTTCCTTTTCCCTGTTTGTTGGGGGTGTGTATTGGGTGTACGGACAAAACCCCAGTCTCGTATATAAAATATAAAACTTCTATGCTTAGGTTAGGTTAGTTTAGTGTTGACAAATGATAACCCCGTTGGGGATTTGTCATGGATTCGTGTATTGGGAGAGAGTGCGAGGAGAGTAAGTGCTGGGGAACCCGTAATTGGGGATCGAGTAGTGGGTGAAGCACACTAACATAACTCTGTTCAACTATTGCAACAGTTGCTATCGTTGGGGGAACGGTTGCTGGGTGAACGGCTGTTGGGGTACATGGTGGCGCCCTTCTACAACCAGTTCGTGGCTGGGGACTCTGGGCAGGAGCTGGGGGTTGTCAGTCAGCGCCTTGCGAGTGTGGGCGTAAGGCTCATGGTGGCGCCCATGCTGGAGACTGACGTGGGTGAAGGCCATGACGTGTGAGTGTTGCCCACATAGGTCTTGTCAGTGTGTATGATATAGCCATAAATAAATATTTTCACTGTCTTCCCCTCATATGACTAACTTAATCTAACCACTTGTGTATAGAATCTCCTCTGTACTCTGTCTGGTGTTAGCCAAATGAAATATTAAGTGGCATTCTGTATTGAATGGGCTAATTATCCCCATTAAAGTGAACCACGTTATTGTGAAGCCTACAATGATAAAAGTTTATAAGTGTAGTGTACAGTATATTTATCCAGCTTAACTTTACATAAATATAAGTTAATGCAAATTTCAGTTCGACCTCCTGTAAACAAGTTAAGCAAAATCCTACAGATAATAAGTGACTTATCTTAATGTGAAAAAAACAGCTTGGCTAACCTAAGAAGTAAGAACCTCGTATAGTATCACTTACACTAACTTCCCATTCCTAATACCAGACAAGAAATGTACACCAAGAACCTCAACAAGACGATACACCTGATAGACCTGAGCCGCCAACACTCCATCTTAGGTACCGCTCGACCCATCTGTCAGACGAAGATCACAGCTCATGTTACAGCTGATATCCTGGTTAGTAACTTAACTTTCTACTTTCCTGTATCTTCATCACAGATTGGCCTGTTAATAGTTAGCCACTTGGAAGGTCGGTCATGTCTGTTACGCACTATTGGCAAGTACCGGCATGCACTGGCTCATTAGAAGAAATTATAGATAGGATATTTATGTAATTAGTACCTGTACAATTATCTCGTCATCACACTACAAATTCCTGTATATTCAGTCAGGGACAAAAGTTTGTTTCTTGTGGTGAAACCAAGTCACGGAATCAGTCTCCGAACTGACTTGCCCTAACCGTTTCATCTCATTTTGGGATGATGTTGCTTCATTTTGAGCGGGAGCTAACTTTTGACCCCAACTGTACAAGTTTCTAGTAAAAATAAATTTCTAGGATTTCATCATAATGGTACAAGCTATGCTTTGCCTGGACACGCATGGGATGGGCGTTATTTTTACTTTTATCCACTTCACATCTAGTGTAACCCTATTTAATCACAGCTGGTTTCCTGGTTAGATATTGGAAGCATAATGTAATGTCTATTGGTAGACCCTGCTGCCACATGGTTCACAAAAATTGTGACCAAGTCCCGGGTTACTGATCTTTCTGCCTCATTTACACACAATGTCAGGGTTTTGATTGCTTCTCTTACTATGACAACACAACATGCATATACAGGGTACAGGTTTCGTTTCTCACTATTTCAATTTCAATTGTTTATTCCTTGATAGAGGAAGCAGGGAGTGCTGTCACTAGGCACCCCTGTACAATGACACCAGAAGCATCTGGCAAGTGTGACATGTATATACAGTATAAATATTATAAAGGGGCTTACTAAAGCCTAAGGAAGGAAGGAAGGATATTCCTTTAACACATAATCAATAGTATTTACAAAATATCTGGCCAGTATGGGGATCATCATCGTGTCTCCGTCAGGGGGTCGTGGAGTGGTGGTCCAGCAGGCGTCACGGAAGCGTTGTGTGTGGGGACATCTTAGGAGGTTCTCACTATTGATCTTTTTCTTTTTTATTTATGGTCCTTTATTATTATTATTATTATTATTATATTTGATTTAATATTTTTTTATTTTTTTGAAGATTTTGTATTAATTATTATTATTATTATTATTATTATTATAATATTTTCGCCCCCAGGCCCTGATGTGGATCATAGACCTGTGCCCTGGTGGGCTAATCAAAGTGGGCCACCTGAAAAAAGTAAACCATTCAGGCTGAATACCAGATAGTTCAGACTCTCGGGTGCACATCTATTCTTAATGAATGAATAAAATTGGATGTGACATCTTGCAGGCCAGAGTGTCAACGGCCTACCAGTCTCTGAGTATGGCAGAACGTGTGGAGGCTGTGAGGGTGGTGGCGGCTCTTTTGGTGGAGGTGGGGAGTGATGGCCATACCACCACCTCCTCACACTTACTCCACCCCCTCCAACTCAAGGAATCAGATGCCCTGGAACTCATTGACTCCCTTCCACGTCTCTATAAACTTGGTATGGAAAGTTAGACACATACAAACACACACAAGTTAACAGCATATATCTCGCACTATATTTGAATCACATCAAATTTGAATCTTTAAAATTTTATACTTAAGGGAAGACAGTTTCCCTCTCCAAAGAAAGACAGTGAGTCATGTCGCAGGTAATGGCTAAGCTGAGAAAATCATAATACCCACTGTAGCATCGCCTATCATCTGTCTCTGCCATTCTTTATGTGTAGTGTAGATAAAATGCTATTCCTGGTCTTTATTTTAAATGTTTGTGCAGTGAACAGTATATCACTAATGTAGGCTTTAAATTGGTGTGCATGTGTGTGTATACATTACTGTATATCAATAAAATGGATCCTATTGCTAGAATTGCTATTTAACCAAATGGCATTTATGATATGATGTCACATGGGGTTCTATTAATTAAGCGCTTGTGCGTACAGGAGCGCAGTGTGTGTTGCAAGATGTGGTGTTAGCAGTGGATGCAGAGTACACCTACACCAATCCGGCCATCAACCTGCTCTCTCTGGCCATGATGAAGGTCTTCAACAATCCAACGCCCATCATCTGGAACACTTACCAGGGCTACCTCAAGGTCCATCTCCATTCTTCACTGAAGTAGACTCTTAAGAAAAAATAAGTACTGTAGATATTTTAGCAAAATCGCTCTGGGCTATCAAAGGTCCATGACAAATAATTTCCCCTAAATAAGGAAAAGAGAATGCATCGTTTTACAGAAGGACGTCAGTGCGATTTAGGCACCACTTTTGTTGCTATCGTTGTTTGATAACTTTCAGGAACATTTATTAATTATCAAATTTTTGAGAATTTGGCCATACGTACCATGTTGGAAACACCACTACTCACAATATCACACAAGGTTATGCAAAGTTGCACCTGGTACTATCAGTATTTGCCATGGATGAGTGACCGCCTAGGTACACCTTTTGCTGTTAGCCTAAGTTCAATTCTGTTTTATTAAGGTAAGGGAGTTTGTACTACAGTCTTAGCACAGGTGACTAATAACTAACCATTTGTGCAGGCAGGACGGGAGAACCTGGAGCATGACTTGGGTGTGGTGCGAGCGCTGGGTGGGAATGTGGGGTTCGGGGCCAAGTTAGTGCGAGGAGCGTACCTGGAGAGGGAACGGTCACTAGCCCAAGAGAAAGGCTACCCAGACCCTGTTAACAACACCTATGAAGACACCGCCGCCGTCTATACCAGGTCTCTCTCTTTGTTTTCCCTGCTTGTCATTAAAATTATAGAAATACTGACTTATTGGCAACCCTGTTTCTAATAGTCTTGATTGGTCAATAATAAGAGTGACATTAGAAGTTGGCAACCGTTAGGTCATGTGTGGTCGTTGATATAATGATTATGTTTTGAAAAAAATCACACATGAAACGGCTGCATTGTTTTATGCAATTAATACCTTCCATTGTTCTGCCAGTGTGTCTGAATCTATAAGAACAATAACAATTAATTAATTCACAGTAGAGACTCGCTCACTTCCAACTACACCTGGAGCTTGTGGAGGGAAAAGAAAAATGCTCGAATTAATTTTATCACAATTAAGTTGTATGATTTTCTAAAGAACTGAGTTATCTGTTATCTTCTGTTCTCTCATAGGCCATACTGTATTTAATTTTGACCTTCATAAGATGTCTAATCTTTGTCATTTAATCAAAGTTTTCTTATTTTCTATACAGTACAATTACATTTGGTAAAACTTAAGGACAGTACCACCACTAAACTATACATTTAACAACTATCTTCTCCATTAAAGGAGTCGTTTAATACCTTCTAATTCCGGCAACATTCATTCATTTGTTTTTGCTTATTTTACTTATGTAGATAATATCTCAGGCACTTTTTGAGTTAGAAAGCTGAAATTTTATCGCTTATCTTAACCATTTTCATTTTGAAAAACAAAACAAATACTAATAGTTCACACAGACTCACTACTGTAAATACTTGCAAATAACTGAATTACTTGTATTCAACGTTAATTAATTACGTATGGGTATTGAAAATTAATGTATCATATTGCATGAGCTGCAGCAGTACACAGCAATAGTATTTCTTATGGTGTAACTAACTATCCATAAAACCTGCTCTTGTATACAAGAACTATGACTCATGAACTAGTAAGAGAACTTTTAGAGTAAATACAATATACTGTACTCATAAACTCTATGAGTAGACTTAGAGTATGATAACGCTAGCCATCTTTGTAAGATACTATAAAAATTATTTTTATGTAGTGTGAGGAGGTGATTGTTAAGTGTTGTTGCAGCATGGTGGAGGTGATGTTGCAGGAGGTAGCAGCAGAAGCTGAGTCCCGCGCTGTGGTGGTGGCCACACACAACGAGGCTTCCGTCAAGCATGCTGCGGGGAGGCTGGAGCAGCTGCGCCTTGACCCCCAGGCAGGCAACGTGGTGTTCGGCCAAGTGTATGGCATGGCCGAGAACATCTCCGTCCCCCTCGGTAAGTATTCTGCTGAGGGTGGGGTATTACCATATTAAACCTCTAATGGGCAGTATCGCACTTAAACCAGACAATCTTATTCAGCTGAGGGAAACCCCTGCCCCTCAAAGGATTAATATGGTAATATATATGTGTGCGTGTTTATTACTCTTAATATGGATAATTACCAATTAGCAATGACTCCTATATATTTATTCATGAAATGCAAGTATTTACAGTAATCCAATTCTCATAGTACTTAATTTTAAACTTGATCAATAATACTGTACTGTGACTGATACTGTACTTACATTCCATCATGAAATAACACATTTCATCACTCAGTAACACAGGTACCCTACACCTATTCAGATATCCTTATCTTTACATTCCCTACCTGTTTGAACAGACATCAGGTTCTCTGTATTGATACTGCCTACACCCACTAGCGGATCCTGGAGGGAGGCCTACCCAGCTACGCCCTTATCCTCCTGGCACACAGCCTTCCATCTAACTGGAAAAAGAATCCAAACTTAAAAAATTAATTAGTTAAAAAATTTTGAGGTATATTTTTAAATTATCAAAGTTACCAAAGTTAGATGTCAGGCTCTCCCATAGAGCTAACGAGCCGATCAGTGGTGAAGAGGATAAAAGTAAAAGTAAAAAAAAAAATCCACCATTAACTATTATCTTGCATATTCTAACAAGCTATTCTTCTTTGCTGTTTAAATTTTGTTGCATAAAGGAGGTTTGTTTACCAGCCCGCACTCCCGAGTCTGACTGATGGATCCCCAGGATCCCATTCCTCCTCCTCCAGGATATCAGTAGTAAATTACATTACTTGACACCAACACACCTCTGAAGTCTGCTCATTCAATCTGTGTGCAATAGATTAGTGCTAAAATGCTATTGAGTGTGGCAGCTCTGCCTATTTAATTTTACTTTTATCCTCTTCACCACTGATCGGCTCGTTAGCCGCTTGGGCAATCGGTCACGTCTCTGTTATGCACTGTTGGCAAGTACTGGGCATGCACCGGCTCCTGAATCAGCTCCAGTGATGGTCAAGTCTGGTCTTGAAGAAGCTCACACTCGGTTCCGTCACAACACTTTCTGGTAGATTGTTCCAAGAGTTCACAACTCTCACTCCGAAAAAGTTTGCCCTCACAGTTTTCTGGACCTGCAGCTTCTTCAATCTTGAGCTGTGACCCTTTGTGGGGTCTGCCAGCTCCAAGTAAGAACACTCGACTGAGTAGTGCCCCTTGAGATGCTTATACACCTCAATTAGGTCACCCCTTGCCCGTCTGTAGTATAAGCTAGGCAAGTTCAGGCGCTCCAATCTCTCAAGGTAGTTGAGGTGCCGAAGTGCAGGCACCAGTCTGGTGGCCCTCCTTTGAACATTTTCAACCAACTGACAGTCCCTAGCATAATATCTCGGGGACCAGATGGGGAAGCACTTCACTCTTGAAGATCTTTACGAGGGACGGACAGTCTAGATATCTGAACGACCTTCTTATAAGATCCAATAATTTATTTGCCTGATTTACCTTCTCGCAATGGCCCGAGAGCTTCAGCTCATTGTTTACATACACACCTACTGTAGGTCCTTCTCACATTGTCTCAAATAGTGCAGTTTCTTCATTCCGTTGGGACATATGATACGCATCCTCTTACACTTCGTGACAGTGAATCTCAGCAGCCATTTCTTCGACCATTCTTGGAGCTCACAGAGATCCTTCTGCAGCTCTTCACAGTCCGCATGGTTCTTGATTTTCCGAAATAACTTGGCATCATTGGCAAACATTTGTATGGAGGAGTGTACAACGTCAGGCATGTCATTTATGAAACAAACAAACAACAGCGAGCCCAATATGCTGCCCTATGGTACCCCGCTTGTGACAGGTACAGATGATGATTTCGTGCCATTAATCACCACACACACACACACTGCTTGCGGTCATGTAGAAAGTCTTCTATCCACGCTAGGACATTTCCCCGAATTCCGTACCCTTCCAGTTTGATTTTCAGCCTTTTGTGGGGTACACTGTCGAAAGTCTTGGCAAAATCTAGGTATATATTGTCGATATTACCACCCCGTTCCAGAATATGGGTGCAAATATCCAATACCTTGAGCAATTGTGTTAAGCAGGAGCGCCCCGACATAAAACAGTGTTTGCAATCCTTTACAAGGTTGTTTCGTAGTAGATGTTCCATCGCGGCATCTCTGATAATACTCTCAAGTACTTTAAGTACTTTACATATTATGCTGGTCAGGCTCACCATTCTATAGTTGTTCGTGGAGTGACGATCGCCCTTCTTGAAGATAGGACTTACTTAAGCCACTTTCCAATCACTGGGGACCTTTTGTTCATCATATGAATTATTATTATTTTTTAAATTTAAATTTTCATGTGTGAGAGTGCTGGCCTTCTCTTGCTTTTCACATATCAGTTTAATGTGTAGAAATGATTCTACAAAAGACCTGTTACTTTTATTTTTCAGTGGGAGAAGTGTCTGAGTAGGCAGGGAGAGAGGATCCCACTCTTGAGCCCTGAGCAGGAAGTGGAATCATTACATTAGAATTTTAATTATTTATTTATACTGCAGCTGCATCAGGATTCCTGGTGTTCAAATCAGTGCCGTCCGGCAGTATGTCGGAGGTGATGCCTTACCTGTCCCGCCGAGCCAACGAGAACAGGGCGGTGTTGCGCGGAGCCAGGCGGGAGAGACAACTGCTCACGAGGGAACTCCTCTCAAGACTACCCTTCAGCCGTTGATACAGATGTTCTAGAGAGATATATGACATGATCACTGCTTACCCAACTTCATAATTTCAGTATAATACTACAATATTGTACTGTATAGTTAGTTATTACTTTTTTCAATTATTTTTATTGATTTTATCTTTTACTTTTAATTTTACCCTCAGCCATTGAACAGCTCATCAGCCGTTTGGGCTGTCGGTCACGTCTCTGTTACTGTTAGCAAGTATACTGGGTATGCCTCCCTCTTATTCTTTTATTTCGCTTCCTTACAAATGGTTTATATTTAGACATGAAACTCTCTAGTGAAAAGAACATATGTACTGTAATTAGCATGTCAACTTATGACAAAAAGGTTTTCATTTCCAAAATATTGAGATAATGGTAAATACAGTATGCTATTGTTGTATTATGTATGGTGGACTTGTTGATACAGTACTGTATATTAGGGATTATTGGAGTACAGTGCTAGTTTTGCTTTGTCTATACAATATGTAAAGATTATCTAAAAGATGAGTTGATAAGAATTTAAATTATGTGTTGTATGTGTGAACAGAGAGGACAAATCAAAACAATTTTGGAGAGGGTAGAGGAAGGTCAAAACATGAAAACGGGTTGAGAAATTTAAATGAAAGCTGGCAAATATGCTATATGTTCACTGCCTAACACATAAGCACTGTTTCACTGAATATGGCAAGTTTCATATAACCATTGTGATTTTTTGGTTTGTTTTAATTTTTACTGAGAAGTACTTACACAACTGACCTTGATCTGTGAGCCTGGGAGGGGGGAAAAGACTTGGTGGTCATCCTTCACACAAGATTTTCGATAATATGAGAATGATTACTGTCTTCCAGCTAGTATAATTAATTTTAGTGATTACTTGACACTTGCTATCATCCAGTATCAATAATAAATTTCAAATTTCCCACAACCTAAACACTACATCATCAAAAAAATTTTCTCCTGTACCAATAAAAGAGGATCACGTATACATTTTTTTTGCTATATTTAATTTAATAGAACTTCCCGAGTTATACAGTGGTCCCTCGGTTAACGAGCACAATCCGTTCTAGAAGGTTGCTCGTTAACCGAAACCATTGTTTCAATGGGTTTTTGGGTAATTGGTTCCAGCTCACCGAAAATTGCCTAAATTCAACAAAAAAGGTAGAAAGGTACACTTACTTTGAGGTGTGTATGTAGAAGGCCCCTGGATGATGATAGGAATTAGAATGAGGGTGGAGGAGAAGGGAGAAGAGAAGGAAGTGGAGGTGGAGGAGAAGCATTTTACTGCTTCTTGGAAGGTGAGTCACCTTCCATGAAAATGTCAGGAACCTCTGGACTGACAGATTCTCCACCAATAACATCCTCTCTCCTTCATGAAGTGGAAGGCTGAGGGCTAGCATCTTGTTCTCGCTGCCTTTTACTAAAGAAACTCAATTTTTGTTTGTGGGGCATCTCTCCTCCTCATCATTAACTGATGTTTGAAGAAGGAGATCACTGTGTCCTCAACATGACACAAAGCTAGTTCAGACTTTTCCACATCTGGGTGCCTTGAAGCCAGTTTCCTGAACTTCTTTCAGTGGTGAACAACATCTTTCAACTCTGAAGTTGACATATGGTCATCACTTTCCGTTTCCTCCTCACCACTGTCAGCCTCTTAACATCTCATCCAGTTGCTGCAAGTCTTCAGGATTAAGTTCCTGTTCATGAGACATCACAAGCTCTTCTACATCATCCTCCTCCATTTCAAGGCCAAATGACTGACCAATGGACACAATCTCCTGGTGCAACTCTGTTTCATCCTGAAATCTCTCAAAATCATGGACTACTGATGGCCACAGTGCTTTTCATGAAGAATTGAGGGTTCTAGTGGAGACTTCTTGCCATGAAGACACAATCAATTTTATAGCCTCCAGGATGTTAAACTGTGTCTTACAGAACTGTGCCAGTGTTAGTTCAGGATCAGTGGAAGTTGCCTGATGATGACACCTGAAAATTTTCATGTACAGCTTCTTAAAGTTGCTGATCACATTCTGGTCCATTGGCTGTATGATTGATGTAGTGTTGGGAGGCAAAAACAACACTTTGACAAAGTCAAATTGAGACTCCAAAGTTCTGGCAAGTTGAAGGTCATGACCAGGGGCATTATCCATGAGGAGAAGAGCCTTTAAAGGGAGTTTATTGGTGGTTAGGTAGCTCTTCACAGAAGGGGAAAACACCTCAACAGCCCATTCATTAAAGAGCTGTCTTGTTACCCATGCCTTACGGTTGGATTTCCAATAAACTCCAAGCCGTCCTCTTACCACTTTTTGTTGCTTGAACACCCTGGGGTTCTCAGAGTGGTAGACAAGCATAGGCTTCAGTCGGAAATCCCCTGAAGCATTGGCACCAAGCAATAGAGTGAGACGGTCTTTCATGGGTTTATGCCCAGGTAAAGAGGCTTCATCTCTGGTGATGAATGTGCTTTTGGGCATCTTTTTCCAGAACAGCCCAGTTTCGTCCACATTGAACACTTGCTGTGGAAGATAATTTTCTGTATCCACCAGTTCTTTAAATTCCACTAAAAACTTTGCTGCCCCTTCCATATCAGCACTGGCAGCCTCACCATGCCTAACACTAAATATGTCACTTCTTTTCTTAAATTTTTTTAACCAGCCCTTGCTGGCCCTTAAATCTTCAAAGTCTGTGCCTGAAGAACCAGGTTGATTTACCTTTAAATGTTCGTATATTTCCCTGGCTCTTTCACAAATAAATTCAGTAGAAACTGAATCACCTTTCATCTGTTTTTCCCTAATCCAGATGAGTAGTAACCTCACTGTTTCTGCTATTAGGGATCTACCTTTGAACACTCTGGTAGACTTGTCTCTCACTTTCACTTCCTTGAATTTGTCTTTCTGTGCAAGAATTGTCGATACAATTGATGTCGACATGCCATATTCTTTGCTTAGCACATTTGTTCTAATGCCTTCTTCATGTTTTCTAATTATTTCCTGTTTCATCTGTATTGAAATCGCTTTTCTAGATTTCTTGGGACCCATGCTGGATTCAAAAACAATTTCAACACGTGTTATTTTAAGTTCAATTGCTGTAAATAAAGAATATTTTCTTTAAATTAACACTGCACTGCTCTATATATCATCAATATGTAAAATAAATTTCAAAATGATCAATAATTTGAATGAAAACAGAAAAAAAGCATTTATGTTGAAGTGAGTCTGAAGCAAGATGTTACCTCCACTGAAAAGACACAGAGACTGAATCCTGTTTGGTGTGTTGACACGCTGTTTGGCGCGCATAAAACTAGTTTCCTGTACTTCAATTATGTTCAATAATTGTTAAAATGACTAAAAAATTTAATATTAAACTTTTAAAATGATTGAATAGTACAACCTTCTTGATATTTACTAAAATGGTAAGGAATTTAAGCCCTAGAACCGATTACTGTATTGGCGGACTAATACGACAACTGGTGTGCAAGCGAAAACATGATGAGGGCCGCTCGTAAGGAATTCGTTAATCGAGGGAATGCTCGTTCACCGAAGTTAAGAATCTTATGGAAGGTAATTCGTTAACCGAAATCTCGTTAACCGAGGCGCTCGTTAATCAAGGGATCACTGTATTAACAAACTTGGTTCTACCAGTAGAGATTATCATGATCAGTGCTTAATGCATAGAACCAGAAGCCCTGATGCCTTTGTCCAGACTATACAGGTACTAGTAACAATGAGAAGTTCATTGAGGTGACCATCACGGAGTGTGCGTTTGATGTTAGTTTGGGTGAACCTCTGCCTCCACTCAATTAACTGTCATGGTCAACAGTCACTGATTATTATTTTTCATAAATAACCTATCTTATTGTTACTTCTTTTTCTTCTCTCAAATGAAACATTTTGAAAGTTGTGGGGTATTTTCATCACTATACTCAGGGTTGCTCTACATATAATGAGAAGAACATTTTATTCTACACCACAATTTGCAAGTGTCTACCAAGAGGTTTGATGCAATATTCTGTATACAGTACTAATAATGTTGAACCCAACTTTATAATATCTGTTTATATGGATTCCTTACAACATTCTATGTACTAATAATGGTTGCCTCCAATATAAGAATTTTTACATACTACATGTGTTACAACATGATAATGGTACGCTACTCTATATTGTAATGAGTACGGTAATACATGTTACAACACTGATACAGTACAGTAATGGAGTATATTATACTTAATGTCTTTGAATATTATGCTAGGTTTAAGTGGGTGTTTGGGAGACCAGTCCCTCATGGCAGTCACACTCACAGATTCTGTTTATATCACGCCACCTGGCTAAAGGCCCTGGGACTACACCTCCTACTAAACATTAACGTTAATGATAATGAAGATGCTTTGTTGATCCTAGTTTAAATTTTTTTTTTTTTTTTCAAAATATACGATCTATGAATACCACTCATATTGGTCATAATAGTCTGCCTGTTAAAAAAAATAGATCTGGTTCAAATTTTACAAGAAAAATCACATTTTAAACTAAATATTTGCCAATGACCTCAGATTTTTATGCATGTCCCAATAATGAAGTAATTAATTACTTATCTTTTCAGTCAATGGAGGGAAAATTTTCTACTAAATACTAGTCAAATTTGCTGGGTTAGATGGATTCCTACTATAGAATCCAACTGAGGTAAAATGGGAGCACATGGTATCAGTCATAATATTTCCATAAGTAGATAGTCTAAGAAACAAGTACTGTATCTTCCCAGTTTTGGTTGATGAATATTGAAACCTGGCAGATTACAGTACAGAATACTGAAAGGTAACCAAGACTTCTTCTGGTCAGTTGGTACGCCTGAATAGATATGCGCTTTGAGTTGTTCAATGAATGATTATTCAAAATAGTGGACTTACTTTTTATTTCTGAAATACGGACACATATACCCAATAATGAATGATCATTAGAGAAAGTAAATAATTACAGTATGCTCATTAATTGTGTAACTGGGTACCCCTTTCCAAGACTCAAAAGGCCTGTCCACTGTTTATGAGGTACACAGATGTGTGTGTTGTGGGACTCAACTTTTCTGCAATATATTCACCAAAACTTGGAAAGATAGTTGTTTCTTAGAATGTACATGTACACAAAGTAAATAACATTAACAAGTAGACATACCAGATATGTGAACTCCAGTAGAGAGCATCTACCCTATTAGTCTTCTGAAAGGATGTGACGTCATGTATGTGGCTCAGTGCAGACGAAGTCATTGTGTGCAAGCATAAAATTCACTTGAGCTGTGACCCCTTGTGAGGCGAGCGTCCGCCAGCTCCAGTTAAGTGGAAAAAATGGACTGATACAACAAATCATTGAATACTGATTTATTGTTGATTATACATAGATTACAACTAGGTAATACACAAGTTATATTTTATACTATTCCAGTATATATATATATATATATATATATATATATATATATATATATATATATATATATATATATATATATATATATATATATATATATATATATATATATATATATATATATATATATATACTGTATTTAAATCAAAATAAATATAGATTTATAGCTTACTCATTTATTTATATAAAAATACTAATTTTCATAAAACATAAAAATTAGATAAACATGAATATCTAGGTTGATATTTGTTTAATGTTATCCTCTTTGCCACTGGTTGGCTCATTAACTGCTTGGGCTAGAGTGAATGAACTATTTTACTTCAGTTCTTAGATATAGTCATCATATGGACCCTCTGTTTATACATGTACTGTGCAAGTTATAACTTTGGTTATATATGCAGTCCATCCTTTTGTTCACCATAGAAGAAATTTAATTAATTTATTTATCATTTCCATCACTTATCAGCTTACTAACCTTTTGGGCAATCAATCAGTTCTTTGTTTCTTGGGACCTTCATTGTCCAGTGATAGTATAGGAAGAAAACAGAGTATCTGGAGAAAACCTGCAATGTTTGGTAAGGTCACACTGGATAACACCCTTCTCACATTTGACCATGGGAATCAAACCCATGGCAGCAGTGGTGAGAGGCAAGCATGCCACCACCATCACCAAGAAATATTTATTTTAAAACCTATATGTAAACCAACTATGACATTAAATGAACCTTTGAATCAAGGCACACTAATGTCCCTTGCTCAACTCCAAGTGTTAACACCTGTTTCCCGTGCTTGTTTACCATGTTTCATGTGTTTTTGGATGATGCAATATTAGCCATACATGCTCCCGAGTGTTAAGAGATTTGAGAAGGAAGAGAACCTGAGTATGGTAGATGATGGCAAACTGTTGTTTGAGGGACATACATGATGAAGCAAACCTCTTGATTGGTCTGATGGTGAATCCAGGGGGGGTTCCTGGGGAACCAGACCCCCCTTTTCATAAGAAAATAACAATACCTTTTGTTTAATGCAATATTGTACTCAGGCATTTATGTATAGTAAAAAGTAAGATTGGAGTGCCTGAACTTGCCTAGCTTATACTACAGATGGGCAAGGGGTGATCTAGTTGAGGTGTATAAGCATCTCAGGGGGCACTACTCAGTTGAGTGTCCTTACTTGGAGCTGGCAGACGCTCGCCCCACAAGGGGTCACAGCTCAAGATTGAAGAAGCCGCAAGTCCAGAAAACTGTGAGGGCAAACTTTTTCGGAGTGAGAGTTGTTAACTCTTGGAACAATCTACCAGAAAGTGTTGTGACGGCACCGAGAGTGAGCTCTTTCAAGACAAAACTTGACCAACACTGGAGTGGGTTCAGGTACATTCAGGAGCTGGTGTATGCCCAGTACAGGGTACTTGCCAACAGTGCGTGACAGAGACGTGGCCGATCGCCCAGGCGGCAAGCGAGCCGATCAGTGGTGAAGAGGATAAAAGTATTGACCTTGGAATATCTCCTAATATCAAGTGCACATGGCTTCCAATAGGCCACAAAATGACCATGATATTGGTCAGATTTAAAAAATTTTCTTGGGGAGGGGGGGCCTTACAGCAAGCCCCCAAAACCCCCCAGCTGAATAGGCTCGCTGTGCTCGCCAGTTTTCCCACCCACAACTTATTGCCCCCGATATTCCTGGATCCACTAATGCCACCACACAGTGCTAGAAATCTCTTGCAGTAACTGGAAACCCATACACACTTATAAATGGACAGTGGTTATTAAATCCATGTTGGTGTACTATATCAGATCTGAACAAAATTACACTGGCTACCATGTTGTTCATCTCATGTCTGACTCCCACTACCAAACCAGCAAATCCCTTATATAGATACAGTAACTAAGCCAAATTTCTGAGTAATGAAACCTGACTATCTCATATTTCATTATCTAAAAATATATTTTTTTCACAAAACTTCATCTAAACTTTGGAAATACTGGTGGGTTAGCTGCAAATACTTGATGACGACAGTGTACTGTCCAGCTGATGATAAGATTTAACTTTCCTGTAGCTAGTCATGGGGAGTTAATATGAGCCTGGAACTTAATCCCCTTATTTCCCATATGCTCAAGGTATATTTTTAAGTGAGTTCACTTTTGTATTTTCCATGAACCTAACCACTGTGTAAATTGAGGGTGTACTTTATATCATAGTGAAATGTTTTTGTTATTATATGGACTAAACCATTACAGGGTAATGATAAGTACTTAAATACAGGTACAACATCTAATCATAATGCAGTGTGAACTATTTATACCACAATAATAATAATATAGTTCCCTCCCTCACTCTAAACGAGTTCTGTAAAAGCAAAAACAAAAAACAAGTAAATGATTTTCTTGTACTGTATCACCAAATATTGATGAGTGCGAGGTGTAGTTCATATTGAACAAGATTGGTGAGACTGTGATGTATGCTCATAGCCATTCTGTATTCCCCAAGTCTGAAGTGCATGAGATAGTGAGTCTTACAGTGAATCAGGATATACAGTACTGCCTAATTCCTGCCAGTACACACAAGCTATTTACAGCATAAAGTCTCTTCCTGTTCCCTCTCCATTTATTCATGTACTCTGTGTGTGTACAACATTTGTAATGAGTGTAAACATTTAAACTAGCATTTACCATTGCCATATGAAGAATTCTAGAACTCTCGGTGTGTTTTTTTCACGCCGCAGTTTGGATATACAGGTACGTACAGGCGTGGGGTGAGCATCTACCGCACGTGAATTTTCACGTGCGTGCTCTATATGAATGGTCCCATTGAACTTCGCTAATTTGTAAACTACGTGGGTCTGTACGTGCAGAAAAAAAAGCCCATGTGAAGATGTGAAGCAGGTCTTCCATCAGAATAAGATAGCTGCAGCTAGCCTGCCAGGCTTGAAATATTACTACAGGGTATATCATATTTTTCATTTATGAATAAGCAGGGTATGCTTTGCTGTAATCGAATAAGGGTGTTAAAATGTTAATGCGAATAACTAGGTATTCCTGTACAGGTGCTCCTCTACTTACATTCAACATGAACTTTCAGAGATACCTGTACAAACACTATTGCTGAGGGGGGGGTTACCTGCCAGAGTTGGAGTTTAATGTGGATTATATTGGAAGAAAATGCCTGAGTAGGTAGTAGGCAGCTACCGAACAGGGAGGTACTACCGCCTGGGAAGATATTAGCAGCATAATGTGTTGTCTAATGGTAGACCCTGCTGCCATATGGCATCACGAAAATTGTGACCAAGTCCCAGGTTGCTGATCTGACTTTCTGCCTCATTTACACACAATTGTAGGGTCTCAATTGTTTCTATTACATGACAAAACAACATTCTCACTGTTGATTTTTTTTCATTCTTGCATTTTTGTATTTATTATTATCACAGTGTTGTTATTATTACCATTAATATTTTATTTTACTTTTTATTATAAATTTTATTTACTATGAATTATTATTATTATTAAATTTTCGCCCCCCGGGCCCTGATGTGAGTCAGTAACCTGTGCCCAGGTGGGCTAATCCCCGTAAAAAAAAAAAAAAAAAAAATGCTGTGCTGTTGAGTATAGCTGTACTGTACATCCTTTATTTTTTCATTTTTTATAATTTGTTTGGTGTCTACAAGAGTAAGGTTGGACTTAAGAACAAAGGAACTTGCGAACGAGCTTCAGGAACGTAGATAGAGGAGCACCTGTGCTTCAAAGCTTAAACAGAGCCTGCTTCAGTTTTTTTTTTACATTTGTTTCATTCAAAATTACCTGTGCTGTAGAGTGTAGAAGATTCAACAACTGAATTAAAGTGATAGAAATCATTCCTGGAATATTTTTTTTTAACAATTTTGAACCAAAATATTATATAAGAGTTAAGAATTAGCCAGGGGTAACAGTTACTTGTTTTTATAACTTAGACTCTTGGGCATCAAAAGGTGAGGAATCTGGTGATGAGGAGCACTCACGGTGGACAATGGCAGAACACGAGATCTTGTAGGGTGTAGACACTGGTGGTGGGGAAGGCATCGTGGTGGAAGGGGGTGGTGACAATTGATGTCTCAAAGATGAGCCAGTGGAGGCAGAAGAAGTAGCAGGCAGAACCTTGGGGAAAAAAAATTGTGTTTACCTTGACTTCTGAAGGGATGAAAATGTAAAAGCAAATGTAATTATCAATTTTCAAGCTATTCCCAATGTAACTATTAGTTGCACTAGGTACTGTTTATGGTAGCCGGTCTATTTTCATTGAAGTGTGTCCAAACACATTCTTCAAAGGGAGAGCATCCTCCTTGTGAACTTGTGAAATATCTAGCCAAAGAATGTTGTGAAAACTCAAGTGTGAACATTTTCAGGTACAGGTACTCCTCGACTTACGACAACCCGGACATACGACAGCTGTGGTCGTAAAAAATATTTTTCAAATTACTGTACGTATTTTCTAGTACCGACGTTAGCTGTGTACTGACAAAATATTCGTTTGTAATTCCCTTTAAAATGGCTGGCAAGCATAAAAGTGAGAGTTCTTGTGGTGCTGAGAAGAAAATGAGACACCCATTTTAGAATTTCTTTGTATTATTTTCGCCTTTTCGACTTACGACCTGGTCGTTGGGACGGAACCCCGTCGTAAGTTGAGGAGAGACTGTATATTCAAGAGCCCTTAAACGCCCAGTGTTTGCAAATGGTTCATGACTAGCAGCTTGTAAGCTGACTACAGGCAAAGAGGATATTTTTAAAACATTAATGTTATCTACAATGAGGTCATAAAGTTAGCAGTCAAGGCCCTTGATTACAAAGACTGTAATGAATGGTTAATATTGTAGCTAAGTTGTTGCCGCCAGCAATTTCCTCTAAAAATGTAGAACATTGATATAAAAATGGCCAGAAAAGGGCAACATCTCTTCAAGACCAAAACTGCACAATGATTGGCCACCACAAGGGGGCAACATCTCTTCAAGACTAAAACTGCACAATGATTGGCCACCACAAACTATCAGAAAGCCTACCAAAATTTAATACCACTCATTTTAAATTTCCAAACAGCAGAAGAAACAAACTTTGAGGCACAAGCAAAAATCTAGATTTAAAAATATCACTAGAATAAAGTGTTATTACAATCCATATCCTTCTTGGTGACCTGGAGTGACCGACAAACCATCTCACCTCCCTTCATGGCATTGTAAATTGACAGGAATTGAACAGATAGAAGAAAAAAAAAATTATGACCTTTGGTTCATTGCAAGTAACCTATGAGTAAGAACTCAGCCACTAAACACCCACTTTTTATTTTTTGGAGAGAGCATATGGTCTTGTGTATGGGGTCCTCTCTCTGCTGAATAAAATCGTTAGGCATGAGCCAAATAAAATATTAAAGATGGCATCCCCATAGTGAAGGAGTTAATCTCAGATACAAAGTGATCTTGGCAAAGTCGCTAAACAAAACTTTACGAGAGTAATCTCAGGGCTGGCTCTAGCTAAAAGCAGACTAAGTGCTTGTTTAAGGCCCCCAAGATCCCTGGGGACCCCCTCACTCTCCTAATCTAAATGAAAATAGTTCTGAGCATACAAACAACAGCATGTGTATAGGTACAAAATCTGGTACAGTATGTACCTGAGTTGTACTGGAGGATGTCTTTGAGAGTTCACTGAGTAAAAGGTCATATGATTCCTCCATGTTATTGGTGTCCAGGCATGACATGGTTGTGTCAGGGATGATCCCACTCTCCACACTACTATTTAGTCCATACTGTCAATTATAAAAAACATTGTTAAGAAGCATACCGGTAAAAAAAAAAAAAAAAAAATTATGGATAGAGAGTTTGTAAATATATACAGTATTCTTTTTTCTTAAATATTTCCCTACTAAGTGTCCAAACACACCCCATAACACCCATTGTGTTGTAATGAAAAATATGAAAATCTACTTTAAAATACCTTTACAATTATAGTCTGTTCATTCATACTTTGCAACAGAGGCCAAAGGTCAGTTTGTAACAATGCATCTGATTGGCTGAGAGACAAACAATCCAATAGTCACTCCAGTTCTTTAGTATTTAATCTATCATATTTACATTCTGTTATTTTAAGGCATAACAACTTTTCTGTGATGATGTCTGATAATCTCTGCACTTGGGGAAGCAAAAATTAGCTTGTGAAACACATTGGTAATAAAAATATCATAAAAGGAACACGAACATGATGAACAAGCTCAGCCAAGTAAACTCCGTGACCACATGAAGTGCTGTAGAGGATGTGCTAAAATTTTTAAATCTTTTTCTTGTTCTCTTTATGATATTTATGTTACCAATGCATTTCACATCCTAATTTTTGCTTCCCCAAGAGCAGAAATTATCAGATATCAACACAAAAAGTTCATATTCTATAAAATACAGAGAATATAAATGTGACAGGTTAAATAATAAAGTAGTGTAGTGACTCTTCACGTGTCCGTTTGCCAGCCAATCAGCTACTGTGTTACAAACTGACCCTAGACTTCAGTTGCAAAGTTTAATCAAACAAGGTTCCCAGGAAAATTTAATGACATTCATTACCAATATCTGACATGTTATCTGAAATAATTTCTCAAAACAGTATTCTCACTTCTCTTTACAATACTAATCACAGTCTTCACCTAACCCTTTACAACAAAAATTTCTTTAGTATCTTCACATATAATAAAAGAAATTGCCCCTAAAAATATATTTTTCTCTATCAGTAAATATGTATCATGTTACTCATCCTTTAATTTCTTTACCATTCATTACTTGGAGGTACTTTTGAACCACATATATTGTGCTTCTTTCATAAATTATTCTTTGTCTTTAAATTACAGCACCATAAAATTTATATTGTAGTTTTATCATAATTCCCTGTTTTTAACCACCAAATATAAACAATTAATTACCTTTGACATGTATTATTTCCCTGACTTGGATGACCAACACTAAAATGAATTTTTAAATTTCTAGCTTTACTACCTTTTTCAGGAAGTCTTCATCGCTGTTCGTATTAGTGGTGAAATTGTAGTTGCTAATGTTACTGCTATCATGGCTGATGTTGCTGTCCCTGCTACTATTGAGGCTATTGCTGTTGTGTTTTTTGGATGAAGGGGCAACACTGTACTTAGAATTACTGTGTGGGAGGCTATCTTGGAAAGTGACTGAAGTTGCATGACTGCTGGTCACAGAATCTTTCTGCAGGCTACACTTGACAGATTCAGACACATGGGTTGCACTAAAGTGGTTGATGGTAGCTTGTCGTTGTTCTCTTGCCGAGTTATTCCTCTTACAAGAGCTACCTGATCCTTGCACCTCTATTACTGAATCTCCATTTGTATCTTTAGCACTGGCCTCTAAGATATATGTGTGACTAGAAATGAGGGGTTTATCCTTGTAAGAGGCTCCCTTACTCCTGCAGCTGCTACCTTGAGAATTCTTGCTGCATTTAGCAGAATCACTCTTTCTGCTCTTAATCCCTCCAGATTTTTTGGAACTTCTGCTTCCTCTGCTGGATTGGGTTCTCAAAACTCCATTTTTCCTGTTTTCCTGTATTTCTGGAACTGTCTTGCAAGACTTTTCTCCTTCAATGCTTCCATTTTTTAATATGAGTGCAGTGTTTGTTGCAAAGTTCATTTTGTCTGAAGCTGCAGATTTTTTATTCTCATCAAGACAAGGGTTGCTTGGATGGTTGATTACTTTATCAAATTGTTGGTTTCCAGCAGTGTCCTGGTCTTTGCACTTGTCATTACTTTTACCTATATATTTCCCAGAGAGGGGTCGTCCTCCAGACATTTTGTGTGACCTTTGATGATCATCTTGCTTGGGAGGACTGTTCTGTTGTTGCTCTGTAGTAAGTGGTTCAGAGTCCTGTGTAACTATTGCTTGTGAGGCAGGATGACAGGAAATGGATTCTTGTACAGAGGACTGAGGAAAAAGGCTGTCTGGGATTGAGGTACAAGACTGCCGAGCTAAGGTAGCCGGTGAGTACCGCTGGAGGCTTGAAGATGGAGCTTGGCTTAACACTACAGACATGACTTCCAAGTCAATTTCATTACGTGATATGGACTTCTCCAGCTTTGATGGTGATGAACAATCATCATTACAGTGTGAAGGGGGCCTGTGGGAAATATATTGTATGAAATTAAACAAGAGGATTTGAAATATTAAGGTACAGCAATTTCTGTATCATACATGAATTTACTATTCATGAACATACCTTTCATAAACAGCATAATATTATTTTCTTTTTACCATTCACATCACATTATAGATTTTGTGGTCAGCCCTCCGGGCAAGTAATATATACAGTATTAGATATGGGAAAAAAAAAATTATCACATTATAGATTTTGTGGCCAGCTCTCCGGGCTGCCCTTTTGTTTGTTGATCGTTGTTTTAAAAGGGCTAAAAAATCCTTTCATTCCTCTCAAACCAGGCAAATTCCTACACTTAAGAATATTTTGACCCTGCCCTATCGTAATGAATTTGTCCCGTTAGTTCAGTCCCTCAAGCTACTAAATATTAATGTTGTTTTCAAGTATGACTCAACCATTACCAATATGTTAATAAGAAATAGCCTAAGTTTGAATGTAAATGGAAGTGTTTATTGTATTCCCTATAGCAAATGTAATTGTAATTATGTAGGACAGACAGGAAAAACATTGCAGCTCAGAATCAAACAACATAAGTACAATATCAGAACAGCATCTGAAAGCAGTGCCCTGTTCGTTCATGTTAGGAATAATAATCATCCCATTGCTTGGGAAAAAAGCTTAGAAGTATTAAATCATCTTGTGTCACAGAAAGACTTCTGGTTGAAGCTAGTTTGATTAAGGAATTAAAATCAATAAACCTTAGTGATGGTCAGTTCAAAACTGATATGATGTTACATAAATTTATTTGTCAGTGGCCCAAAGTTAAAAATGCTTTGAAAACCTTTGATCTAGATGTATGATAGTTATTTAGTGGGTCCCTTATTTTTTACCTGACCTGACTAGTCACGTCACCCCCTTCTCTTAAGCTCCTCTACGTGTGTGTTGGTGTGGGGATTAGTGGATGACATCATTATGACCTGACCTCATGTTTAATAAGGCCACCCTGTATATTTAATCCTCTCTCTGTCCATGTAATCCAGTTGTCTCTGAAGATGTCTTGAATAAAGACGAAAGCTAAGGTGCTCCGTTGTTTCCCTTTTCCCGTGTGATTTTATCAATATATATATATATATATATATATATATATATATATATATATATATATATATATATATATATATATATATATATATATATATATATATATATATTTCATGTAAATCCACAATGAAACGTGGATAAGATAAATCTTGATAAAATCATGCGGAAAATAACGGAGTACCTTAGCTCTTCAAGGCTAATACCGCTGTTTCCATTTTCCGTGTGATTTTATCAAGATATATATATATATATATATATATATATATATATATATATATATATATATATATATATATATATATATATATATATATATATATATATATATATATATATATATATATATATATATATATATATATATATATATATATATATATATATATATATATATATATATATATATATATATATATATATATATATATATACACACACACACACACACACACACACACACACACACACACACACACACACACACACACACACACACACACACACACACACACACACACACACACACACACACACACACACACACACACACACACACACACACACACACACACACACACACACACACACACACAGTAGTAGAAATCCAGTTATACGGAGTCTGCTAACCAGCAGATTCAACTAACTGACTCTAAAATGAAATAATAATAATAATAAAAAAATCCTCCAAAATCACCTATACTTTTACTTACTTTACTTTCATCCTCTACGCCACTGATCGACTCATTAGCCGCTTGGGCGATCGGTCACATCTCTGTTACGCACTGATGGCAAGTATTGGGCATGCACCGGCTCCTGAATGTACCTGAACCTGCTCCAATGTTGGTCAAGTCTGGTCTTCAAAGAGCTCACACTTTGTGCCGTCACAACACTTTCTGGTAGATTGGTCCAAGAGTTCACAACTCTCACTCCAAAAAAGTTTGCCCTCACAGTAATCGTAAATTTTAATACCGCGCACAATGGGGATGAGCTGCCATATTTATTGATATGATGAACCCCAGATAACCAGGGTTCTACTGTCTCATATTCCTCATGAAAAGGCTTTTATTACAGTGAAAATTTTTGACAGTTTATTGATAAAAAGAACCTTTATAACGAATTAGTATTGTGTTGTTTTATCCTTCAGTTACAATGACTAAAGACCTACTTTTTAATGATGGTGTCAGTTCTTCTATCAGCCTGATGAGGGGTGACCTGGGATGGTGAGGGCTGGGTCATGGTGGGGCTGGAATGTCCCGAGGAGTGGGCTGAGAAGACTGACTGGGATGTAGGGGACTGAGACCCACGGTGGAGGGATATGGAGTGGTGACTATGACAAGAGGAGGGACTTCCTGGCAAGTGGTTATCACAACTCTCCACATCAGTTGTCTCAACCACCAGAAACTGAAATGATAAATCACAATAATACAGGTATCCTTCACGTTATGGAAACTTAGGTTGTGGAAATTCGCCCATACGGAATTTGTAAATTATGACCACTAATTTCAGGATACAGCCCAAAAATTAAGACCATCACGTTTGATAACTTTTATAAGTTGATAGATTCACTGGATACTGACCTCTTCTTCCTCCTCCTCCTCTGGTAAACTCTCTGACATACTGGTTTTGGGTATGTTGCCCACCCTTGGACGACCACTGCTGCATGGCACCTCCAAAGATGACCTGAAATGTGGGTAGAGGATGACATGTGGTGCCATTTACTGTGCCTAAAGATCAACTATTATCAGCAGTGAAATGTCCAATGCTCATTATATTACATCTACTGTAAAAAATACAAAATTTGTGCTTTGTGATGTATGTGTGATTTACAGTTACCATTTTGACGTGCAATGAGGTAAAATATTTCTTTAGCCTATAACTACAGTATACTGTACTACATGACCTTTAGCACCCACAACTAATAAGTAAACTGCTTAATGTGGCAATACCTGGCCTAAAATAAAATATTGTTTGGCATATACAAGTACTGTATCCCAGAAAATTAAAATTACAATAAAAGAAATATATTCATCTAAATGTAATGTATATGTTGCAGAGGGTATGATATTGTAAGTATTATTAAAATATATAATGAAAAAATAGTTAGTGCACATTCTACTACCTATTCCTACATAACCAATATTCTCCTCATGTGTACAATTTGGAATGAAGTTTTTGCTATGTTTTATCACAATAAAATGAATAAGTTTTAAATATAATTACTATACTTCTTCTTATCCCCATTTAAAGTTGAGGGCCTTTTTCAGTACTGAGCTCCTGCTAGTTTTATCTTCTTCCTCAGACCCTCTCTATCCTTTGCCATTACCTTCCAGTTCTCTTATTCATAGCCAAGTTTTCTTGAACCCTTCCTAATATAATCCTCCCATCTCAATATAGGCGTACAGCACCCTCCCCTCCACCTCCTCCCCCCTTATTTGTCCATTTAACTGCTCTCCTCACTTAGTTCCCCCCTCCAACCACTGCACATGTCTCATCCACTGTAGTCTTTGTTCAATCAGCCATTCTGTTAAAGTCATATCCACTTCAATTTCCCCTTGTGAGACATCAAATGCAGTAGCTCTGACATAAAAAGTGTCTTAATTTTACTAAGGTAAGCTAAAGTCACCATCTAGCCTACAACATGGCCATTACTTAATCTAAAGGGTGATCCAAAAAATAGCCTGGAACCTACCCTGAAACATATCTACTACCAAGACTGCATTAAAGCCTGACATACACATATCAACAAAGCTACAGCATGGCCACTGACAAGACTAGAGCAAGGCCACCAACAAGAATGTACATGGCCACCAAAAAGACAAACATGGCCACCAACAAGACTGGAAATGACCATCAACAAGGCTGAAGCATGCCCACCAAAAAGACTGGAGCAATCCCACAAACATGACTGATGCATGACTGCCAACAAAATTGGAGCAAGGCCACCAACAAGCCCAGAGTATGATTAACAAGACTGGTTACTACCAGCCCTAAAGCATGGTCAACAACAAACCTGAAACACAGCCACTAACAAGCACTTGGATGGGTATGGTCAAAACTAAGCCTGGGAACAGCCAGTTTGGAGCAAGTTTAGTACCAAGCCACAAATATTTCTACCACCAAGTTTGCAGCATATCTACTACAGTTTCAAGCTTAAGGCATATCTACTGCCAAGCTTGTGACACATTACAACTAAACTTAGAACATATCATCTACTAAGCCTGGATTATATCAACTGTCAAGATTGTCACTTCTACTTCTATGCCTGTTACAAATCTACTTCCAAGCCCGAGCTATGAGTATATCTACTGAAAAGCCTGTGATACATCTACTTAAAAGTTGCAAGGCACATCTACAATACCATAGGTCATACAACCCTAAAGGTCAGAATACACTACAGGTCAGAACACTATAGGTCAGTTAACATTAAAGGCCAAACAACACTACAGGTCAGACAGGGTATAAGAAACAAATTGCCAAAGCTAAAGTTTCATAAGAGCCCTGGCACGGTGCATCCCAGAGTGCTAAGTGAGTTGTGCAAGGCACTTGCTGAATCCCTTAAGATCCTGTTCTCTAGATGCCCATATGGGAGGAAGAAACAGCATTAACAAAGACCGAATGTGAAAAGGACCTGGGTGTGTAGGTTGACAACGAACTGAAGTGTTTGGGTCATTGTGAGGAGGTGCTTCAATCAAACCTGGAGTACGAGCTCCACCATACTTCAGGCATAGCACATAATGCCTCAAGGATAGCTACATTATGCCAGAAGCATGGCCTCTATTAATCCAAGTGCAGGTCATCACTTGGAACTTGGAGTCACCATGCCTAAAGCATAGCATCATCATACTTTAAGCAGTGAATCACCATGCATGAAGTATGACACATCATGCCTGGAGTATGATCAGAAAATAGAACCAGTATCCCCAGAGTATAAAACCACCAGGACTAGAAAATGGCACCACCATTCCTGGGATATTCATCCCTATGTTTGAGGCATGGCCACTACCATTCCTGGAGATTGAACATTACCATGCCTGGAACATGAGCATGATATCATCATGCTTGGAGCAAGAATATTAGGCATAAAGCAGGGTATCTACTCACTCTTCTGCATGGTCACCCCCATGGGAAGAGAACAGCCACTATGTACTACGTAAAATGCTTGCAGTATAGCACCACCATGCCCAGAGAAAGGCCACTAATTATGCTAAAGGATGGTTAGTACTTTGCTGAAGCATGGTCATAACAATCTACTGAGTAAGGACTCAACAATGCTCAGACTAAGGCCACTACCATGCTTGTAGCATCAATGTAGAATGATACTACCATGCTACAAACATGGAATTTGCCACTACAATGCTATAATATGGCCACTACCATGCTGAAGGCCACAAAAATGCCAAGAGTAAGGCCACTACCACATCTGGAGCCTTGCTATTACCATGCCTACAGTATAGTCACTACCATGCCTATTGCCTATAGCATGGCAAAGTAAGCAACCTGTTGAGAGCTGTGGCAGACCTCCTACTGGTCCTTGTGGGAACCTCCAGGGACACGGAGGAAGGTGTCCAGGGCCATGCACTGCTGGGCGACACTGTTTCCAGGGAAGGAATATCAATCGTGGAACGGGAGATGGTGCGTGATGACCGACGGATGATGCTGGCTGTGAAGGAGTCTGGACGTACCATCTGTTGGATATGGCACCAAGACAAAAAATTGTAAATGCAATGTGAGATCAAGATAACAGTATCATAAACATATTCTTGATATTATCAAAAAGACTTGGTAACAATTACAAAATAGGTTATGTCCTGCAGTTGGTAGACAGGAGGCCAAAAGAATTTTTGAAAACAGTTTTGCTTTAATGTGGGTAGACCATATTAGATGAAATTAGTGGTGGGTAGTGCAATTAAGTAGGGATGGAGTATTAATGAAAGTGTAGGATTGTGAGAGCTAACCTTTGAAGTCAGTTTATCTAAAGATATGACCACTGAGTTGATGATTAATCTACATTTCTACTTGACTTACAGTAAAATATCTATCATCCAAAAAATCTAATCTATGAAATAATCTATTTCATGAAAGATTTAAGCATTCTAAATGTCTATTTGTCTTCGTGAGAGTTTGAGGAGTAAGTTATATGGTGATTGTAGGAGAATGATGATATACTGAAAGCTTATTTGTAGAATTAATAACACTGAATGCAAGTGAATAATGAAGTTAAGTTAGTGTACGGGTATTTGTAGAAACTAATAATACAGTATAAATAGCCTACAGTGTTGAATAAGTGTTCATAACCCACAATGTTGATGACCTACAATGCTGATGACTAGGGCCCGGATAGTTATGCATTTGCATATTTCATATGCAAATGCATATTTTGGTAAAATATTCATCTGGCAGTATCTCTTTGTTGCCATTGAATGAGCACACGTGGTACTGGGAGGTGAGGTGAGGTGTGGTTAGGTGAAGTGAGGTGAGGTCACGTCGCTTTAATCTGTCGTTTCCACACCTGGTCATGACTCATTGGACTAGTGAGTTAGTCAGTCAGGAGCAGTGCTGCTGTGTGGAGCTACTCTCTTCTGCTGCTCGTGAAAATGCCGACAAAGAAACCAAAATGAAGTGCTGAGATCATATGTAAAGGAATTTGATGCATTTACTACTGATGGAAGTGTACTGTTTTGTAAATATTGTGAAGCACCAGTGACAGCGAGCAAGAAATTTCAAGTCCAACAACACCTTAAAACAAGCAAGCACATCCGACTCGAAGCTGTTAAGTCCAATAGTGCACAAAAGGAGCAACAACTACTTCTTGCATGTTTCAGTAAGTCAGGGCCTGATCGTTCCCAGTTCAACGCAGATTTGTGCAAGGCATTTGTTTCAGCGGATATTCCATTGCATAAACTGAATAACAAGTGCCTAAAGTCATTCCTGGAACAGTATACTGGAAAAAAGGTGCCTGACGAATCAACATTACGTAAGAATGCAACCACAATCTGTAATGTCTGAAAATATGTCAGTCTATAATGTAAATACATGTTCATATATATTTTTTGAAGCACTTTCACATATACATGTTAAATACATTACGTATATTGCTTAATAAACATTAACATTAGTTTATATTAACTATTTTGTTTCCGTATAACCTGCATTCTTGGCTTTATAAGTGGCATTTTTAAGTGCATATAAATGCATATTTCCCCTGTTTTTAGTGCATATTTGCATGCATATTTCACGGTTTTTAGTGCATAACTATCCGGGCCCTACTGATGACCTATTGAGCTGGTCAGCTACACTGTTGATGACCTTCTATTTTGACTGACTTTGAGTGTGATGACTAAGTGTTGACTGACCTACATTACATAATGCAAGACTCTCCTAATCTGTTAATAACACTTTCTTGGCTATTGTTGAAAAGGAAAATTATCTAGGCATTGTGATAGAACAACTAATGAAGGCAATGCATCAAATAGGTGCAGCAGTGTAAAGACCCAACTGAGATTTAGGAATTATAAGGTGTACAGTTGCCTCCATTTATAATAGATACAGTGACTGGCATGTTTTGTGAGATGTGGCAAGAGATCTGAGCCAATGATGTTCTACTAGGTAATATATTAAAACTATAACCATGCAGGAAATGCATGCATTTACGGGTGACTGCTTATTTAGCATCCATAGGTTGGGTATTTCAGGCCATTCTGCTAGTTTTACTAAGTTGTAAACAAACAATGGTGCCACATGTCACAAAACATGCCAACCATAGTACCCTTTATAAATGGAGGCAACTGTACCTTCAGTCACAGAGATAAGAAAATGCTCCATATTTGTAAGCATTTCATACATCCCTATCTGAATTACTGTATACAGGCATGGAACCCTTACCTCCAGAAAGACTTAACATCCTAGGAAAAGATGTAATAGAGCGACTGTGATGATTCCTGAACTATATCATCTTGATTATCCAAGTAAAATGAGGGCTTTAGAACTCACAACTCTTCAGACAAGACATAATATGGCACATCACATAGACACATAAATCTTGAAAAGGATGGAAAATGTAAACCTAAGTCACATTTTCATGGTGCCAAGCTCCACCAACATGAGAGGATAAAACATCAAGCTCATCAAGATATCATGCAGGATAAATAAAATACAGTTTTAGAAGGGGCCGAGATCTGGTTGAGCCTTGATGATTGAGACAAAGCATTGCCGTTTTGTTGTCCGTGGCAAACAGGATCGTCATATTTTTAAATTTGGGTTTGCCGACAAAAAGAAAAGGACTACTGCTAATTCTTTTATACTTATGTGTTTGTCCCAAAGGGAGTTGCTCCACTTCCCTTGACTGAAATCCCCATTTGAGGAATGGTATCCCCATCCTATTTCGGACGCATCCGTACAAACGACCAAATCTGTTTGAGGCGGAACCCAGGGAGAGGAATCGATTAGATTGTCCAAATTTGTCCACCATGACAGATGATTCTTGATCTGAATAGGGAGAGAAGAAGCAATATTTCTGCTTCTGTGAAGCAACTTTGAGCCCAGATGATTTAATTGCTTCTTCCTTAACTTTCCCAAAGGAACCACTATTGTGGCAAAATTCAACAGACCCAGTAGTTTTTCCCAATTGTGCCACGAAACCTCGTGCTTTACACAAAAGGCTTCTACTAACATATCACCTCACACCCCCCCCCCCCCCCATCTTCCCAACCAGTAAACAGGCCATTTCACATCCCTTAATTTTAGCTGTGTTGATTTATGAGTGTTTCTTTTTAACATAATACTGTACTACAAAAAACAATGTTTTGTTTATTCTAGGAGATGGGCTGAGGTGCATCTGGGTAGACTGTCAGTCTTTTAATTATTTTGTGTTTCTCTCAAGTACCAAACTAATTTATTCCATTGAAACAACACTTCGATTTAGTGCGAATTCGTTTAAAGCGACCTCTCTTGGAACGTATCTCGCATTATATCGACGTTCTACTGTACAGTATACAGGTGCTCCCCGACTTACGACGGGGTTAAGGACTCAAGTCCAGGTCGTAAGTCGGAATGGTAGTAAGTCCGACATAGAATAAAAAATAAAAAAATCTACAATGAAATACAGTACTGTACAGTAAAAGTAATAAATAATGAGGAATGGATACAGTACAGTGAAAGTAATAAATAATGAGGAATGGATACAGTGTGACTGAGCACTTACCTTTAATGTACAGTAGTCAGCTGAATGCACACGGGGCCCCATAATTTTCTATTTACAGGTGTACATGGAGACTATATTAATTGGATGAAGCAGAGGAGGAGACAGGGTTGGGTGGGTCATCAGTGTCACTTTCTTCAGACAGGTTTATGTACTGTGGAAACTTGCTGGTTGAAGGTATTGGATCATCTTGAGGGAGTGAAGAGGCAGCACTGCTGGGGAGTGAAGAGACAGCACTGGGGGACTTCTTAAAATAAATGTCCAATTTAGACTGCACAGTTTGCTTTTTCTTTTTGTTATAAATTTCTCTGTAGCAAGCAAGTGCATCTTGGATCATTCTGTCAACTTTGGCAAAACGCTCATAATTTTGATCCATGCCATCAAACATTTGCATCCCTTTATTAATTGTAGCAAATGCCTCTGCCATTTGCTTCACTGAAAACTTTTTGGGGGGTGCAGGTCCTTCTTCTACATTTAGACTGGCTTCTTCCTCTGCAGCTTTGTGTGCTTCCAGTTCGATGAGATCTTCGTTACTGAGCTCTTCTGCTACGCTTTCAACCAACTGTTCAACATCTTCATTATCAATTTCTAACTGAAGCTGTTTACCTAACTCCACTATCTTGTTACTAATATCCAAAATAACTTCATTTTCATTAAATCCTCTAAAACTGTTCACATATCTTTTCAGGACTTTCTTCCATATTCCATTCATGCAATGTTTTGTACCTGATCCCATGCTGCACTAATGTTCTTTATACATGACAAAACGTTGTACACCTTCCAAAACTCTCTGAGCGTTTTCTCACCTTCAGTAGCAGCAACAGCCTGAGCGAAGGTCGTACGTAAATAATACACTTTAAAGGCAGCAACAGCACCTTGATCCATGGGTTGGATGACAGAGGCAGTGTTAGGTGGAATGTACACTACCTTAACATCAGATTGCATGTCGTCCAGGTGTGGTGGGTGTCCCAGAGCATTATCCAAAATCTTGAATGGAATACGTTGTTGCAGACAATACTCCTTGGCTCGAGGAATGAAACAAGTCATGAACCAATCCTCAAACAGTACAGTGGTCATCCAGGCTTTCTTGTTACTGCGATAAAACACTGGCAGTGTGTGCTTGCTGACATGTTTAAAAGCCCTGGGGTTCTCTGAATGATAGATCATGAAGGGCTTTAGCTTGAAACCAGCAACATTCCCCCCCAACAGAAATGTAATTCTGTCCTTGAATGCCTTGAATCCTGGCATTGTTTTTGCCTCTTTGTGGATGTATGTCCGCTCAGGCATGCGCTTCCACAATAATCCGGTCTCATCCACATTGAATATTTGCTCAGGCAAATAATTTCCTTCCACAATCACATCATCTAACTCCTCCTTAAAAGCTTCGGCAGCACCAACATCAGCACTAGCTGCCTCTCCACTCACCTTAACATTATGTAAGCTGTAGCGTTTTTTAAATCTGTTAAACCACCCATGACTTTCTGTAAAGGTTTGCTCACATTCATCTCCTGCCTACTCCTTCAGGCTTTGGAACAGGCTTCTTGCTTTAGCCTGTAAGGTTAGAAGGCTTAAGGGTACACGCTTCTGTATTTGGTCTTCTATCCATATCACCAATAATTTTTCCATATCGTGAATAGGACCTTGTCTTTTCTTCGAAATTATAGTTCCCTTTATAGGTGTTGTTCCTTTCACTACATCACGAATACGTTCCTTGTCCTTCAGAATAGTGGATATGGTTGAGTGCGAGAAACCTAGGTCGCGTGAGATTGTTGCTACAGTTTTACCATTCTCATATTGCATTATTATCTTCATTTTCATCTCAAAAGTATTGCCAGTCTCCTTTTCTTCTGAGCATCACCAGCATTCTCACTTGTACACTTTCCAGTCATTATTAAGTCAATTAATACGATAATAACGTAATGTACACAGCGCGATCAGTATAGGATACGATAGCCAAACACCAACTAAGCGCTGTACTGAGTGTAACCACGCGGTGACCCAAGCCACGCTCTCGCCCGGGACAGAAACGTTTCGGTATAGAAAATGCGCGCATCATTTGAAATTTTTTTGGGTCACGACTGCGGGGGTCGTATGTGTGGACGGTCGTACGGTCAGAGAAGGTGGTAAGTGCGGATTGACGTGAGTTGAGTCAGTCGTAAGTCGGGGACTACCTGTAGTCTCGATTCACGCGGATTTGGTTTACGCGTTTGGTCATTTACGCGGCACCTTGCCAGACCGACAATTTTTATTTACGCGGTTCATTCCATCATTTACGCGGGAAGTGGCGCGGGCAGAGTGCGCACAAGGTCGCCCAGTCAACAAAACATTACCGAGTTCTTCACCCGCCACCCACCACAGCCAGCCCAAGTCAGTGACAGTGATAGTGAGGGTATGGACTTTGAGGGGTTTCACAAAGAGGCCCTGCAAGCCTCTGTGGTGGATAGTGATACAGGTGAGGGCCAATAATCTGCCCTCTGCCTCAGAACCAACCACAATCCCCATGTACCCAGCCATCTCTTCTACTAATTAAGTGTTAAAAAACCTAATATTATTGATATTTCTCTTAAATATTAATTGTGTGTGCATACCATCATAAAATTAAGATGTTATTTTTACTACAACGTACTATTGTGTCGTAAAAAGTGTAGTTTGGGGGTCGGCCCAGTCTCTATTTCAATTAATCCCATATGTTCTGTTATTTCGTTTACGCGTTTCTTGTTTTACGAGGACCTCCATGGGTTCAATTGACAGCGTAAATGAAGACTATACTGTACTGGATTGATTGATCTACAATGTTTTCAGACCTTGAGTGCTGGCTAGCCTGCAGTGCATTACTGATTGACCTACACTGTTGACTGGCCATATTTACAGTACAAAGTTTGGCATGGTGACAGAAAGGAACATTACAGTTCATTGTACAGTACTGTATATATAAAAACAAAAGTACAGTATCAAATATCTAATACTGTACACATATATGATATGAGTTCTCTTTATAGTATATTCTTTACAATCTAAGTACAATACTGTATAATGGCAGGTTTTTATAACAATAACTTTATTACACAGTATAATTTATGTTTAAATATAAAAAAATGGTAAACAAACTGTTTACAATTGGTCCAACTTATTCAATTATTGTACAGTTATCTGGCCAAGTTCAGTGGCATTTAATTTTGAATGTGCTATTGCTGGTAGGTGGCAGCACATCTCACAATTCATTTCCCATTTTCTAAGAGAGAAAATGGGGGAACATCATATTTAAGTGAAAACTTTTTGAGGGATTATGAAGAAATGGAAAATATGCACATATAGGGTTATCACTTGTTTTTGCATATTTGTGAATTGAGCAGCTAAAGGGTTAATGTTGACTGACTTGCAATGGTGGTTGACACACCTTGTGTTGTAATACCTAGACCAAATGATTTATCACTTCTGACTGATCTACTCTCATGTTCACTTCACATTAGCATGTGCTGTTGACTGACCTGGAGCACGGTGTGCAGCAACTTAGGTGTTGTTTCCCTGGACTTAATAATAATGTTCTCATCAGGGGTCAGTTCCATCTTCTCTCGTGCCTGGTTCTGCTTGATAAGTCGCCTGGCAAAATTAAAATATATATAAAAATTTCCCAAATTAACATCAATGAAAGAGTTAAGAACAAAGACAATGCAGAATATTGATACATATTAATGACACTTTAAATAATAAAGTTATCAGTGTACAACATTTATATATCAATCATCAAGGTTAACCCACAAATGTGTGGAAAATGGCCAAAAAACATTGATGAAGAAAAAGATAAGTCCTAGTAAGAGTCAAGATTGACCTATTATATGATCTCTATTATTTATGAATTAAATGCATTGAGTGAGAAAATTTTACTTGGCTTTCTTCTGGAGTATTTCCTGTGCTTCAGGGTAGTCTTTGATGGTCGCCTGCAGGTCAGCCTTGCTCAACACAAAGAGGCTACTGAAACCACGAGATCTGTGAAAAAAGACAAGCCAGCTTCCTACACATTCTTAGCTGTGATATGTTCTTGAAATCACTTTCAATACACCTTCCTACACATTCTTAGCTGTGATATGTTCTTGAAATCACTTTCAATACACAGTCTTCTTTTTGATAGTCACTCTTTCATTTATGCCAAACCTGATTTTCATTTCATTTCCCAGGATAAATTTCCTCCATCTAGCTAATTTGCTTAATCATTAATCTTGTAACATCAATTGAAATACTGCACCATCATTTCTTGATAATTAAAATGCTCTTTATTATTTATACTTTATATGTGGTAAGTTATGACAGTGTGGAAGCCGTCACAAACATATGCAATACAGTAGGTGCATTTCGTTTCAGTGACAGCATTTTTTTTTAAATAATACAGTACAGAACTTTTCACTTTCCCAGCTTCTCACAAGATGGTTACCATAGCATCAGTCACCCAGCACTGAAGGTCACAGATGCTTCCACTTATTCTACCTATATTCTCCTCATTTTTATCATGTGTAAGGATATCTAAATGCTTAGCAGCCACTTCTCTTTCCAGTTTAAGTGAGAAAAAGAAGAGAAAGACATCTAATTAAAGACATCTCCTGATATCCTTCAATCTCATTTAACTTACCTTACATTAGCAGTGCGCCTATTGCCCCCAGCAAGAGCCAGAAGAGATATCTCCCCAAAGACACTTCCCTCACCGAGCGTCGCCAGTACCACATCACCTCGCTCTCCACCCATCACCAGCACTTGCCCGGCCTGCACAATGTACATCTCCTTTCCCACCTCTCCCTGCGAAGATCATGACACTAGTGAATGATATTTCTTTCTCTCCTTCTCTCTCTCTCTCACACACACATACACGCACACTCTGTATATATAGGGACTCCTCGCTTACCGGTAATGTTGAGGCTCCATTTCTGAAAACTGAAATATTAATCAAAATGAAGCTACTGGGTAATCAAAACTGAAAATTCCTGGAGCCTATGAATATAAATAGGGGTTACCAGTATGTACAAGGGGTGTTTTTGATTCCTAGTAAAGGTGATTTCTGGTACGGGTATATTTCTTTCATAATTGCTACTATTTTGTTTTCAGAAATGAAACAAAAGTTATATTCAATCAAGTAAATACTGTACAGGTAATCCTCATTTATAGCAAGGGTTCCATTCCTGAAAATCTTCACGATGTGTAAAGCTACTTTTCCCCAAAAGAAACAAGGAGAGCTCCATCCCTGGCCAGGGAGTACTTGGGGGTACTTGGGTTGATTTTTAATGCAACAAACATTTAAAAATCAGTAAAAATTACAAAATATACTGGGTATTAAAAATAAATGCCGTATATATATATATATATATATATATATATATATATATATATATATATATATATATATATATATATATATATATATATATATATATATATATATATATATATATATATATATATATATATATACAGCTAGACCCCGACTTACGACGGGGTTAGGGACCCAAATCCAGGTCGTAAGTCCGAATGGTCGTAAGTCCGACATAGATAAAAAAAAATAAAAAAAATTTAATAAAAAATCTACAATGAAATACAGTACAGTAAAAGTAATAAATAATGAGGAATGGATACAGTACAGTGAAAGTAATAAATAATGAGGAATGGATACAGTGTGACTGAGCACTTACCTTTAATGTAGTCAGCTGAATGCACATGGGGCCCCCATAATTTTCTAATTATACATGGAGACTACATTAACTGGAAACGTTTCGGTATAGAAAATGCGTGTGTCATTTGAAAAAATAAAAAAATAAAATGCAAAAATAAAATGCAAAAAAAAAATGGTCACAACTGCAGCGGTCGTAAGTCCCAACGGTCGTAAGTCGAAGCAGTCGTAAGTCGGGGTCTAGCTGTATATATATATATATATATATATATATATATATATATATATATATATATATATATATATATATATATATATATATATATATATATATATATATATATATATATATATATATATATATATGTATGTATGTATGTATGTATGTATGTATGTATGTATGTATATATGTATGTATGTATGTATGTATGTGTATATGTATGTATATATATATATATATATATATATATATATATATATATATATATATATATATATATATATATATATATATATATATATATATATATATATATATATATATATATATATATATATATATATATATATATAAATAATTTCGCACAAAAGTATGGGTGGAAGGTGAGATCGACTTCGAACGACACGTATACACTGTGATATGTTGGGAAGGTTGGTAAGTGTATCCTCCCCCCCCCACTACGTGTTGCCATATGGCTGACAATCAGTGTGTTTGTTTGCTCTTTTCGGATTGTTGCTTTGTGTCGACTGAATGATGAGGAGGGTTCGGTCTCGGTGAACGTAGGTATAAAACAGAGGCAATATGAAGCAGTAGAGATTTACACATGCCAGAAGACATGGAAACCTCAGAGGGAACACGAGGAGCTATTATTGCCCTTCATAACGAAGGGTTTGGCGTCACAGATATTAGCCAGCGGGTTGGTGTCCACAGGAACACCGCTGCACGATGGATTCATTCGATGGATTCATTCGGCGATACCTCGAAACTGGTGCTACAGACAACAGGTCTCAGAGCGGCCGTCCACGCTACACCACCCCTCAGAACGACCAGGTTGAGTTGTTTATTTGGTAGCATAAATTAATGTGGCAATATTCACAAGTATCCCAAATAATTTTGTTAACAGGGAGCTCCTCATATTTCATACTGTCTATTTATCACTTCCCGACCTTATTTATAACGGTTTGTTTCATTTGACCAGGGCTGCCAACATACGGCTGGAACAACTCGCCTTTCCCAAGACCTATCCTCACTGGTCTCAAATTGTTCACACTACAGTATGCACCGATACTTTTTGTTGCGAGTGTACATACCACGATTGATATTATACAGTAGTACTGTACAGTATAATGTAATATAAGCATTAATAAAAGCATGAGACTACATCAATCTAATAAAGCAAAAACAAATGTTTTGCAATAAAATAAGATATAAGCTGCATTCATGACTGTGCATAATTTGGGATAACTGAGAATTGCAGTTGCCAGATACATACAGCAGATATGAATCTACATCTGAATGGTCCAGCTCTCATGTGAGTGTTCTCTGGCCATATATGTATCTTAGAAATGATATACCAGTAGTACAGTATAGTAACAATTCTATTCTTTTACTTTGAAGTAACTGGACAAGATTGGAAACAAAGTGAACAGTATGAAACACTAAACCAACACCCATAATAATCATATTACCCTAGTAATACATTGACTCCCATTGTGTAATTGAACAAGAGATACATTTCTATGAAAAACAACAACCCAGTGCTAAACTCCTTATGAGTTATTGTGTCATCGTAAATTCTCACTGCTTTGTTTTCATGACATGAACAATGTGATCAAAGATGCTTGAAATATGACGATACAGGTTCAAACACCCAGCCAGGTATGTTCTGTATTCTTTGTTTAATATTGATATCATTTTCATTTCAAAATCTCTTAAACAACACAAAAGAGACCTAACTGCATTTAACAGTGCTATAAAGAAAACACAATGTGCTAATTGTAAAAAATAAAAAATAAAAAAATAAAAAAATAAAAATAAAATAAAACGTGAAAAGTATGCAAAAACCAAAGAGAGTCTATGAGGAATTGAAGATTCCAAGGTACTGTAATTTCATTATGGGCTGGCTCAAAATGTTCAAAAACAGTACCTGTACCTAAAAGTAAAGAAAAGTAAAAAGTACCTTAAAGCCATAGGAGAAAAATACGTCAGCACAAAATATTAATCAAGCCAGCCACCAGCTAGTCTCTCAGACATCAGCTGATATTCCACTCACTCTCTCTGGTGCATTGCTGACATTCTTCACACCACCATACATTTCTTCACTTCCAAATTCCATATTTTTCTCTTACAACTCTTTACAGTGATCCCTCGGTTAACGAGCGCCTCGGTTAACAAATTACCTTCCACAAGATTCTTAACTTCGGTTAACTAGCATTCCCTCAATTAACGAATTTCTTACGAGCGCCCCTCAACATGTTTTCGCTTGCACACTAGCTGTCATATTAGTCCGCCAATACAGTAATTGGTTCTAGGGCTTAAATTCCTTACTATTTAAGTAAATATCAAGAAGTTTGTACTATTCAATAATTTTAAAAGTCTTATATTAAAATTTTTAGTCATTTTAACAATTATTTAACACAATTTAAGTACAGGGAAACTAGTTTTTAGCGTGCCAAATACCCTGTCAACACACCATACAGGCATCAGTCTCTGTCTTTCCAGTGGAGGTAACATCTTGCTTCAGACTCTCTTCAACATAAATGCTTTTTTTCTGTGTTTCCAGTCAAATTATTGGTCATTTTGAAATTTATTTTACATATTGACAATATATAATGTAGTGCAGTGTTGATTTAAAGAAAATAATCTTGAATTACACCAAGTGAGCTAAAATTTTATGGGTGAAATGGTGCCATGGGGTGACTTCTCTTCCACCCCAATGCCTTCTCTTCTCCCTTCTCCTCCACCCCCATTCTAATTCCCATCATCATAATCATCCAGGAGCCTTCTACATACACACCTCAAAGTAAGTGTACTTTACTACCTTTTTTGTTGACTTTAGGCAATTTTCGGTGAGCTGGAACCAATTACCCAAAAACCCATTGAAACAATGGTTTCGGTTAACGAATTTTTCGGTTAACGAGCAACCTTCTGGAACGAATTGTGCTCGTTAACCGAGGGACCACTGTACATTTATTGTGCAGTACATAATTACCATAATTATGAATTATAAGAATATAGAAAATATTTATTTTATATAATTTTCCACACATTACATGAGAGTAAATGAGAACAAATTATACATTCAGGTAACTAAGTGATGAGTCAATTTGTCTTCACATGAGTTTAGAAGTAAGTAGTGGTGATTGTAGGAGAAAGAAGACATACTGAAAGCTTATTTGTAGACCTAATAACATTGCAAGTGATAAGAGAATAATAAAATAAGAAAGTGATATAAGTAGCATACTGGCATTGAAAATAACCACATTACTTTAGCATATGTTTATTATTACTTAGGAATAAATTATGAAAAAAAGACATTTTCTGATTTTTTTTTAATAAATCAAAACATGCAACCCCCCAAAAATTAATTTTAAGTTTTTGTAAACTACCTGTAAACCATTTACCCAAGCATGGTATCCAATTTTAAGTAGTTAAACATAGATTTCCATAGGCACTACAAGACATTTCTAGCCCAGTGTGGCTGGAGTGCAGGGACAGTGACTCTTGTCCTGCAAACATATTTATATAATTTTTTTCAATTTTACCATATATTTTATAATTATCAGTGATTTTTTTAAAACCATTTTTAAATGCAAAACCAGATTTATATACAAAACTTATGACGATAAGAAGAGAGAGCAACAACTTCTGCTGTGCAATTTGAATTACCTTCTTACATACGAAATCCCCAGGAAGATAGAGAACAGGCTGCAGTTTAAGCACTAGATCACGCAGAAGTGCCTTGTCACAGTCCTGGAACAGTTGCACTTTAGACAATATTTGAATATGGACACTGATAGCTATGTCTGTTCGCATCTTCCTTGGGAGTGACTCCAGGCATTTCATCTCATCTGAAAAGGATGATGTTCACGCAATGAGGCTGTGTGAAAAGCAAGTATGACAAATTATATTGCTGTGTTTAATAAGTCATACCCTGTGTCAGCAATGAAATTACTTACTACATACTGTATTTTGTTTTGTATGAACCAAACTGCTTAGAATTCTGAAATATATGATGAGCAGTAATAACCAATGAAGTACAATTGCGGAGTGAATCTTGAGGTTAACTGTGTTCTACAACTAGAAAAACTGAGGAGACGTTTCACTTTGGTGCTTTAAGAGCAGGCCATCCTCTGTTATGATAGTTGTAAAGTTTGGAAAAAAAAATTGGACCAAATATTTGAGAAACATTTTGCAAGTGCCCAAGACTGTACCATGACACTCATAACCACAGATACCTGTATGTTCATAAAAATTCAAATTGTACCCGAGTATATACAGTCAACCCTCGCTTTACGCGGTCCCACATTCCGCGTTTCCACGTTTACGCGGTACCCTGCCGAAACCGGAATGCTCACATTCCGCGGTGCGTGTACCCCTTTACGCGGAGAGCGGCTGGCGAGCCGCGCCATTTTTGGATCCAAACCTCCCGCCATCCGCCATGTTGTGTAAGCGGCGCGAGCAGGGTGCGCACAAGGTCGCCCAGTCATCAAAACATTACCGAGTTCTTCACCCGCCACCCGCCACAGCCAGCCCAAGTCAGTGATAGTGATAATTATAGTGAAGATATGGACTTATATGGACTTTGAGGGGTTTGACAAAGAGGCCCTGCAAGCCTCTGTGGTGGATAGTGATACAATTGATACAAGTGATACAGGTGAGGGCCAATAATCTGCCCTCTGCCTCAGAACCAACCCCCCATCCCCGTGTGCCCAGCTATCTTTTCTACTAATGTAAGTGTTAAACAACCTAATATTATTGATATTTATCTTAATTATTAATTGTGTGTGCATACCATCATAAAATTAAGAAGTTATTTTTACTACAACGTAGGTATTGTGTCTGAAAAAGTGGAGTTTGGGGGTCGGCCCGGTCTCTATTTCAATTAATCCCATATGTTATGTTGTTCACTTTACGCGGGCCGCCGTGGGTTGAATTAACCACGTAAAGTGAGGGTTCTGTACAGTATACTGTACACATACATTTTTTTCACACTGCACAAAGTCATCCATGCCACATACACATATGCCAAGACTAAGGAACCTTAAAAAATCTTCTCTGTGGTACTGAAAGCTTCTAGAATCTAGAACCTTACCAACATCTATTAACACTTTAAAATGAACTAAGCAGATTTGTGAAGTTTCAATCAATGAACTTGTGAATATCTTCTGTACCGGTATATACTGTACAGTATTTGGTTGTAAGATAAAAGGTGTCAGGGAGGTATATACCCTATATTTAAAGAGTTTTCATTCATGAAATGATGTGAGAGGGAAGGGAATTCAACAGATAAGAAGAACATGGAATGAAAATAGCCATCGATGAAGAGTTTGCAATAGGAACTTAAGACACAACTGGGGTGACATGATAAGAGGAAGACATGTATTACAACTGGGATTGATTGGCTGTGTAAACATATTTGAATATTTACAGCAGACTGAAAAGCAATATTGATGTTCCAATAAATTTTCAATTTCTCTAAATTATCATTTCACCACATATCAGCTAACAAACCAATTGGGAAGTCAGTCTATTTTTGTTACAACCTTCATTGTCCAGTGACAGTACAGGAGGAAACCAGAGTGCCTGCCATGTCTGGTAAGGTCACACTGGATAACACCCTTCTCACATCTGTCCTGGGCCTTGAATTGACCCCAGGACACGATATCATGGGACAACTCTGTCAAAGCACACTAGTTGTACTTACTGAGGGTTTTCTGGTTCTGCCAGGTGTACGTGAACCAAAGTCGTACTCGTTCCTGGAGGCTGGCAGGTAAGTTGAGGCGGTGTAGATAGGCCTGAGTCTGGTCCATTACATTCCGGTACTCATTTTGATTATGGGTGGCTGTGGCTACGATGTCCCGGATCTGAAAGTGTATAGGAACTCTAACTTTCTAGGATTTATTACAGTAATATTGGGATAAAGACATATGATAGGAAGTCCTTTGTGTATGGATTTTCACACTTATTGAAATTTTATTTTAGTACCCAGGTTCATTATACTGTACAGCCAAATATTCCACAGTTACAATTTTTTGGGGGGGAAAAGGGTACCTAAATAAATGACCTGCAAGAAAAAAAAGGCATCAATACTTCATTCAAATTAAACTCCTCAACAAATAAACAATAAAGCACCCAAAGTAAAAATTACCCTCAGTACCAGCATTACTATCATCACTGGCCTAGGAGTTTGACATTTAACTGAATCATGATACACTGAGAACTAAACATTCATTGTTCAAACAGGCATTACAGTGTACATCTGATGCTAACAAAGGTTAGAGGTACATAGAGTATATACAGTGTAGGGAGTAGAAACTCCAGTAATGGATGGTCTCAATATCTCTTAGACATCTTAATCCTCATTTTCCTACTACATAATAGATTGCAATACAATCCACAACAAAATTTGGGTTTCCTGTGTATTTCTTCCTTTATTTCCATCCAGCAATTTTTTTACTTCAAACCTTTGTCTACAAGTGAATTCCATTTCAGATAGTTGGAATATTGGATGTGATACATGAGACATTGACAGGAAAAAGGGTGAGTATAAAAAAAAAACTTTTGAGAAAAAAATGCCTTTTTTTTCCTTTCCTGGTCTACAGCTCACAAAGATCTTTATCAATTTTCATTATTTATGTCTTATTTTGTGATTTTTGGGTAATACAGTAATTTAAGAATAAGTATGAGACAAATGCATAAAATTCCATAATATCATTAATAATAATGATAAAGCACACACAAACTATAACATATATTAACCCATGTGTCTGTGATTCTTGGTGTACACTAATTATGGTGTAAAAAGGGTAAAATCCAGGCATAAAATTCACCTCAACACACAATAAGAGGGAGAAGTGGGAACCAAAGGAGTAAGCGTGTCGCCCATTGGCTGAGGGGCCACTTGTGGAGCTAGTGGCATGCTCATTGACTCACTCTCTCACCTTTCCCTCTGTACAAAACTAAATCTATCATGCTATGAAACACACCACGAAACACCCCAACAAAAACCTTTGATACCACAGGGAAGAAAAGCAAAATGCTTGTGTTTTTTAGTCCCATGTGGTAGAGCTTTGATGTGGTTACACGGGACCACAGAAGATTGTTTGTTTCACCATTCTACCTGGCAATGCCTCATTTTATTATAGCACATGGAAATAAACTCTAAAGTGCATATTCTGTAGGTTATTTTGCTTGATGTTATATAATATTTAGAATCTACTAGTACTCTGCAGCATTACCAACCAATTACCACTTAACGGGTACATATTTTAACTTACCTGACCAATAAGCAGAGCAAACACAAACACACCCATCAGCCAAGAACATGTCATGAAAAGGTATTCTCCTTCTTTCTCTGGTTTGGGGTTCTTGCCAATGCTGGTGGCTGTCTTAGTAGCAAAGTAAAAGCACCGAATATATCTGAGAAGATAAGATACTATATAAAAATTCTGGAAATAGTTTTACATCTTCATCAGCATAAATTCACATCTAGAAAAAGATTTAAACACCAAGACATTTTCAATTATGCTAAATGTTAGATCAAAGAACGTCAAAGTAAAGACCTTCTTAATCAGTTGTCAGACAACCACAAAATATACCAAAGCTTTTAATACATGTCAATCTTAGTTGTAACATAACTTATAACTGTAACATCAATTAATGTATGGAGCAAATCCAAAAATACATCAACTAACAGTAAAGATAAATCTTAAACATTAATCAGTTTAAAAATTCAAAACAATAACAGTCAAAGAAAGAACATGATAAGGAATGAAGCCTACAAAAATTCTTCAATTACCTGTATATGAAAAGAAGCACAGCTTAGAATACATTTTAGTCAAAGGTACATGAATGGTGCAGACAATTGCTTTAAAACCTTGTGTCTAAAGTCTGTTAATGCTGAAAAAAACAATCTTTTCAAATTATAAATGGGGTTCAAACTTACGCATTGCCTACACCTTGGAAGACCCATTTGTTGGAACCAATGCCCTCAATCTTGGAGAAGCCATAGTAAGCACAGGTGTTAAGATGGATAAGGAACAGCATGTACAGGACGGTACGAATCACTCGGATGGCATGAGGAGAGGACAGCACAGAGTCTAGACGGTGGAAAAACTCCCAGAATGTGTGGATCTAATGGTTAGACAAAAAAATATATTAGAATTATCATAAATATTAGTATCAAAGTAGCATTAATTGGTTCCTCTGCTTAAGGCCTTTTGAGTCTACTTATACAGTATTTAATTATTTTCAATTTGGGGTACAGTGGAGTTGTAATAATTCAGAGGTTAGGTACAAGAAGTCATTGTGAATTATCAAACTGCAAATTATAGTTTCACCGATTTAAATGGAAATAATTACAGTAGAACCTCATTACTTCAAATTTGGCTATTATAAAAATTTACCAAATTCGAATGTATTTAAAGTTCAAACAGGTTATCTATATTTTGAACCACTTGTCTAAGTTTGATTCGAACCTAACTAAATTTGTGCCAAAATTCCAGCCACGGTGCACCAATCACAGGAGGTCAGTTGGCATTTAAAAATGCCAACTGTTTCCCATCTGTGAGCTAAGTGTTATGTTGCTGGAGCAGGTTCAGATACATTCAGGAGCCAGTGCATTTCCAGTACTTGCCAACAGTGCGTAACTTTTACTTATTTACTTTTATCCTCTTCGCCACTGATCGGCTTGTTAGCCACTTGAGCAGTCTAACTGACCGCCCAAGCAGCTAAAGAGCTGATCAGTGATGATGAGGATAAAAGTAAAAGTTATGAATACCGGTACTTTTCAATTCATAATTTGGGGAAGATATTTGTAATTTTCATACACCCACAAATCTACATACATAATATGCAAAAAATAAAAAAATACACAATTAATTATCAAAATGTATAAAGTTTTAAGTATCTACAGGTTTCCACTGCGAAGCCATGTGATGAGCGTGTGAAAAGGTCAGAAGGTCTGTGACGGAGCACCGTTATTACGGAAGGCAGCAAGACAGCAACCCAGCTGGGCTGCATTACAGTACTAAGGTGAGCGTTGAGGCAGCCAGCATTCCTGAGACTGCAACGCAGTGTGCACAGTGATTTGTATAATTTTTGCTTGTTTTATGCTTTCATTATTGCTATTTATATGTTTTTGTTATTGTTGATTATATGCCTACAATTTAAAGATTTAATGTTACACTGCATAGATAAAGCTACTTTTAGGAGTGAATATGGTGATCTGAACAGAAGCTTTACAGCCAGTTGCCCTGAATTCACAGGAGATGGAGCATGATACATAGTTTCATCATACAATATTTACAGAAGGGACTACAGTACTGATTACAGGTACAGTATTATTCTGCTGTAGTTACCAAAGAACCTATCAAATCTTAACCTAATGTGTATATTTATGGACAAAATATATAAAAATTATTAATTTTTCAATAATCTGGGATTTCAAGAACATAGCTTAAACAAGGTTCAAATACAATCAGGAGCTAGTGCATGTCCAGTACTTGCCAACACTGCGCAATAGAGACGTGACCGATTGCCCAAGTGGCTAACGAGCTGATTAGTGGTGAAGAGGATAAAAGTCTTAATGGAGAATTAATGTAAATTATTTTGCTACTAAGAATGAATTTCATATTTATACAATAGTAAATAATAAAATCTTCTATTTCGAAATATCTGGTATTTCAACCCCCCAAGTTAAAAATAATGAGATTCTACTGTAGTTAGGTTCCAGATGCCAAAACTACACAAAAGCTGTTCCAAAACTGGCTTAATAAACGCTAAACATTGTACATGAAAAATAAAAAAATACATTAACATAGATATTGTCCAAAAAGGAGTTCCACATTATATAAACAACTCTTTCTCTTATCATAATTATCCTCTGGGTGACTCCAATATGCCTAAATTGAGACAGGCAGAATGACACTGGATGGGAGTGCTGGGTTGGCTGGCCGGTCAGCTGCGTGCACTATCTCAACTCCACTGTTCTTTAATTTCTATTTAAGTACCATGAACAATTTTTGGAAATAATATGCTTTTTCTTAATACTGTACTGTACTTCTTTCTGAATATGACATTATTTGATCTACAACTTGGTTGCCCTGGTAATGTACAATACAGTATTTAGGCTTGGCAAGCTCTTGCCAAGTAACTAATCAGTATACAGTTATTTTCCTGCCAAAAGTATGTTGAGTAAGATGCTGCAATTTCACTGCATGGTTGTAAATTTTATTAAGTTTATTAAAATGAAACAAATGTATGATAATCCAGACCAGAATCCAGAACCCAGTCAATCTTTACAAAATGCCACAGGAAGATCATTTAACTCTCTCCTCTCAAACTGTTAACATCCCAGCACAGAAACAGCAGCCAAGCTTTCTACCGCGTGATAGTCTAGTATCTAGCAACAAATTTTTTCAGTACTAAAGATTTTGTATGGAATACAGTATAATAATGGAGTTTCTTGCCAGAACCTTTATACTATACCAGTACGGCATCTGAGAGAGTTGCTGATTTACTGCAGGTTTCATCTTTAGATAAAACTGTGAAGTTGGATGGAAAGGCAATCCAACTAAAAGATTGTCTAAACAAATTTAATTCTATTCTGAGAGCTTGAATCTTGGAAATTTCCCAAACAAAGTTAAGATCTAAAAGAAAACTTGTTTTCATGGGGAAATTTTCAAAAGAAGACTCTGTAACTGGGTCTATGAATGTGAAAAATTTAAAGAATCTTGCCATGCACTCTCCTTAACAATAAAATTTCATCTCACACTGACTCTTGGGTCAGATTGACCTAATACCCTACAAATGTCAGCTGACTGACTTGAATACACTACATACAACAATGAGCAACACACTAACCTTTATAAGCCTGGGTAGCCTGAACACAGAAATGGGTCCAAACTTGAAGTAAAGCAGATCCAGTGGTAGAAGTGATGCCAATTCATACTGTAGGAGACATCAAACACAGATATGTATTTTCCTTACATCGTTGAATGTTTATTTTAATTAGGAGAGAAAACCAATATGAAAGAATCTGGAATGTACTTTAATGGAAATGCTCTCTGTGTAGGCTATCATGATACATTACAGGAAACTGCATATTATTTGATACACAGGTGTATAAGTGATACTGAAGGATGAGACACTGCTTTCCTTCATAATAATGCTATCTATAACATGCTTGCAGAAGTTTGTATCTCACTGAACAAACTTATCCAAAATAGCACTCAAAATAAAAATAGAATACATCAAAAAAATTTCCTCATTAAGTAGAGAGCAACTAGTGAGACCACATCTGTTGCCAAGGTAACTTACGCTTGAACCACTTAAATACAGATATCAGACGTTACTGGTTGTTGTAGAATTTAGTGAATGAGGCATCTGGCTTGAGAGTCATGTACACTAATACTGACACTTTCCTTGATAAGAGAGCAGAGTTTGAAACCTTACTCAAGACACATCAACTCAATGTAAATAGGTGTTGTAGAACTGTTGAAGTTGAAAAATATATCGGGAGGTTAAAATACAGTATAAAGATATTCACCCAAAACCTGTAATTGAGAGTTCATTACAGTACTATACTATATAATAAACTTACCCTGAAGTTAGGGGTCTTCCAGTAATGTCGGCGCATGAGGCTGGGCACGTTGATCCAAAAACCATTATCCAAATACATGACACGTGACTTGAAAACAGCAACATCAAGGACATAAACTAAATCAGCCAGGTAGTCAGCGGCAAGCCAGTATCCAAGGTTGTTGTCCGTCTGATATTCAGTGAATACAGAGCGTAGAGGAATGACCCATGCATTGTACACATACACAATGCACACTACTAGTAGCCACGAGATGTACAACCGGCCTGGTGTGAGATAAAAGAAGATAAAAGACACAAGTATATTTATTCGTAAGGTATATAAAAATCTTCATAATGTAATGATTCTTACTAGACTGAGCAAAGAAATGTCTAACAAATTGTAATTGAGTAAATTCCTAATTTTTTCAAATTAAGATCTCTAGAAGCAATATTGCAATATTTCTATGCTCAAAGTGCTTCTGAAAATAAGCTAGCTAGAGTCATCAAGGCCAAGTTGAGTTGTGTATATGTCTATCAGTCTTGAAAGTTCCTAATAGTCACTACTTGTATGGTACATGAAGGGGAAGGCATATGTATCACACAAAAAACAAACAGCCTCCCACGACTCTCCAACCTCATCCCTTAACGTGTCTAGTGAGTTCTCGAGTTATAATGTATTTATATGCCTTTAGGACAAAATAGATTGATTTCAAAGAATTCTTCTATTCTGGCTTCACACTCCTGTGAACCATCCATGAGGTACTTTACAAAAACAAAACCATCTTCACAAACTCCAGATCATTCTAAAATGGAAGGCAGATCCTGTCTTACTTAAAAGAGAGAATGAGATATAAATCTATATGCCTGATCTAGGAGACTATTGCTTAATCAATGAGGAAACGTAATACTCACTCTGGGGTTCCATGGCCTGGGGGAAAGACAGAGTTTTCCTACAACTATATAGAAGTCGCAGCAACCAGGCATGACGAGTGTTGATTCCCACCAGCCTAGGCAGAGATGGAGACCTGGAGGAAACATCATCCATGAGGGAGTCTAGCCTCTGACGTGGGTCTGGGGCTTTGTTGGCATCGTCACCTGCAGAGGGTAAGGACATCTGAATTTCATACAGCGTACATTTCGATACACTGTGCATAAATGAACAATAAATAACAATAACATACACTGTAATGGTAATTAAAAGCTGAAATACAGTACAGTGTACCAGTAATACCACATACTGAACTGTAAAAACATTATCCATAATGATCACATGTAAAGTACAAAATATTTCTAGTAGAAAATAAAGTGATTAATTTATAATGGGAAACAAGAAAACCAGTACAGTGGGGTATAAAAATATAATGCTACATTTTTTAAACTCTTTTCTTTGACAGTTTAAAAATTCTAAACACCAAACTCAAGCCACCTTTTGAATATTTAGGCAGGTAATGTCCAGATAGTCCTAAAATTTTCTCCAAAGTAGAATATCTGAATGTTTACTCTAAAAAAAATGGTACAGTGAGTACTGTGTTACAGCACAAAAAATAAACATTGTTGTAATACTGTACTGTACAAGATAACTTGTCATTGGAATTGTATAAATTCATATTTTTTATAAATTTATGAAAATTATTTATATTTTACTAGACAAAACCAACAAATGTTATACTGTACTGTATTGTACTATTATTTATCACACTATAGACAATTATCATACTTTTGGCATTGGTATACAGTACTTCATCATCCCAGCTGCGAGCCCGGGCCAGTTTGAAAATCATTTACCATTTCAGGATTTTTTAAACAGGTAAAAATAAATTAGAAATACATCGCTTGGGGGACCCTAGAGACTGTGGGGGCCCCAAGTGACTGCTTATATCATTTGCACAATGCATCGGTTCTGCCTACAACACACATTTCTCACCTTTTACATGTTTTCATTGGCTGTTTTAGATTCGTTTAGCATAAATTCACACAGCAAGATACTTTGGGGGAATATATCTTTTGTGTCAAGCATCCCATCCCCCAGCCCCACCATTTCTCCCAGTCATGGGGATGTAATGAGAGCCTGGAACCTAACTCTCTATTTCCTATAAGCTAATTTGTCTGGATTTTTTTAAACACAGATTCACATTGTGTGGAGCCTCAAATCAACTTACTATTATCATCTTGGAATGATTTGGAATTATTTATAATTCATCTCCCTCCTCCTGTCCTCAGTGGCCCCTCACCCAAATATACAACACCACAGCCTGGGTCACCACGTATGAACACTTTGCACCATTAAAACCCACCACTGCACCACCATAACCAAGTTATTTGTCAGTTTTTCACCAGAACAACAACCAAGGCTCAGCATTTGGCAGTTAGTCTCCACCTTACTTCATAAACTCATAACATCCATCCATGATGAGTACAATGTTTTAATAAGGTTTTCATGGTTTCTAAATTTTATACAGTATCTTTAATTTCAAAAGAAAAAAAAATTATCTTTCAAATGTCATGTTCTTTTCCATTAAAGAAGCACCCTTGATTTCCCAAATGGTGCAATGATTGGGTTAAAGCCCTCCATTTTCCAGAAAGGCATCTAGAGTGCTATAAAAGGTATGCCTGAATTTGGGGTGTGATCAGAGGTAGCTGTGTTATACATTGTACACCTCTGCTTGGGTGGATTTTTACACATACAATCCCCAGGTTCCTCACAGTTGTATTTGCATCCACTACTTTCCTCATCCATATAGCCCACTAGACTAAATCTCTATCGTTCTTGATTCCTCTTTCTTCTGCTTCAATTTTATCAGTTTAAAAAGAGAAAACAAAAACTATGCACTCAGCAATCATCTCCGATATAAAAACTGAAATTTCAGATCAACTGAAAGTAGGGTAATGAAGTACAGTGCAAGGGTATATCTATGACATGAAAGAGCCAACTATTTGTACAGTACAGAAAATGAAGAATCAATGAGAGCCAATGTAAGTGTTATGTCACAGGTGAAAAACCAAAAAAATGGCCAAATGAAAAGTACACTTAAAAAGAGTAGAAAAATTACTTAATGTGTGGAAAGAAGATCAATTCAGAAACAGACACCGTGAGCAGATCAGTTGCACATGAGTAGGCCTTGTACCCATGTAGCATTATCTGCAAATAGATGATGAACCATCCACCAACATGGCCCAGGAGAAGGGGGTACACCAAGTGCAAATCTCCTGAAGTCATGACCTTAGGGGGCCCAAGCTCTAGTAAATATTTTACACATGTACGATAGCAAAATGCCCTCCTCTCTCTCTTTCTCTCCAAAAAAGTAGTACTGTACTGTATTTATATGATGCTACTGCATAATGGAGAACATCCCACAGGAAAACTTTAGGAAGCTGGATTACCTCTCACTGGCTGAGGCATCCAAAACTGTGATTGGCAACTAATGACATTAATGGAAAATTCTTTTTGATTATTGAAAGTCGATCAGTGAAAACTGCATCACAGACGTTGCCACTTTCCACAAGAATAGACCAACGAAACTAGTGATACAGGCTTATAATTCTACTACAGTATAAACACTGAAGATGGAAACATAGAGGACCTAAAGACGGAGTTTAAAGACCCTGATAGACCAATACCATTCAATTTATGAGGAAGCAAAGATGGTTGCTACTGACATGACTATTGATTCACTTCTTCCTGAAACTTATTATAGAAAAAGAAAGGCATTTTGATGGAAGTAAGCTAGATACTGAAACTGCAGTTGAAGACACAATGGAAAAACTATGTTCAAAGAGGAAGTATTTTACAAGATTACTGACAAAGAGAGTGAATGTATAATTCAGCAGTATTCAGCAACACTTGAAATAAACAATATATTTGGATTTCTTTGGTCATACCTTGATAAAACTGATGAAATAATTATAAGTGGCTGCAAGAAAGTGAAAAAGATATAGACAGATATCCAAGAAGGGCATGAGGATGACAAAACAAACATAAGAAACACTACAACAAAAATATGGAAATGGTAACCGAGTAACAAATATAAAAGCAAAATTAATACCAGCAAAATAGGATGAATGAGTTAGAATAGTAAAACCCGAGTGGGATATAGCAAACAGCAGGAGACAAAAATTTATATGAACAAAACAATAAATGTTTTGAAAATTTTGGCCACATACCCCCTTCAGAAAGTTCAGTGGATGGTGTGGGAGGCTGAGTGATCTGTGCCTTAACCCTGTTGGCTCGTTGGCTAAATGCTGTCACCAGGTGGTGAATGCGCTCTGTCACATACCGGCTGTGCTCCAAGCTAGTGCTGTGGAGGAAAAAGGCTTATTAGGATATATTTTGTGCAAACTTATTTGGTTTAATTCAAATAAATGTTAAATGATTTTTGTTAGTTTACGAGGGATACTCAAACACAATAACTATAACACTGATGGTAAGTTAGACTTACAAACCACAACAAAATGTCTGTCACATGAGAAATTACAATTATCAAATGTAAAGTGAATTGTCAAGGTATCATGTAACTGTATAATCTAATACCAAAATGACAGGTACATTAACTAACATAGTTTGTAACATACAGTACACAATTTGCTACACATATAGTATATTTAATTACACAGAAAAAGAAAGATAGATACAAAGCCACAGTTAGGTAAAAATAGACACAATATTCAAATAATTTTTCTGAAAAAAAAAAATAATAATAATAATGCATTACTGTATACTCAATTTCACAATTCTAAAAGACTATTCTATGATCAAAACACTTTAGTCCAATGGTGCAGGAAGGCATTGAGTGTGATGGGAGATTTGATTTAAAGGGACCATAACTGCAGACAGCTTGCCAGCTAGAACATTGAACTTATTTCATCTATGAAGTGCCCAACCTAACTCACTAAACACTAATTGGTAACTTACATTGGGTGTAGGCTCCTCTCTGTGATGCACTATGATCCTAGGATGAAAACTTAATTTGTGGCGAATATTTCAATTTCTATAACATGTTTCCGAGTCACTGATCAAATTGGACAAAACCAGTTCGTGATTCACATACACAAAGGGGTTAGAAGGTACTGTAGCACATTACTATAGCTGGTCATAGCATAAACAAATTAAAAATACTTCACACTTACATGTATATTTACACAGTAATCCCTTAATTTACACAGTGTAGTTTGTGAAAAATAATGTGGAAAAAAAGGGGGGGGGGGAAGCCTCTGGGAAATTGGGGGTTAAGGTTCAAGACTAATTAGTTCCCCTTGACTGGCTACAGGAAAGGTAGAACTTATTATCAGCTGGACAGCATTGACACTGTTATCCACAACACAGCTCGTAAACACTAATGTTTATTTTTTTATGTCACCTGAATAGTTATGTACACTACTAAAGAACCTACTAAACAATTATATAATTAACTAAACTGCTACACAAACAGACACAATGTCATGCATACAGTGCTACTTGCACAGCTATGTACATACACAGACAGATAAATAACCACAATGAAATCTTCATAAAAACAAAGAAGGTACAGTGACATGCAACTAAGTAAACAGCTAGACAATGCTTAAGTACAACTGTACAGTAGTCCTCTCTCTCTCTCTCTCTCTCTCACCACACACACACACACACACACATTTAAAATTAGTCAGATAATTTTTAAAGTTTGTTACAGACTAGGAGAGGTACACGTGAGTATACCTTGATAGTGTTCCCTATACAGTACTGTATCCATGCAAGGCTCCCTAGTACAGTACTCGTATCTAAAGTCAACCTATGGCCTGGCCTCACTTATCACTAGCAGGCTAAGATAGAATAGGTATATCTTCCCCTACAATCTGGATGTGCTCAAGCTGTTGAGGACATGACAACACTACACTACTAGTAATGGCTCACATCGAATATAAATTTGAATCAATGGCCTACAGAACTGCCAGCCTAGTATGATAACCACTCCACCATCATCCTGCCAAACAGATTCACATATAAGAGTCACTAAAGGCAACCCCGAGTCACAAGTTATTTATCATTACACAATTACAGTTGGTCACAGCCATACACAGGAAACTTGACTCTAAAACAAAAGACAGCCATACAAATAGTTACACATCAAATGAGTTAGCCACTTTAAACAGTTACAGACAGACACATCTAAGGAGTTAACCATATTAAACAATTACAGACAACAGACAGCTACACATCTACTGACATTACCACACATTTAATAGTTACTGTGCAGTATATGGAAAACCTATAGCTTTAAAAACGGTTACACATCTACTGGGCTACCGTGTTAGCCACACAAGTAACAGGCACAGGGGAACAACAGTCAGCTACAAACAATAATCACTTCTCACAAGTCACTCTTGTTGCTGTTGAGTGAGGCAGAGGACTTGAGGGGACGAGAGGAGGAGTGTTCTGAGGCGACGTTGATGGTGGGTACAGTGTACCTGCCCACCCAAGGGCTATGGCCTCCCTGTAGGCAGGGAGCATACACTGTCACCTTCTCATAGTCAACAGAGCAGGAGGTCTAGGTATAGTACACAGATTAAGGTAACTCAATGTTATTCAACACCATCAAAAGTATAATACTGTACATTCACATAAGAACTATGGTACAAATATAGTAATGGACAAATTAACTTATAAAAGAACAAATCTGCACACACCACACAGTACTACATATATCATGTACCTAGATATGGATTATGAGCTCTATTACTACCAGAAGTACATGTGCCCGAAATCAATAGTTCAAAAGGAAGCCTGTAATAAGGTGTCCATGTCTTAGTTACCTCTATTAGGTGTGGCATAATACTGTACCACTAAAAAAAAATTTACACGAAGAAGCGACTACACAAAATAAAGCTGTAGGTTTTTTATAATATACTGTACAGGAGTCTCCCTTTCTCTATACCATATCTAATATATAATACAGTACAGTACAATCTTCTATATTTTGCAGAAGAGTTGTACTGTCCTTGGAAAACATTCTACCCAAACTATAATCTCGGTACAGAAACAAGTTTATCTATCAAGACACCTTCTTTCTGCCTCACCTCAAGTCAATCACTATACGGCATTTGATTTAATTCGCCTCAATAAGACACACTAAACCATTCTCTCCACAAGTCCATTCCCTATCAACATTTCAATTGTAATTCTGTCACTAATTCCTGTGACAATACAATAATTAACCTCTCATTTTGTAGTTCTTCCATCTTATTATATAAACTCTACATTCACTTTCTCACCTAATGCCTTAATGACTTATGCCAACTGATTCTTATTTTTTACATTGTGATTGATTAGGGGATGTTTGCATAAAAGTTTGCCTTCTGAAATGCAGTGACACTAACAGTGACCTATACTGTACAGTATTCAAGTGAGGCTTGCCTAGAAAACCATAGACAAGAGAGATGAAAATAAATGTTCAGTTGTGCAATAAGAGGTACCGTAAGTATTTGCCCTAAATTCAGAAAGCTCTAAGATGTAGGTAGATGGTAAGACATGAGAGAGTAGGGAGTACAACAGTCAAGAAGTGTGATGCCTGAAGGTGGTGAAAGAAGATGAGGTTGACTGAAGGAAACTTACAAAGAGTAGGGGTGGCATGACAAAGAATGATGTGTATTGTGACTGGGTACAGTGTCTGGTATGGAAAGGAGGTACAACATCTGATATGGAAGGGAGGTATTGTACAGTGTCTGATATGAAAAGAGGTACACTGTACTACAATGTCTGCTAACTTAAGTCCCCCCTCAGCCTGCTTGCTCTGGCTGGCACACAAAGAAATGTTTATTCCCTTTATGTTTTTGACCTTATGATACTGTAATTATTTCTTTTATTTTCTTTGCACATTCTGTTCGTAGGATTGTGTGTGCATGTACCTGTATACTTATCGCGGCTGGTGAAGTAGTCTTGTTGGGGGTTGAGGAGGCATGATCTAGTGGTCCACTGTCCAGAGAGGAGTTGGGCCATGGTGCCTCATTCTCTTCCTTGGTAGTACATTTATGGAACTCCCTTCGACGCTCCCTATTCCATTTTGGGACTTTTGAGGTACGGGAAGCATCATTCATCCCCTGCAATGACAGCTGAGGGGCCTTGTGGTGATTGTGATCTATAGTGTTCTTGGTATCAGTGGGTGCCTGCAGCTGGGTAGTAGGAGGTAATGGTGTAACACGTGTGCGGCGTCGCCCAATAAGTGGGCTGGAGCGTGGGCGTGATGATGGGCTGAGACAGGAAGTGCTAGTGGTGCTGGGATGTAAAGTGTCCACACTGACCATGGGAACCACACGTCCTGATCCTAACATACCTATTAAAGCATAATTAGGATACACACGAAATATATACAGTAATTCTATATAACAACACACTGATGTTTCATAAACACCAAACCTGGTGGAAAGGAAAACATTTGTGGAATGGCTCATTCTCAATACAAAATTTAAAAGCAGATATGTTCAATATTTAACGTGGGTTTTAATAATACATTGCCTATATAAGACAGCAAAATCTCTCAAAAAGATTAGGCATGAACAACAATATAATACGCATGAGAGATACTGTACAGTACCTTGCTTGATAATCTACTCCTAGCAATGTTAAATTATATATGAGTCGACAAATGCAAATAAGAACTTAAGAATGATGGAAACTGCAGTAGGCCTATTAGACCATGCTGAGCAGCTCCTGTTTACACCTAAACCTTGTTACTCGTATATCTGTCCAACCTATATTTGAAAATTCCCAATGAGTTTGAGTTGATGATGGAGTTGGTTAACTTGTTCCAAGTATCCACAACTATACTTCCAAATCAATGTTTACCTTTCTAAATCTAAACTTCTCTAACTTAAACCATTTCTATGTGTTTGCTCAAGATTTCATAGTTCAAGTGCAGTTGTGGACAAAAAGAATTTGGCAGGGAGGGCAGGGGTGTAGGCGAAGAACTAGCAGTAATATCTCATTGGGATGGCGGTGAAAATGTGGAAAGTCTCCTCATACATTAAATTTTGATTGTGTTTTTGTGGTTGTTTTGGTGTATTGAGTTATTTACATCATAATGTTAGTGTAAGCTGTGCCTGCCTAATAATTAAGCTAAAAAATTCAGATAGTACGAAAATAAAACCACAAAATTTTAACCACCACCTCAATACGATGTTGCCTAGTCTCCACCTAACCCGACCCTCACATACAGTACATCACCTCCTTTCCTTCCTGCAAAATTCTTTTTTTCCTACAACTGTAATTTAGTTACATCACATTTATTGAACTAAAGTACAGTATATCTTACATTTATACACTTTGATCATATCACCTCTCACTTTAAATCCATTCGTTAAGTGAGAAAGTGTATTTTGAATGGTAGAGTACGTGTATTACTGGGGGACACATTCCATCATATTTTGAATGTAGAGCCCATGTATTATTAGGGGAGCTATGACTAACATTTTCCTTCCCTGGAACAGACCCCAATAATATACAGGCTCTACCATTCGATATACAATTGTTTATAGTTCCTTGAAACATTATCCTCAATAAGACAAGGGCTTTACCGTTCAATATACAGTATGATTGTTTTCTGTAACTGTAGCAATGAACTACTGTACAGTGAATACACTATTTTTCAATAGATATTTTTTGTTAGGTACTATAACAGGATAACCCAGTCTCTTGTTCTTCAGCAATTATCCACCCAATTTTCCTGAGTAAGGCAAATAAGGGAAAAAATCTCACCATCAGGACCCACAGACATTCTTACCTGCTGTTTTAGGCCGCTTGGCAGAGTCGCCTATAACAAAAACAGGTCGTCTAGTGGGCGTGTTTGTGGTGTCGGCCACTGGAGGAAGATCTTGTACAGTGGTGCGGGCTTGAGGTAACACTGAGATTGAGGGTTCCTGGGCTCCAGGCTCCCCTACCAAGGTGGCCACCTCTAGCCGTACTGGATATGCCATCTGTTAAAAAAAATTGAATATGATATATTAAATTTTTACATGGGAGAGGGGCACACTTAGTTTCACTTTTATTGCCATTCAAGTACTGGGCATGCACTGGCTCCTGATTGTATCCGAACCTGCTACAATGTTGGTCAAGTCTGGTCTTGAAAGAGCTCACACAGTGCTGTCACATCTATCCCTGGCAGGTTGTTCTAAGAGTTCACAATTCTCACTCAGAAAAAATTTGCCCTCACAGTTTTCTGGACATATGGTTTCTTCATCCATGAGCTGTGACCCTTTGTGATGCAGCCAGCTCCAGGTATGGAGCCTCGACTGAGCAGTGACCTCTGATACACTTCAATTAGGTCACCCCTTGCCTGCCTGTTGTATAAACTAAGCAGTTGCATGCACTCTAATCTCTCTGGATAACTGAGGTGCCATAGAGCAGGCACCAGTCTGGTGGCCCTCCTTTAAACATTTTCAATCAACTGACAGTTTCTAGAATATCTCGGGGACCAGACAGGGTGACAGTACTCCAGGCAGGGAAGGACCTCACTCTAGAAGATCATTACGAGGGCTAGGCCATCTAGATATATATTATGCCGGCAGGTTGGGGAAGTTATGTAAGGTTAGGTAGGTTTGGTTGGTGCTACCCTCCATGTATTACTAATTAAGTTATCCTAACTAACAAAATCAGTCCATAAACATTTGAGAATGTATAGCTTAGACAATTCTAAGATACCTTTATTTTATGATGTTTCCCTAACAAACGAGGTAGAACCCAGATATTATGCCGGCAGGTTGGGGAAGTTATGTAAGGTTAGGTAGGTTTGGTTAGTGCTATCCTCCATGTATTACTAATTAAGTTATCCTAACTAACAAAATCAGTCCCCCGGCATATCAAATATCTCGGTTCCAGTCATTTGTGAGGGAAACGTCAAAGAAGTAAAGTGTCTTAAAATTGTTTAAACTATTGTTTGCAATGATAAAATTTCCGAAATTCAATTGGTGGCAACAAATGCAAAACTGTAATATCTTTTCTAGGACTGTAGTTGTCTGATTTTCAACTCACCATATCTCGGTTATGGGTAAAATGAGCCAAAAGTGTCATAGAAGAAAATCATCCTGTTTTTGACTGAAATTATCATTACACAAAAAACTGTATCTAGTTATGTCCTTTACTTTAAAGTGACATTTTAGTCCACCAACTGATGTTTCCTGAGCTATTATGCTTTGCCTTTATTTGCTACCTCAACAGAAAGTTCAATCTTTCTTCATTTTTAATTGCCATTGGACTAGTGTACTTGATAGTTAATTACTGCACTAACTTTGCTACACGCTTAAAGAGTGCAGTTTGAAAAATAATTCCTACTGCTAACCCTCTCTTCAACCTTTACCAACCTTCGTTGTTGAAACTCAGTAAATTCAGTAATAACATTCCACCAACAACAAATCACTTGCCACAGGTCGATCAGGCGCCAGGTATAGAGAGATACACTATACTGTACTGTATTATGTTGGCGATACTTGACAAGTAAAGGGTCTTGAATTAAATGGACTAAACCTAAATATACTTGAGTATATGTAAAATATTATATTCTAGTATTAAATAAGTTTAGTTGATCTTATATTTCACGAAATTGTCTTCAAATTGCAGAAATTGAAACAGGCGGGCTTTCTTTACCCTCCAGTTCCCAAGTTATTATCATATACTACGTCAATTAGGCCCGGTATACGATGCCAAACAATTGGAAATAACCAGTTCGCGGCTGACATTCTGGCTGCAACTGCAAGCACTGTTGGTCGTCATCTCCACGAAGTAAATTGGTCTGTCATTGTGATGGATGCTGGTTGCCCCCCCCCCCCCACCACTTGTCTTCTCTGTTACAAGGAAAGAGTATCTACTAACCTTGTGAACGGGAGGTTTACTTTCCCGCGTGTAAGAGTTCTCCGTTCATTCCTTTCTGTACCGCTGGCCCTGGGCTCCCGGTAGAACCTTCTTCCTGCGTCACTGACAGAGAACTGCGAGAACTAAAGGGGGCAACAAGTCTTGCTGCCACCCTCCACCACGCCTCTCAATCATTAGATAGAACAACATTGTTATAACGATGCCATCTTAATATACGTAGAAAAAAGGCTAACCATCCCTGAAAATGGGATTTAGCATATAATAATGATCAAATTTATCAACTGGAGTTAAGAAATATTAATAATATATCTCTCAGAGGATGAAGAAGTTTACCATATCGAGGTTTGGGCGACGCTCCAGAACAAGCCGTTGCTATGACAACCTTGGGAGATGCAGGTTAGTCAATTTTTCTCCCTGGGGTATACAATTAATTTGTTCAATATTATTGATGAGTTTTAAATTGCAACAGAAGTAAATGACGTGGGCGTGGTGGAGACACGGGTGTAACCGCGGTGTGTGAGAGAAATGTGGACGTGACAGATGTGTAGGTGTGATGAGATGTGTGCTCGTGTCAGGTGTGTGGGGATGAGATGTGGGCGTGACAGATGTGTAGTTGTGAGATGTGTGCGTATGTCAGGTGTGTGGGGATGAAAAGTGGGCGTGATGGATGTGTGGGGATGAGATATGGGTGTGTGTGTCAGATGTGTGTGTGTGTGTGTGTGTGAAGGATGAAGATGTTGGCAGAATGAAGGCATGGGCAGTAGTATGAAGCTTTGGAATAGATAATTGTATAGCATGGATGAGGGTATGGGCAGAATGGAGGTACGGGTAGAATGAGGGTATGGGCAGAATGGAGGTGTGGACAGGATGAAGGTATGGACGGAATGAAGGTGTGGGCAGAATGAAGGTGTGGGCAGAATGAAGGTGTGGGCAGGATGAGGGTATGGGCAGAATGGAGTTATGGGTAGTATGGAGGTGTGGGCAGGATGAAGGTATGGACGGAATGAAGGTGTGGGCAGAATGAAGGTGTGGGCAGAATGAAGGTGTGGGCAGGATGAGGGTATGGACAGAATGGAGGTATGGGTAGTATGGAGGTGTGGGCAGGATGAAGGTATGGACGGAATGAAGGTGTGGGCAGAATGAAGGTGTGGGTAGAATGAAGGTGTGGGCAGGATGAGGGTATGGATAGAATGGAGGTTTGGGCAGAATGGAGGTGTGGGCAGAATGAAGGTGTAGGCAGAATGGAGGTATGGGCAGGATGAGGGTAGAGGAAAGATGAGACAGCAGGTATGGATAAAGGTGTAGAAAAAACAAGGGAAAAACGACGATGTGTAAGGGATGAGTTGTGAGGGAAGGAGGGAGGGAGTGGTGAGGGTGTGGGAGGGTGATGAGGGTGTGAGGGGGAGAGGGGGATGGTGTGGGAGGGAGGGAGGGATGAGGGTGTAGTGGATTTCTCCCCTACAAACGCTGTTTGTCGCTGAGTAGCTGACCCCACCAATTTCCCAGTGGATGCCCCGTGGTCCGGGTCAACCAGCGCCGCCATACATCATGGAGCGGGGGTCAACTACTAAGCCACGCCTACCCCCCGCTATTTAAGACCTGACCTCGTGGTGACCTGTTCTCTTTCTACCTACACCAACCAGCCAGCAACACCTCGTTCCTCCTCCGCCTGCCTGGCGGTCCTCACTCCCGCCGGCGAGCATGGCGACCCACAAGCTGTCCTTCTCTGAGCACCCTCACCAACCAGCTCTCTCTACATCACGCTTGTAACCATGCTGCCTTCCCAGCACCAAGTTGCATTGTATATCCAATACAACATGTATATAGAGAGCACATTGTGAGTTTCCTTTCTCCAACCCATCCTGAGTGTGAACCAAACAACCTGAATCCCACAATTGGTGACTCCCGGAGATTCGCACTCACACAGGATGGAGGAGAAACTGATCACGCTCCCAGTCTTCAAGCAACATGGAAGACTAGCTTATCCACACAGAAGCAGCTCTCATCGGCTCTACGACTACTGTCTCTACACCGCAGGTTGGACACCCTAGAGCAGCTCTGCTGCTCTAAGCAGACAGTCGCTCCTCTTCCGACCCCAGCACACCCGTCCTGCCTCAGACACCGCCCCCGGCCCAGCAGTACCCCCTACCGCTCCTCCTGATGCAGCCCCTGCTCCCGATGCGGCCCATGCGCCTGAGTGCGGACCAACACACCCCTCTTTTCTCCCTCAGGTACTCCCTGCTACTGTCCTGCACCCTGCTGCTGTTGTGGACCCAGCTGCTGTCACGAGCCCTCATCCGCTTCTGCTGACGCAGCCCCTGCTCCTGACCCAGGCCCACACACCCCAGCAGGCGCATCTGACGACTCTGTACCAGCCGTGAGGGAAGCACAACATTCATTGCCTCCACACACCCTTTTTCTCCCTCTCTACTCCCACAGATATTGTGTATCTAGATAGTTGTCTACTCTAGCGGCCGGCTCATCCACGCCCTGGCCGTTATTGCTCACATGTGGCATGCACCAACCGTTCTGCCTCACATGTGCCATGCAACCCTGCAGACAACAAGTCTCCTACACCGCCTGGAGGGAAGGGGGAGTACTGTAGTGGATTTCTCCCCTACAAACGCTGTTTGTCGCTGAGTAGCCGACCCCGCGAATTCCCGTGTATGTCTCGTGGTCTGGGTCAACCAGCGCCGCCATACATGACGGAGGTCAACTATTAAGCCACGCCTACCTCCGCTATATAAGACCTGACCTCGTGGTGACCACTCTCTTTTTACCTACAGCCGCAGCATGCAACACCACCTCCTCTACTCCTGCCTGGCGGCCCTCGCTCCCGCCGGCGAGCATGGCGACCCACAAGCTGTCCTCCTCTGAGCACCCTCACCAACCAGCTCTCTACATCACGCTTGTAACCACGCTGCCACTTCCCAGCACCAAGCTGCACTGTACATCCAATACAATATGTATACAGAGAGCACATTGTGAGTTTCCTTTCTCCATCCCATCCTGAGTGTGAACCCAAACATCTCGTACCCCACAAATCTACTTTTCTTTATCCCCTTCGCCACTGATCGGCTTGTTAGCTGCTTGGGCAGTTGAATTCATCTCTGTTGCACACTATTGGCAAGTACATTACTGGGCATGTTCAGGCCCCAGAATATATCTATACCTGCAAGTCTGGTCTTGAATGAGTTCACACTCGGTGTCGTCATAATGCTCTCTGGCAGATTGTTCCAAGAGTTTTCAACCCACACTCATAAAAAGTTTGCCCTAACAATTTTTGAACCTGTGGTTTCTTCAACCATAAGCTGTGATCTCCTAGTGTGGCAGGCATCTGCCAGCTGGTAGAAGAGCTAGGACGATGTAGCTACAGTGACAATCAAACTTGGCAAACCTGCCAAGTCCACACACGTTCATTTCGCACACATACACACAGATGCTCTTCATACAGTATTTCATATTTTATAGCAAGATATTTTTTATATACAGGTACACTCCATATAATGCAATAAAATTACATACTACAATAACAAAAACAATACATAAGAATACTGTGTCAGTGACTGTGCATACGTGCATGTGTGTTATGACATTTGTAAATGAGTGTAAACATTTTAATTAGCATTTACCATTGCCATATGAAGAATTCTAGAATGCTCGGCACACTTTTTCATCCCATTGTTTGGAAGTACAGGTACAGCTCTGGGGTGAGCATCTCCCACACATGAATTTTCACACACATGCTCTATGTGAACAGTCCCATTAAAATTAATTAATTTCTAGACCATGCGGGTCTTTACCTGCGAAAAAAAATACGCAGAGTGAAGCGGGGTCTTACATAGGAATATGGGAGATATGGCTAGCTTGCCCAGTTTGAAATATTATTGAGACATTGTAATTTTAAATTTGCAAATTTCGAATAGGGGTGTTAACATATCATTTGTGGATGATTGGGGTTGTGAATATCAGGGTTGCAAATAGCGAGGTATTCCTGCCATAATGTGAATTTGTCACAACACAGGATGTGCCAGTAATAAAAATATAATAATTTTAGTAGTTTTAATAACATTTATTTATACAATAATAATATCCTTAGAAATTAACAGAGTCCCAGTTGCAAAGGCAATCATCGAGCAGTGTGTCCACTAAACTTTCATCATTGGTATTTACATGCTTTCTTTATTATTGTTTATATGCTTATAATTTTAAGTTTTGATGTTACAATGCACAGTTAAAACTACTTTTGGGATGAAGCTATTGAAATTTATGAATAAGAGTTGGGAACTATCAGGAATTCAGTTTTAGAGTTGGTAACACTGTTCATAGCATCAGCTGTTGTAATGGTGGTCACAGCCAAGAAGCAATGGTGTGAATCTGGTGTCCTGCTACAAAATATTATCTAGGATTATACCTTGCAGTTCTCAAAAGCTTGGGCCAAACTGTACAAGAGGTGTATGAAAAACTCATGCTTTTTTACCAAAAAATAAAAGGTCAAACTATGTTTGAGACTGGCTTATACAGCAACTTCTTCACTGTTGTAATAGCCAAACCACATGCAGGAGTTTTCAGCAGATATAGTATGCTGACAGATTTTCAGTGCCTGACTGGGTCAAGACATGTGATCAAGAACTAACAAAGAAATTTGCATCCAGTATCTATCTTTGAATATAACAAACTGTAAATAAGCACTAACATAATACTGCACACACTATCAGTTTAGCACATATGTAACTTCTAACACAACCATTGCACATTTACCTCTCTCCTCTGATACCAATAAGGAACAATTTCATGGGATTAGAGGAATTACAGCTAGAAAATCACTTCCTGTATCAAATCATTTTCACCTTTTTCTATGCAGATGTTCTGCTTATACTAGCCCATTTGGCCTCCCCCTGAAGTCAGTTTACTTAGATAAACTGAGAACAGTCTTTCCTCTAGCATGTCCATCAATGACATAGCGATAAGCCTCTGGTGCCTCAGTAAATGGGAAGATTTTGTCAATCACTGGTCGAATCTTTAAAGAATGTAAAAAACATTATTAACAGCTATCTTTAGCTTAGAAATGATTCGTTACCTAAAATCATATAAAAGTATGTCTAGATTTACAAAAGGGTTCCATTCCTGAAAAACCTTTCCTAAATCAAAGCACATTTCCCCATAGACTACTACAGTATTATAAAGACTAAGTTCTCATAAAAAAAATCCACCAAACATCATAAAATGCTACAAAACATGTTTCAATGAGAATTTTTGGTGTACACAATGATTATAGGCCAAGCTAATAATAAACATATTGAGTGGAAGACAGGGGGTCCCCAGGTTACGAACTGGTTTCCATTCCTGAGGGCGTTCTTAAGTCGGATTTGTACGTAAATTGGAACACATGCTATGTGCATACCATACTCAGAACAATGTTTAAAATTCCACTATAGCATAGACTAAGTCCTTATATACATTTAAACTCACTTAATTTAAGTCAAAAGAAGAAATAAAATGACAAAATACAGTAAATTAAAGTAAAAAATAAGTCATCAGGTAAATAAAATACTGTAAATTACAAGTTTAATCCTGTTCGTAAGTCAGACGTTCATAAGTCGGGGACCCCCTATATAATGTATTACCAAGATACTGCACCATTGAGGAACCCATAAATACAGTACTGTGCTCATTTTCCATTTTTCTTCAATTTTTCCTTTCCTGTCAGTTGATTTTGTAAAGAAATTTAATGCTTTGGAAACTTTATAGTTTTGCCTTAATTAAATAAAAAGAAGAGAAAGGGACTAGCTATAATTTTCATATTATACTGCAGAAGTGATGTTAGCTGCTATTCAACCCCTTCACTATCAGATGCCACTTTTAATGTTTTATTTAGCTAATGCCAGACACTTTTATTCAACACAAGAGACTCACATACCCAAGTGGTTAATACTGTACTTCTGTAAATTATCTCCATTAACTCCTTGACTACTGGATGCCAAGTGGTTACCCATAAAGTGTCCAATTAAAATATCAAAAGTCATTCTGTCATGTAAAAAAAACTCCTGTTTTTGCTTAAAACAATAAATTTTAATACAAAACACAGGGAATGCATGGACTTTTGGTTTCTGAGGGTTAAATCCCCTATTTAATTTGCCCACTGGTGCCAAGGTTGTATAATTTAAGGATCCTAGGATGGCAATGTGAACAATATTACTGTTGTGAGTAATCATATTGTTTTATGATAAAAATGCCAGGCAGTCTGGCTCATACTGGGGCAGTTGCCATGTATGATTTTTTCTCTCTACCAGCATTTGTAAACACTGACACTGTTCAAACTTTGTCCCACTGTTTATAAACAACATTTACACCTTATGTATCAAGGATGATTTGTTTACATGCAAGTACTGCATTTCAGGAGATGAGACAATACAATCACAACCTGAAGTCAAGTGATACACAAAATTGATTATCTGAAACATTAAAAAATAAATGACCGTAATTTTCTGAAACAGTAAGAAAAAATAAATAGTGCACACGATTACATTCCCAAATTACCTCAAATGCATTTACAGGTTCATACTGTATTAAAGTTAATTTTTTTCTAAAAATAATGATGTTCATCACAGCAAGTTAAAATTGGTGACCCTAAATTTAAATTAGCAAAAGTGAGTTTGACATTTGATCCAGTGACTATATTTTTGGGGGAACCTGCTTGTTGGTTACATTACAGTAAAGTACTTATTCCATATCACATTCAACCTCACATGAAATTTCATCAAGATTCGAAAATGAATATTCTGGTTTTACCAACAATGACCTCAACCAAAATATTAAATGGGCAAGGTACATATCCAATAGCATGTTCGTCACTTGATGGAAACTCTACTTACAGTTCAGGGACCAAAATGTAAAGACACAGACAAAGCTATACTGTACCATTATAAACTGTACTGTGTTGACATAGAAAATAAGGAATGCAATAAAAATTACACTTGAGATCATACTCTAAATATTTCAATAAAACAAGCATAAAAAAATCTTAAACTTGAAAATGGACAAGTGACATCTCACCCTTTGGCTGGCTAACATTTTTGCAAGTTGATTCAGGGCCCATGGGTTGGGCATGTAGAATGCCCATTTGTATGCTCGTCCTTCTGATAATGAAGTTGCATTTCTACATAAAACTTGTCTTGCACTCTGAAAATTTTGCACAATGAGGTATCAGTATAGTTTACAAAATAAATGTGAAAATATAGGTCAATTACCTTGATAATTGCCATAAAGATTCTTGTGGATAATTTTCCTCACCCAAAGCTTTATCACTGACTAGGTGATGTGGGTCACTGGCTATGCTTGGAGACAAACTAGGTCAAAAGATACAGGAGTTTAAATGAGGAGAGGTTATAAGAAATGACCTCAGAGATAAGAACCTGACAAGAAAGGCTGCAAGAAAATGTGCAGCATGGAGAGCTGCCATCAGGTAATAATGGCCAAAACCATGAAAGCAAGGATGGACAATTACTGTAAAATGGTGATGGTGATAATGACCGACGATTTTGTAGAATCTTTTTTTTTCAATTTTATAGTCTGTGTTCTATTACCTATGAATCTATCAGATCAAATAAGTGCCTCATCCAATTTTTTGGCATAGTCACACAGAGCTGATATCAGAATAACATGCTGATGCTCAAATCTTGGGACCTTGTCAACTTGGCTATTTTTGCTTTATTTTTTTCCCCAATTAAATAGCCTTGATTTGGCTAATTCTGATGTAGACACTTCCACTTCAGGCAGTTTCTATTTATTTCAATGTTCTCACCAATGCATAAAAAAACAGGAACTCAGTTGTGTACTGAACCTGTTTTGGCCCTTTCCAAGTAAACCATATGTGTTTGCCACATCACCTCACAACTATGCTCTCCCTCCTTTCATGACACCTGCAACACTTTATGTAATGTATAAACACCAGCTGCTTGGATGGCAAGCACAATTATTAATTTGTATACGGTATTACAGTATTTTTTTTTTAACTTTGTGCTTATATTTAATTTGGGCTCGTAAGGTCAATCGTATTTTTATGTTTGTTAATACAGTGACCCCTCGGTTAACGAACTCAATCCGTTCCAGAAGGTCGTTCGTTAACCGAAAAGTTCGTTAACCGAAACCATTGTTTCAATGGGTTTTTGGGTAATTGGTTCCAGCTCACCGAAAATTTCCTAAATTCAACAAAAATGGTAGAAAAGTTCACTTACTTTGAGGTGTGTATGTAGAAGGCTCCTGGATGATGATGATGGGAATTAGAATGGGGGTGGAGGAGAAGGAAGAAGAAAAGGCATTGGGGTGGAAGAGAAGTCACCCCATGGCACCATTTCATCCATAAAATTTTAGTTCTCTTGGTGTATTTCAAGATTATTTTCTTTAAATCATCACTGCACTGCATTATATATTATCACTATGTAAAATATATTTCAAAATGACCAATAATTTGCTTGGAAACACAGAAAAAAGCGTTTAGTTGAAGAGAGTCTCAAGCAAGATGTTACCTCCACAGAAAACAGAGACCCTAATGCCTGTCTGGTGTGTTAACAGGCTGGATGGCACGCCAGAAACTAGTTTCTTTACCTTCAATTATGTTCAATAATTGTTAAAATGACTAAAAAAGTTAATACTGTATTAAACTTTTAAAATTATTGAATAGTATAAACTTCTTGATATTTACTAAAATAGTAAGGAATTTAAGCCCTAGAACCGATTAATGTATTGGCGAACTGATACTAAAGCTGGTTGCCCGGTCAGTGCAAGCGAAAACATGTTGAGTTCGGTTCGTAAGAAATTGGTTAACCGAATTGAAGATCCTTATGGAAGGCAGTTCGTTAACCGAAATTTCGTTAACCGAGGCGTTCGTTAAACGAGGGGTCACTGTAATTTGTCTTCACTGTCTTTGGGTTTGAAACCTAAGAGCAGTATTGTATGGACCAGACATTCAGGGTTCATGTTGTAAGTTACCCTGCAATTCATAAAATTCACATGTCTGCCAAACAGTTGGTCCCAAAGGTGTGTCAACTTGATAGGTTCTAATGTTGATGGATATACTTAAAATATAATAAATTACTGAATTTAAATGAAGATATACCTTAAAGAGCCCAGCTGCTAATCCCATGCTGTCTATGTTCCGCAACAATGGTGGTGATAAGGTAATGTAGGAACATCCCTTCCAGGGTTTCAATGCTTTCATATAATCCAAGTCATCTTCACCAGTAGCATTAATCACAAGATCAAATCTGTTGAGAAATGAAGGACTGAAGTATAAAACCCAAATTTGTGGCCAGGTAAACAAACAAGAGAACCTATGAGACATGGAGCTACCTAGAACTAAACAGTGAGAGTTTGCCATTGAGGGTAAATTATGTAATTCTTGAGAGCAGGGACTTTCATAATGAATACTGTACTGCATTACTGTAAGCAAATAAGCAATGCAGCCTCCTTGCCTAGCAGAACTTGTTTGACTTTTTATGAATCCTATGGCTGTTTCTGGCACCAGAATGGTTAATCAAGCTGAAGCCAATGACTCCACAACCTGTTTGCGTGTCCTCAAAATGACTGCAGTGGTAAAAGAACTTCAGCCTTCAATTTCTTGCCAATTTAGGATTTAACTCAAGATAGTGTAGAAGGGTAGAAATTTAGGTCTCTCCCTAATCTAAGCCATATACAGTGTGGGATTGTTCCTGAAGTCTACATTATTACTGTACTAGTCAAAATAATTCCCTTTCCTTACCCTCCTTCGGCAATAAGCATATCTTTAGTAGTTGGTTCTCTGTAGTCTAGTGCTTCTACACCTAAACTGGTTACCAAATCCAGGGCATCTGAGCTGCAGAGACCAACAACCTGTAATACACCAAGAAACTGTTATAATAAAACTAAGTAAAATACAAATCACTCACTGATCTGTAATTCTACTAAGTTACACTGAGATCCATCACTGGTTTATTATCTTCAAAATGGGTATGCTAAAATAACCCCAAATTTATTATGATGAGTTAGGATAAAGACTTTGGAAGTAGAGGACACAGATCTTACTCAGATATTGCAGCAAGTCATAGGGTTTTAATTTGGTAATGAAACATCAACAGTAGGTCTACTACTGTACACATAATAATAATAATTAATGGTTTATTGAAAGAGCTTGGCAGCCAGAAGGCTGAAAATATACAGTTAAATAATTGGGGAATGGGTTTCGAATTACAAATAACATAAGTGATATAAATAAGATATATAATAACTAGATGGGGAAAAGCTCAAACTACAGGGCATTTCAACATAGTGACAGTGCAAGAAGTAGTATTTACTGGGAGTGAATACACTGGTTTATTACAAGTTATTAATAATTTTTACAATGGTTGGGACTAGGCTGTTCTTATAGCGATCAGTTCGTGCACGTATGGGCTGGATGCGGTTGTGGTGTCAAACAGCAATTCTCGGACTAGGGATCTCAGGTGGTAGTAGGAGCCGGTGTCGAGGATGGTGCAGAAGCTTCTTGCCAAATTTGCAGATGAGGTCGTGGTGATGATCAGTGAGAGCCGAGGGGGTCAGTGTGCTGAGCGCTTCTTGATATGTGGAGTAGGAAGGGGAGAGAATAATCTTGCATGCCCTCTTTTGCACTTTTTCTAGGTGTTTATGTTGTGTGGCATTTAGGGAGGAAGACCAGGTAGGGGAGGCATAGGTGAGCTTGGGAAGTATGAATGTTGAGTAAACACCGAGGAGCTCGGGTGCAGGAACTCCGAGGGACTTGAGTCTGCGGAGGAGGTGGAGACGGAAACTGGAGGATTTGACAACATCACTGACGTGTGGTTTCCAATTTAGTTTGTTGTCTATGGTGATGCCGAGGAGCTTCGTGGAATCTACAACCTGGAGTGTGTTCGGACCTAAATTAATGGAAGGGGGTGGGACAATGTCGGAGGAGAGGTTGATGTGCATAACCATGGTCTTGGTATGGTTGATGATGACGTGGTTGTTGGTGGCCCAGTTTTGGAGACTGTTCAATAAATCCTGAAGGGCGGTATAGTTGGGAGCAGAATTAAGATGTCCTGCTCTCACCGCATATGATTTCTGATAAGGTTTTATCTGAACAAGAAATGCTAAACTTATCCATTTAAAATTTTATTCTTTTCTCTGACATAAGATCAAACTCTGGGATACTAACACATCAGTGCTCATAGTTAAAATACCTCAAGTCAGCATCTTGCCACTATTTCACAAAGCAATCCTACATACATGTTATTTGTTTTCAGCTTAGTTAACCACTCTTAATACAGTAAAGTATAATACTGTAAGTTCCTTTTAGTTTAACTCTCCATAAACTGACCAGGTCTAGCATTGGAATCCCTGAGATGCCTGTGTCAGCATTTCAGCATCATCCACTGTTGCAAAATATTTACGAAAAAACTGAAACAGTATTCATAACCGGATTATTCTTACATAAATAAGAACCTGGAGGGAGGGGGGGTTGTAACTTGGAATTTTTGTAAACTGGATCTTCATAAATTGGGGATTGTCTGTATTTTACATAATTTGTTTCCTTAAACTTTGACAACAATACAGATGATTTATACAGTACAGGTACAAGAAGGTTTTAGGTTATCTATTTGTAACACTAAATTGTTTTAAATCATAAAAATAAAAAGAGACCTGAGCTCCCCATGACGACAAAAGCTGACAGATGATGGTTCCCACACCCCCAGAGGCCCCGAGAAGTAAGACTTTTGATCGCGGTGCTGCATCAGGAGTCAGCATGCCAGTCACCATCACAGCACTCCATGCTGTCAATGCAGCATATGGGACAGAAGCAGCTTCTTCAGCATTAATATTGTTGGGCATCAGGCAGACCTGTTATAGATAATTACACAAATTACACTCATGTTTATTTTTTGCTTTAATATTTCATCTTGACACATACAACACAGAACTGAGGTAAGAAATACCAAATTATGACAAAGGGGAAGAGATTACATACAAAATTATCCCACTGGAAGAGTCTACCTTACCCAGGAAGCTGTCTGGGTTCTGTGGCAAGGACAATATCCTAGATTGACTGAAGGATGGTGGCTCCAGCTTTTGTAAATTTCCAGACTTTATGGTTCAAATTTAATGGAGCACAAATTAAACAACTTACAACATTTTAGATATCCCCATATATTTATGGTCATATTACTTTTCCAAACACAAAACACCAATGAGGTTTGCATATCTGGCAACTTAGTTCCTTATACATGTATCCCTCACTATCCAAATACGTTAAGTTCTTGAAAACCATTCAGTTATCAAATTTTTGGATAGCAAATAACAAGGTACAGTACATGGGAAATTATGATTTAGTTCCTATAAGACCCAATAAAGTGGAGTCGTGATAATTCGCAGGATAGGTACCAGAAGATACCATGAAATATCAAATTGCAAATTATAGTTAAATTGTTTGAAGTGGAAATACTGTCTGTTCTCTTATAATGTGGTAGTTGCATTCCTGAAGAATATTGCAGAATAATAATAGTTGATTCAATGGGAATTAAGGGTTGGGGGTAATAAATTAAAAAGCGCCAACATGTCTGACACTTTACTTTACGATTAATTTTATTGTTAGTTTTATGTGTTCTTTTACAATTGTTTTAGTTTTATATCATTCATTAATAAAAAAAACAGGAAAAGGGGAAAAAATTGTTCTAGTGTGTTAGTCTACACTGCTAAGTGATAGAAAACATAGCCATGAAAGAGGGCGAAGAGGGAAAATTATGAAATTTGTGGAGTGTGACTCGCTTAGCAGCTTTTAACGATAAAATCTTATTAAATCAAAACATTTGTAACTATAAAAACTGTAAACAAACTTACAAAAATGTAAGGGAAGCAAATAATGCCGTATAGTGTCAAGTGCAGTCGAGTGTAGGAGGAGGGGGGAGGGAGAGCTCAGGCCACCACTCAACCACCCTACCTCCCATCTCTCACAAAACTCACTTCCCACTTAATTTTTTCTTATTTTATAGTTTTATATTCTATTTTATTTATTTATATGTCACGCAGGCTGAGGGGATTTGGGAAGGAGGGGGTGATGTGTGACTATCACACATGGTGATTCAGCAGATCAGATCAATATTGTTCTAATAATCCATAACATTCAAGCATTTCCCAAAATTTTCTTGCGTAGAAGCCAATTGGACCAAATGGTGTCAATATAAAAGAATTTGGAAAAGTCAACTAATTTTGTGATTCATCAGAGTATTTCATAACTTTCCAGTTTTTCCCAAAAAAGTACAGCTGGCCCGGATAGGATTTAGCTTTTTTTTCAGATTTCTAATTTAGTAGAATCTAGTTTAATTGGAATTTACTAAAAATTTCTCCATAAACTGCTACTCATCCAGTCAAAACAAAATTTTGAAGCAAGCTTCAACACCGGTTGGTAGCTGCTTTAAAGTCATGATCCAAACACTTCACTGGGATGAGCCCTCAAGGAAGTTCACTTGACTTGGGTTACAAATACCTTTCTGCATATTTTCTTGATAAAGGAAGCTATAAACAGAAGATGTAGGAATTCCAGGTCACTCGTTTCTTCCCTTCAGCCATAAAATGTGTTTACAAAATTCAATCCTTTGTTTAATGACTTACAGCTCTTTTGAAAACTCACTTGTGGCTAAATTAGTCTGGAACTCTGGGTAACCAAAAAGATTCATGCTTCAATGGTATTAAAGGAAACACAATTGGAATAATATTCACTGATTTTGGTTCAACAGACTCTTTCTACAAATATTTCATCAATCAGAGTTAACAACTCCATGTTTCTCACTTTTTTACAGTACTGGAAAAGGATAAAGTAAACAACTTACATTGGATGCTGCAGTAGTAACAAACTCAGCATGTGAACCCTGCCGCTGTGGGCTGACCACACCGAACACCCGATCACTAACAGCCAAGCTTTTCACATCCTGACCCACACTCACTACCTCCCCTGCAAAGTCTCGGCCTGCTGAAAAAGATAAGGAAAAAAAAAACTAACTTTAACTTTTATCATCCATATCTTTATTATGCATGTCATTTTATAACCGGTACAATAGTATGTGGTATTGCCATTACTCCAATAAATGGAGACTGTTTAGCCATTAACTTATGTGACAAAAGAATATTGACACAAAAAGGACTGATCCTGAAACATTTTATGGCCAAGACCTACATAAAACCCACAACATTAGCAGCTGATACTAATCCAAATTTGTAATACTGTACAGGTATCCCCAATTTATGATCTCCATATCCATGATATTTTGCTTTAATGATGGTGATATATTAAGACCACCCCCCTATTTATGATATAAACAATCCACATGAACGATGGTCACTGTCCGGCCAACACCGACACATCTCTCAGTTCACTTGTAAGCTGCAGTTTACCCGTACACTGCCACCCAGTGCACTACAGTATCAAACTTTGTTCCATGGTGATCATACATGGCCATGATTGTGTAAGTAAATGATTATTGGTCAGTATCATTGTTGTTGCTTATCATTGGTGTGCTTGTTTTTTTACCTTACAGTGAGAGGACATCACTAATGTTCACATTGTACTGTTTTGGTGACTGAAGTGATTTTTTTTTTTTTTTTTGTGTGACTGTAAAATGCTTATGCATCTGTTGTTGTGAACATGATGTGAGCAGTGTAAATTTGAAAATGTCTGGGAAGGCCAAAGCACCCAGGAAAACCATGTCTCTTGAGGTGAAGCTTGACATTGTGAAGTGGCATGAGACTAGCCAGAAGCTGTGTGGGAGTAAGAGTGATATCTCCACTCCACCATCAAGAGTCCCCTTAGCTTTGAAGGGGACAAGTAATGACAACTAGGCTTGTTCTTAATGATGTGGTGAGTGTTGTTAATTGTGTTGTAGGTATATTATTAGTGGTGAGCTGTGTTGGAATGGTCAGCATACTCGCCGCGCAAATGAGTAGAACCAGGTTTGATCCCCTGGCATGGTGAAACTATGGACAAGTTTCTCACCCACACAGATGTAGAAAATGGTTGTAAAACGTTTATGAAGGTGATGCTTGTATTATAATTTGTGGAGTAATATCATCAAATTAAAAATACACAAGGAGACAAGTGAGACCTGAACAGCTGTCAATGTTAATGATTGATTAAATGAACATTTCTAACCATTTTGCAGATAAAGATGAAGAATCAATTAAAGGCACTAAGAGAATAAACATCTCCATACTCACCTGTCAAAGGAAACTCCATTTGGTTGTCGTCAAGGATACCTTGCTCCAGACGTCCCAATGTTCGCATCATGTTAAGGACTTCTCCACCATAACCATCTGAAAATATTTAGATACTTTTAAAACTAAAATCTGGTAACTAAATTAATACCCGGTTATGTTAAAAAATTAAAATATTTCTGCAATTCAAAAGAATTACAAACTTTCCATCATTCATTATGTCAATGTGCTGGTCATCCTCAACAACTTTATGTAAGATACATGTTGGATATTTAAAAAATTCCTCCACGCTCACATACATATACAGGTACTGTTTTTTTTTGTTTTTTTTATGGGAATTAGCCCACCCAGGCACAGGTCACTGACCCACATCGGGGCCTGGGGGGCGAAATAATAATAATAATAATAATAATAATAATAATAATAATAATAATAATAATAATAATACAGTAATAACAATAATAAAGAACCACACAGAAATACAAAATGAAAAAAAAATCAAAAGTGAGGAACAATATATGTACTGCATGTTGTGTTGTCAATAGTAAGAGAAACAATTGAGACCCTGCAATTGTGTGTAAATGAGGCAGAAAGTCAGATCAGCAACCTGGGACTTGGTCACAATTTTCGTGATGCCATGTGGCAGCAAGATCTACCATAGACAACGCATTATGCTTCCAATATCTTCCCAGGAGGTAGTACCTCCCTGTTTGGTAGCTGCCTAATACCTACTACCTATGAGTGTCCTGAAATGCATTACTATACATAGGTCATCCTTCTACAAATTGTTGCCCAATGTTCCTTTAGATAGGTACTTCCATAAAATCTAAAGTGTGTGACCAAGTTAAAAGAAACACTGCCCATTTGGCCACACTGCTGAACTGTATATAAGAGGGTTTATGCCATGTATAGTATTAAAAAGGTACTGTACAAGACAGCAGAGGAGTACCGTATACAGTATAAGCCAAAAGGAAACACTCTACACACCAATAAACTAAAATATACATAATAGGATCTACAGTTCTGTATTTATAAAAAATAAAAACAATTATTGTATGTACTGATAATAGCTGTGTCAATAGGGTTGACAGAGGCAGCTTGAACTCGCACAAGCACATCTCTGGGAAGAAGAATGGGTGGCACTCTCACAGAACCCAGCAAGAGTCCATCAACACCATCATAGCCAGTAGTCTGCCAAGCTCTCATCCTCAGTTCACCTACTGCCTCAGCCTCCTGAAAGTATAATAAGTTCTGTGATCACAAATATAATTAAAAAAGTTTAAATAATTTTCAAACAGTATGTACAGTACAGTACTTCTACAGGTAGTCCCCGACTTATGACTGCCTCAACTCACGTCCATCAGTACTTACGACCTGCTCTGACCTTACGACTGTCGGGACATACGACCGCCGCTGTCATGACCAATTTTTTTTCAAATGACGCGCGCATTTTCTATACCGTGCTCCCTGTCGTAAGTCGGGGAGCACCTGTATTTGTATTTCATATACAGTACGGTAAATCTTCTACAGTACTCTGGTTATTACAGTAAGCTGAGGTTAATCTCAAGAGAAAATACATTGCAGAGTTTAAGACCGTGGTGTAGATCATGTTTTGACTGCATGGTTTAAATTTACAAATTATTAGTACTGAACCTAACATAATACCTAAACCAAATACTGTACAAGTATTAACATTTACTGTTGAAACAACGAATAAGATAAAGTTTTAACATTACAATACTTTATAAAATCACATGGCCTGAAAATAATTGATTTCTTCTTACAGTCACTCCCTTCTGAGCAGAAGCTCTTCCTGTTCATTATCACAATACAGTAATTATGATCTACCTAACAATACCAAAAGAAGCAACAAACCTCAGGTTGTAAACTAGATTTTCTGCAAGACACTGAGAATCCCCGCCTCCAGGATGATGGTGTCTTGTGCAGTGATTTTTTGGCACCAACATTTTCACACAGTGTAGGTAGTCTCCTTATTGGGTATAATAAATTCATCTTTGTTTGAGTTCTCCTGCAAAGACAGACAAGAATTAAAAAAAATTTGAGATCATTATAAGATGAAACGGTTAAAGTGCATGTTAATTATGGTACCATAAGTGAAATAGAACAATAAAAAAAAAATTGGTAACTGTCTTACAAATACCTGTACTGTAGCCTCATATTCCTGAGTATCTAAAATGTAAATATAAGTATCCTGAATTGCTTAAGAATGATAAATGAAGGACTAATCCCAAAATTTATGTTTTTGGAGGAGCCCATAAAAGATGGTTCTTACAATACAGTTGCCTGATTTTTCCCACTTTTCTTTAGTTAACTACTATGAAAATTAATACCATTTTCCTAAATATTGTGATAATTGTTTTTATTGTGCAAGAAAAATCAGGCTTGGAAGCATTTCAAATCAACAGCTGCATTGATATGACTAGCACACATGTGTAATTCCCCAACTGCAGTCACGGTATCACTCGTCTAGTGCCCACTCAAAGTCAAGGACACTTCTTCTTACTCCCACAATTCCCCTTGAATTTACCATATATGTACACCACTTAAAAATATGTCTAAATGCTCTGAAGATAAGGATGTTAAATATAGAAGAGACAGTTTAGATTTTGGAAGAACTTAGACAATGAAGTGCGTCAGTTATTGCACAATGAAATGGCGTAAATGACAGTACAATTTGCAGGATCAGAATGAAGGCTGACAAAATTCGTGCAGTGCCAGTATATACACAGCCACACATATCCAAGACCATCCAGCATTTAAGGTTGCAACAGTACCATGATATGGAAGATACTTTGAAGATTTGGAGTGTGAGCATACAACAATGTAAAGCTGCATTAAGTGGTCTAAGGATTCAGGTTGTTTGAGAGAGATGGTAAGCCAGCTATTGACAGCAAAATCACAGTAAGCCAAGGAGCCAGCTTCATTAATCGTGCCTTTTTTTCTTTACACAACGGGAGGTTAGGTGAGGTCCTTCTGGTTTCATTGAATCAGTTCTTTACGTATTTTTAACCCACAATTTCTCTCTACTGCAAAGTCTTTCTCACTTTGTGCAACCAATATTGTTGGTAATTGGGAGACTTTCTCCATGACCGCAAGCAGTGTTGTTTTGTGGCGGTCCGACTAATTACCCAAATGTACCTAAATGTAGCCGCAATGAAGTCAAATAATGGTCCTACATGAATAAATCGGACTGCCAACCACTTCTCAACTAGTATTTGGTGTCACAAAGTCACAAAAAATTGGAAAACTTAATTTAAACTGAGTTAATAGATCGCGTGCTTGTACCGAGGGAGCGAGTAATTACCGGTACCCAAATGTAGTCGCAATGAAGTCAAATAATGGTCCTACAAGCGTAAATCGGGCTGTGACTCACTTCTCGATTATTATTTGGTGTCATGAAGTCACAAAAAATTGGTAAACTTAATTTAGTCTGAGTTGTGTTAGGTTAGGTTAGGTACATGCACTTGATCTATTAACTCAGATTAAATTAAGTTTACCAATTTTTTGTGACTTCGTGACACCAAATACTAGTCGAGAAGTGATTGGCAGTCCGATTTATTCACGTAGGACCATTATTTGACTTCATTGCGGCTACATTTGGGTAATTAGTCGGACCCGGTCCCCGAGATATATTTGGGAGTCAGTTGATTGAAAATGTCCAAAGGAGGGCCACCAGACTGGTACCTGCACTTTGACACCTCAGCTACCCTGAGAGATTAGAGTGCCTGCAATTGCCTAGCTTATACTACAGACGGGGTGTATAAGCATCTCAAAGGGCACTACTCAAGTCAAGTAACCTTACCTGGAGCTGGCGGACGCTCGCCCCACAAGGGGTCACAGCTCAAGGTTGAAAATGCCGCTAGTCCAGAAAACTGTGAGGGCAAACTTTTTCGGAGTGAGAGTTGTGAACTCTTGGAACAATCTACCAGAGAGTGTTGTGACGGCACCGAGTGTGAGCTCTTTCACGACCAGACTTAACCAACACTGGAGCAGGTTCAGGTGCATGCCCAGTACTTGCCAACAGTGCGTAACAGAGATGTGGCCGATCGCCCAGGCGACTAATGAGCCGATCATTGATGAAGAAGATAAAAGAAAAAAAAAATCCATAACGTCTCATTTGAGATGGAAGTCACATTCACTTGGAACATCACAAAATACAATACAAAACCTTTTTTTTTGTACTAGTTTCCGAGGTCGACCTTTCCTGAATCTTTACCAAAGCATCAGACAAAATTTTTATAATTATCTTATGCAGTGCACCTTAACTACCTTAGGAGCAGCATCAAGAGCACAACACTACAGTTTGTTTACTACTGAGCACGGTTGCGCTGCCGGACGGCCCAAATTATCTTACACCGATGTCAAAATTATGATATTTTCTACCTGTATAGTCTTTGGTATTTTCCTCGAAATTATGGTACCTGGATATAAGAATTATTGTACATGTCATGGTACAGTAAACACCTCTACATTATTATAAATAAGTTGATATTCACATAAATCTAATAAAAAAGTGACCGATCGCCCAAGCGTCTAAGGAGCCAATCAGTGGCGAAGAGGATAAAAAAATACAGGAGCCATTGTCGCGGGCTCTCTCCCTATCTGATCAAAATTATGGTAGACACCAAATTGTGGTATAAATACCATTATATTATTATGGTACGCAGCGCAACTCTGCTACTGAGCTGCGTTCGTTCATGTGGTCTTGAAGCCGCCAGTCGGATACTCTGTGCAAACTGCAAAGCGAATAAAAGATAAAGGTAAAATGACCTACGCGAGTTGTGTAGGTCTGTGCCAAATTCTTCCTCTGAAACTTTTTTTTTTCTCAATGCAAATATGATCAGAATTACTACTGGGCACAGTCTGTGTAACACCGCTTATTGGTCGATCAGCGAAGTTAAGCAACGTTAGGTCAGCCCTAAGAAGCTGCTGGCATAATAACTATACTGAAAATAAGAATCTCATCATTCTCATGGCTTTACCAGCTGCCCTTGGTCAAATTGACTGAATATCAATTATTATATACCTGCGTTGTCGATACATGCTGAACTTTATAAAATCCAGCATGCCAAACTTGTATAGGAAGTTAATGAATAAATATTATTAGCATTATAATTACCATTATTATATTAATTTTGAATTTGAGAAATACACCATGGCTTATAATCGCTACACTGTGGCGTTAAGAGCTGATCCAGCGGCAAGTAGCGACCCACAACAATGACCGAATTCTTCCCTGTGTTTACCGTCTTCCTGATGGGGTGGAATAAGTCACTTTTGGCGATTTTAACTGACTTACTTAGTGTATGTGCCTAAGTTGAAGGGAAAATTTATGTGTAGGGTAGGTTAATCTCTACTGGTGTTATCTGTAGCAGTGTTAAGTTAAAACTGTTAATTAACTGTCAATATGTAGTTATAAGATTGAAGTGGTCATCTTGACGTCTTGGCCTTGAGTGAAGTACTACACTGGCTCCTCCTGTGGTCTTAGAGGAGTTGCGTCATTGCCAGAAAACTTCTGAAGGACATTAATTTATAGTTAATTATTGTCATCAAATGTTTAAGGTGTTCAGTAATTATAAACTTACTAAAGTGACGACAGTGCATCATGTCACGTCATCAGGAAGCTGGGTCAATTTATAATAGCACACCGGTCTTTATTTCGATATTAAAAATGGGTTTATACTCCGTATTTTGATGAGTTTCCAACGAATTTGATATTCATTTCCACCGGATATCACTTTTTTATACATAATATACTGTAGATAACACCCAACAATCATAACGGAAATAGTTGTATTTCTTTTTTAGAATAAATAAATTATATTACCAACCAACCAAGAAAACCTAACCTAACCCAACCTGTTGTTCATGCCCCAGACGCTTAAAGAGCGAAGATGGAGGCAGTATGGTTTCCTGAAAAAAGAGTATCTTGAAAAAATAATGGGGTATTATTTGATAAGAGTGGTCCATCCTTAACAGCTACCTCATGCAATTTATCCATAGAAGATAAATACTTACCTTGAGAAATAGTAATTTCTGAGAACAACACTACCACCAAAAGAAGTTGTTTGATTTTGTTCATTTTTTCCTCAATGTTCTTATCATTATAGTAAATATTTGGGCTATTATTGACGATTACACCGCCAGTGCCCACAGTGCTGATGCCAGGTCACCAATTACAATGCTATTTTACTTAATCTCTACACAGCATTAAATGGATTTATTTAACACATACATATCACACATTAATATATAATACAATACCGTACATATTAAACAATGATTACATACTGGAACACAGTAATTTCTATGTGTTCATCTTAATTAAGTTTGAACCAGCTAATACTTTTCATGTTATTGACACTACATACTGTATTTATAGTAGAGGAGGTACTGGACAGTGCTGTATAAGTGTTAAATGCAATACAGTACTGTACTATACTTTAAAATAGTTAACCATTTAGTTTGTATTATCCTCAATGTAATATAAATTTGCTGATCTTAATGAAAAATAGGTCATAGATAATTTATTATTATTGAAATGCAGTACAGTACTGTACTGTATATACTGTACCATATATTTTTTCCTGAATGGTAAATCTGTTCATCACTACTGTGTACTGGATGTTTCCACACTTCTATTGGAGTTGGCCTTATCTAATGATTGATGCCTTAAAAATTTTAACATACCTGTACTGTATACTGTACAGTATTCATATGCTAATGATTTAATCCCTTATGTACGGTGTCACCTCTAAGCTGAATAAAATCATATGTTATTAGCTAAATAAATTATTAAGAGTGGTATCTCTATATTGAAAGGGTTAAAGAGCACACCTTGTAGTTTTTAATTATCCTATAGTTTAGCATTTTTGTGCCATTAATATTTTACTTCCATATTTAACATGTAACATTATGCAAAAAAATAATGAATAAAAATATTAGGAAGCATTCATTTAAACTTTAAATATCAAGTATATCCAATGGAAATCCCAGATATTAACTCACCACGATGAGAATTATGAAAACAGCATCACAGAAAATATTTAATTCTTTAGGTGCTGATACATCACAGAAACCATGAGTTCAACGGGCAAGACTGAGAACACAAAGTCAGACGGTTCAAAGACAGAAAAGGATAAGAATGAAAAAGAAAAAACAGATAAGGCAAAAAAACCAGAGAAGAAAAAATTGCCAACAAAAGTTCAGCTAGAGAAATGGACCTCCTCTATAAATGCTCTGTTATCAGTAAGTATTCTCCATCACTTTAGCATAGTCCACTATACAGTACACTGTGATTTGAAATGTAGATTTGAAAACAGGTGAATTTATTTGAAATAATTTATTTTAGTACTGCACTTAAGGTATCTTTTCTATCTTAACTACACATTTTTAAGAAACTACTGTATTTTTTTACCTGTTGGTTTGGTCTTAAGAAATAATTAGGTTTTTCCTTATGTCATACTACAGTTCACCTGTGAATTAAACCAGCCTTGTCTGTACTTTGTCTGATTTTAACGGATGGATCACTGAGCAAAATATGCATTAATGTATAGTACTGGAGTGCATGTTTCTCAGTGGTCAATGGTTTGATCCTGATAAAATCAGACTTAGTTCACTAATGATTCATTGATTGCAGCATTCAAGGGTATTTTTAAATTTTCATAAAATTTAAATAATTTTTAGCCAACATATGGGTATCATGTTTTTTTTTCTGTATAATTTCTTTGAGAAATTGAAAGTTTAGCTCTGAAAGCTATCTGAATTACCATATACCAGTACACTACTACCAGTACAGTACTTATTTGTAATGCAATATACAGTAGTAGAATCTTCTGCAGTACTAATGGACCCTATGTTTAATTGACATCATAAACTAATGGATGGGCTTAAATATTTTTAGTATTTTTATGTTAAAATCTAATGTCTTTATTAACTTGTCCGTGTCACTTTACCCTATTTTTAATTTGAAAAATGTAATTGACAAGAAGTACTTTCTTTAATTTCTGCAAGGATAACTATTTCTAGCACAATATATATATATAACAGGATTTTTTTTTTTTATAGGATCCTGATGGTGTGGAAGCCTTCCGAAATTTTTTATTGGAATTAGAGGCGGATGGAGAGGAAGGAGAGTTTACAAAATACATTGACTTCTTTATTGCATGTGAGAAGTACAAAGCTAGATTTAAGGAACTGGAAGACACCGCAAAATCAATATTTGAAGAATACCTTGCGGTGAGTACTGTACTTATGCCTCGAAATTTTTAAATGAAATGGTTAATACTGGAAATACAAGTGTTATTGGTAGTGCTTTTTGCATTATTTTAATACCTGTACTGGTTTATTTTCTGCCTCATTTACACCAAATGGTTTTTATTTTGGTAAATACATTGGAATGCATTTCATTCAGATTGTCAAAAGGTGATGCAGATATTTTTTTTCTCCTTGTAACTGGATTGCAGACCCTAGAGATTTTCTTCTGCCTGAAAATTACAAGTTTTATTATTTGTGCCCTTTCACAAGACTGAAACATGGATTTAGCAAGACGGCTATACAGTACCATATACTTGAGTACAGTTTGAGTTATTGTGATAAAATTTTTATGCAAAAAGTAGGGGATTGAACTATATGCGCATTGTATTTTTGTGGGGTTAAAATTTATGCATTTCCGTGGGTCATTTACTGTGAACAATAGCTACCCAGTACATACTCGTGGTAGACTAACCTTACCAGTAAGCTCTTTATATCCTGGGCTTACCTACTATACCCCTAGATTCTTTCTTTATTTTGCTACATGAAGAGAAGAACTTCATTCATTATATACAGTATGCAGCTTTAAATATACAAATACCTGATACAGATAAGTTTCATAATACCTGTACTGTACTGTAAATTAGTTCAAATAAAATAATCATACTTATGATAACTAAGTAAATTTAAAATAAAAATATATTATTTAAAGTGTTAATAGAGGTACAGTAGGTAACGTTATCGATTCTAGAAGGTTTCAGAGCCGCAAAGAAGATTTTTTAAGGCTCCCGTGTCCCTACGTATGTATGTACATGGCATGGATGACCTTGTACAGTGTGAGATAATGTGGATGATGTGGATGTGTACAGTATTCCTCTGACAATCTAGTGAATAAGTTTACGAAATCTCCTTTGTTCTCAGAATACTGTACGTTCCACTTCTTCGTTAGTCTATTTTACATATGCCAAAAATAAGCAAAAATTGCTATACGTAATAAAAAATGAAAATAATACATAGCACGGCATAAAATACAATATTTTATATGCAAAAAATATCTCCTGTTCTTGAACCTTCCTTTGGGTGCCACAGAGTAAACGAGTTCAACTGGCCAGCTGACACGTGAGATGCATGACTGCTATGCTGTGTATGCTGTGACGTCACATTGGGGATAGCGTGACACATCCATACTTACCCGTACAGTCACCTCCTACACAGAATATTGTTCACACTCATGCTCTTGATTTTTCTTTTCCTCTTTTTATAGTTTTTCTGTCATATTAGAGTATACTGTACAGTACTTTAATTATTTTCCCACAACTTTAAAGTTTCATTACATGAATCAGTGGCAATATTCATAGTCATCTCAAGGCCAACAATAACCTGCAAGATATTTTTTAAAATTTGTAAATAATTTTTTCATAGATTCGTGTCGATAGTCGGTCATGTCGAGCTTGCTTTGTTTTTTATACTGTAGTGCCATAATGCTTGTATTACAATAGCTAGTGATTTATAATGACCTTTAATGTACACAGGTAAATCAATGTACCTGTAAATAATTTTCACCTCTGAGTGCCAGGTTTGAACCCAGTAGTATGGGACCCAGTGGATAAGCTTTCCGACTACCAACCGTGGTGCCCTGGGTTCGAACCCGGCACCCAAAAGTGAATTTTTTTTACAATAGCTCATGAATTTGATTTGTAAAGTAAAAATTATTATTAGAGATTGATCCTATTTGTATGGCATCACAAAAATCTGGCACCTATGTATGGTCAACAAGTCTAAAGCCCCATTTACACGACGTGACAAATCGTGGATGGTGTCTCTGCGATACCAGAGTTGTGTCACGAGGGGGCAAAAAAACGGGCATCCAGCAACCCACCAATGTTGGATAAATGTTACACGCCACCGCTCATGTCACGGCTGCCCCAGTACACAACATTCTATCAAGCGTTCTACCAGGTGTCGAGAGGATGTTATGCAGTTAATCGAACTGTATAAAGAGTAACTGCCTCAGACAAGTGAAAAATTATAAGTATAAAGACAGAAATGCGTGAGATATAGCTGTAGAGGGGGGTACTGAAAATTGTTGAACACCTGAAAGACAACATACCACAGGTGACTGTGATTGATGTGGAAACTAAACTTTTTCCATTGCGATCGCAATTTCGCTGTGAACTGAGGCTAATTAGAGAGCTCAGAAATCAGGTTCTGAAGGAACTGAGAAAAAAGTAAAACTAAATTGTCGTGTTTTAATGATTTGATGTTCCTGCATGCTGGTAGCCTCAAAGTTTTCAAAATCTAATCTACTTTCTGCTGCTAGATCACTGAATATATGTTCATAACTTCCCCTTGTTCGTCTGCGAAGCAGCCAGTTTGCACCACACACTTTTTTTTTTCTTTTTTTTTTTTAAACTTCTTCCTCTTAAAGGCACATGCCAACACAAGAGCTCAGTGAGCAGTGCGACCCATCCTCGAGGAAGCCTAGCATCTTCTAAAGCCTGGTGCCCGTGGGGTAACTGTGTCTTGTAAACAAACAGATGGTTTGACGCGCGCTTTTTCACCTGTGCCTCATCACCCTGGGACAAATGTCACATTGTGTAAATGGGGCTTAAGGGGTGAAACCCAAGATTCCATGACCCAACTTCTTGATGAGTACTATGTATGTTCGTTTATGTGTTTACCATTCTTTCTTGCAGACTGTGGTCAGATGTCTGCACCCCTGCTATATAATGGCTAATTTCAGCGTGCAGCATAGTTCTAATTTATTAGCTTGAATTTCCGTTGCAATACAGTATTACCATTAGTAAATAGTACAGAAACGTAGGCCACCCTGTCCTCCCCCTTAATCCAGCCATGTTCCTACCACCTCTATATTTTAGTACTGTCATTACTTTTATCTTTTCTTTTTTTAAATTTATTCACTTTGCCAAAAAATCTGACCTAATTAAGAGGCATATTAAAAACAAACAACTGCATTGAACATACCAGAACATTGCCGAGTTTTTCCTATAACTGACTGTGCAGGAGAGAGGGACTCCTAAACAAAGCAATGATTCATCTTTGTTTTAGCACAATTTGTTTTTTTTAAATGAATATTTGTGCTGTACCTGTACAGTACTATTTTCCATCTATAAATAATCCTGTGCTTTTTTACTTTCCAGAATATATAGTTCTTACCATACCAAGTACGACATTAGTCTGATGCTTAATATTGATTTGGTATTGTGAAGTCTTTTGAATCTTGTACCTCTTAATTAGGAAAATTAAAAATTATTGCAACACAATTATATTTCTTCTCTGATTGATTTTATTCTAACAGCCTTTTCTCTTACCAAGTTTCCTTTTTGTTGCTGTATAACTTCACAAGCTGTCGATAAATGCTCATTTTACGAGTAAGTGACTTTTGATGTCTTTCCTGGTCAAAAGAAGGGACTGGGAACCATGTGCAGTAATTCTTTGGCCTTAATGTTGGCCTGTGTTGAGAACTCCTAGATCTTGTCATACCCCTGTCAATGTCTTATAGAGAGCTTTTGAATCTTAATCCTCATTTTGAAGATTTTTCAGTTCTTACCAATTTCAGTGATAAAGTGAAGGCAATAAGCCCTATCTAATGTGTTAAGAGAGTTTCTTGATCTGCTTGGACTCATCCATTATTTGTTATTCGTTTTGTCTGTTTGTATTGAACAGGCTTCCTGTACTGGAGCTGGTCAGTTTATATAGTCAACTAAATTAAAAACATCATGCAGTATTGAACTAAGAGTGGTTAACTAAACTAAAAATAATATATGTGTGTGTGCATGCATGATGTGTGTGTACACACAGTACAATAGACCTAAGTTGGTACATCACTCCAAAATCAAAACCATACGTCTGATCTGCCGGGGCTTTTTATATACTGTAGCAACTTTTTATTTTCTCACTGGATAGTGTCCCTGCCGCAGAACATCGGACAAAGTAGGCTCGTGTCAATGGGTGGCACTGTGTTTTGGGATGGTAATCTCACTGGTCACTTATCTCTTACAACTGATCATAAAATGGGATTTCACACTTCATTTTTGTTTTTGCTTTCTTTTTCTGTTTATACATTACTGTATGTATGTGTACAGTATATGTGATAGTAAGAAAGCTAGATATCTAAAAAATGAATAAAAAATTATTGTGATGAAAGTTGGCAGATGCGCTGGTTGTTGGACTGGGAAGAGTGGATAGTTTTAGTGAGAGTTGTTAGTGTTCAAGAACTAAGCAGTGTTTGATTTTTTTAACTTTATGGGGGCTTGTGTTTTGACTGGCACCTTGTTATGTGAGTTGTCTATAGTTGCTTATATATTTTGCTTATCCACTAACATACTTCTGTTCTGCAAACTTAAACATCCATGCTTATGAAGCAATGTATGCTGCTCTTGGTACTGACAGTTACACCCCTCAAGCTTATTGCTGCATTTACCAGATATTGCCTCAAGCACTGTACCAGCATTGCCCTTTCACCAGTAAACATAACAGGTGGAGTTTCCAAACCTCTTTCTATGTTCTTCACTGCTGTTGGGTATGTATTAATTTTATGTTGTTTAGTTAGTAAGAAGTAGAATACTGCATCAATTGCCCATGAAAGTACCTTTATGGGAGATCTGAGGGCACTACTGTATTCCACACATGAACATTCTTATTTATATCCATTTTAATTATCATAATTTTATACAGTAATACAATACCTCTTCGTTTTTTTTATTACATATTCACAAACTTTATACTATCTCTCACAAATATTGTACAGCCTACCTTTAAATTCACGGGGGTTTGGGTCTCAAAATGGCCGCAAATTGCCAAATCGAGAATATCATTGTTGTTGGGGGGGGGGGGTACGGGTGTTAAATTTTACTCGTGTGCAAAGAAATGTATATGTATTCCCTTTATGTGTTTGCCCTTGCGACTATTATTTCTTGTACCTGTATAAGTTTGTGTATGTCTGTGGCTGCTACTACTACTAC